TTATAATGAGGAGGCGTCCCAACCCTAGTATCCTGACGGTTCAAGAAAAGCGACGAGGTAAAGAACCGTAAAGAAACCCTCGAAGGAGCTTATAATTCGCTCACCTAACAAAAACCTAAATACATTAATGAATAAAAGATGTAAATGAATAATTAAATAAAATAAACTAATCCATCTCGAAGTCTCGCTGCCACCCCGGTGCACGCCGCACCCGTTCACTCCTACGGATACTGGTGTCCTCGACTCTCGAGTCCATAACAAAGATCTACGAAACAAGAATATCTTATTTCTTTAAAATAAGATGTGAGAGAAATATTATACTCCTCTATCCCGAAATGTAAGCTACGATATGCAAAATATTATTTCTTTTAAAATTATTTTATTTACAAATTGATATTGAAATAAAAATAGCACCGTTTAAAAATAGATCAAACGTTCTATAAAACAAGATGCAACAAAAATATTTTGGTTCATTAAATGGTCAACAACAGCTAGTAAATAAACTAAATTTATCGAGAGACTGAAATAGTAACTGTTACTTTCATTTTGGGACAAAGGGAGTATTAAAAATTGTATGAAACAAAATGTGATGACTATACTATTTTTTCAAACTTGTAACAAAAATAGATATAAAAAAAGAATAAAATTTGAAACTTTAAATAAAGTAACTTAAATTAGGATGGATGAGGTACTTTCTACTATTTAAAATATAGGAAATACTTGGTTATTATCTTAACTTTTTACTACTAGAGATAAAATTGCGATATCGTGCACATTTAAAAAAAACATAAGAATTGAATTTTTTGGGGACGCTCTTTCAAACACTAATAAAATTGTGATGGGTACTTCTTGCACCATCGACGGTCAACATGGATTTTGTTTTTTTAAAAAGTCAACATTATAATTAAATAATTAATCCTAGAGTGTACGGCATTGATAAAGTATAAAACCACAAGTTTTTTTTTTTGGGGTTAGTTCATGTAAACAATGAGCCACACGGCAACAAAGAAAAGTTTCATTTTGCTAACTAAATTGCTTTTATACTTTGTTTTATAGTATTTCCATTCAAGAAAACTTTCTTTTTTATGAAGAGTGAATGAATTGATTTTGTTTCGACATATATAAAAATTAGTTCGACACTTTATTTTGGTTTTAAAAGTATAGGTTAAAGCTATAGTTTTACCAAATTGACACTCTATTTTGGTCTCAAAATTATATGGTAAGATTTAGAATGTGAGCTAATTTTCAGCGCAGCGTAAATGAGCCCATTTTGAACACCCGGCATAAATTGTTAGACAATTGATTTAAGATGATACTCCCTCCGTCTTAAAATTAATTTCCCATTTTAACTTTTCCAGTTAAACTTTTAAAATTTTGATTGTATATTACGGGAAAAATATATTGAATTTTCATATAAATTTATTATCATTAGATTAATTTTGAAACATAGTTTTGAAAAATGTTATTTTTTTAATATATATTCATATAAAAATGGAGATATTAATGGTCAAAGTGTCGCATTGGAGACCGTGAAAAGTCAAATGAGAAGTTAATTTTAGGACGGAGGGAATACTAATTATAGTAGACTAAGTATTTTTTGTCAATTTCAAATATTGTTTCCTAGTCCTAGATGGGATTGTATCCCCTCTTATATGAATTCTATCTTGTATTCATTATTTCTCAAGTACGGAGTAATACATTATATTGTATATATGTTACTTTAATTTTTTCTATTTATAAATCTTTATAAAAACGAATTTAAAAATTTAGAATTTTTCATTGTTTTTTTGTAATTTATAATCAAAATAGACATATTTCCCTCAAATTAATCACAAAAACGTTTGGGAAGTTTGTTCATCACCGAGTCATTTTTAACACGGAGTAGAAAAGTACTATACCCACCAACCAAACCTCATTTATCATTCATTCATTAAAAACCCCGTCCAACTTTCATTTTATTTTATCCCACCAAACAGCCGTCACGTTATCCTTCTGGTCTGTTCAAATGAGAAGAAGATCACCGCCGTCAAGGCGGAGGCTTCTCGGCGGCTGCTGCTACTATATACTGGCGGCCGCCGTCATCATCCCGTCGGTACTGTTGACTCCTTTTTTTCAGGCGTGCGGTGCCTCTCCCTGTGCTCAGTGGCCTTGTACTCACAACTGGAGGGCTAGTCCTAGGTCTCCCCCGCCGCCGGGGGCGGGCCGTGTTCCGGTCCACTGGAGAATGGTGAGTCAGCCGCCGCCGCCGCCGTCGGTGTCCTAGCCAAATCAATCACGGAATCTTGGTTGCTACTGCTTACAAAGATTCCACTTTTTTTCTATGTAGTTTTATCCAAAATAAGGACCAGTTTGGTGTGTTTTAAAAGGTGTATGATACTCTATAAGTTTCGAAAGTTTTTGAAATCTGAAATAAGAGTATTTTTATTGACTTTTAAAACGATGGTTGTTCTTCTTTTCGTCTCAAAATGTTATGTAACTGGAAAGAAATGTAGAGGGGACTCACATAATGAATCAAAAGCTTCTATTCCATTCTCATGATTCCAGGAAAGGGTAATCAGTGTATCCTACAACAGGGTCAAATGTGTAAAAAGTAGACCTGTCGTACCCATTGAGAAGCGCATCACACCCGAACCGCATGACCAAATCCGGATTCGCCATGAACAGCCTCCCAAACGCGACCAGGTCGACCTCTCCACGCTCGACAGCATCGATCCCGAGCTGCCTCGTGTACCCACCACTGGACAAAAATGCCCCTTCGTAAGCCTTCTTAAGGGACCTCATCAGCAAGGCTTCCTTTTCGCCGCACCCACCAATGGGCCCATCTTTGTTCTTACCATAGGACACGAACCGGGGCTGCGTGACGTGCAGGTATGCCAGCTTAGAGCAGGCATTGGTCTGGAAGTTGTTGAGTTTCTCGACGATGGTGAGGCCAAGGGCAAAAGGGTCAGAGTCCGAAGCGTCCATGTGATCAAAGGCAGGGGAGATCCTTATTGCTAGCCTGCCAGGGCCAACGGCATTACTCACCGCTTCAACTATCTGCATTAGAAATCGGCAGCGGTTCTCCATGGAACCACCGTACTCATCACTGCGGTCGTTTATCCCATCTTTGAGGAACTGATCAATCAGATACCCATGGGCAGAATGGATTTCAACTCCATCAAAACCTGTGTTTTCCTCAAGACCATTAGAGTAACATACACTAAAGATAGGACAACAAGAACCAACCCAGTAAAATCCCGCAACAATAGGGTCTAGGACACTAAAGATTGGGATACAATGTGTATGAAAAATGAAGAAGAAAACAATGTATATTGAGGAAGAAAAGAAACCTGCTTCAATGGCATTGATTGCTGCAACGCGATACAAATCGACATATTTTGCTATATCATCAGTAGATAAAGCTTGGGGTTTTGAGAAGTGACCATAAGAGCCATCCGGCATCATTATAGGCCAAGTCTCAGATATCTGCTTCTCCGTGGACGAAACCGGGGCACCTCCATCAGGCTGATACACTTTCACAGCAAGTAAATTTATCACACAATCCCTCATCAGCTGCGCATAGAACTTAGAAAATGATTATATGTTCTTGAAAATGGAATACCGTTATGGGACGCGCGGCCAACATGCCAAAGCTGGCAGAACAGAACAGCACCCTTTTCATGGACGGCGTCAACCACTTCTTTCCAAGCTTCCACCTGCTCCTTGGTAAAAATCCCGGGCACATTTGGATACCTAAAAGCAACATCAACCATGCATTAGTATGATATTGTCCGCTTTGAACCAAGCCCTCACAGATTTGTTTTTGGGCACATCCCAGAAAACCTCATACTAATGGGTTGGGGTGGAACCTATATATCTTGGTTCTTCTTCTCCAATTCTTTTGGTTTAGGACTAATGTTTGCTTGCTCCCAAGAGTTTATAGTTTATACTCACCCGGCTGCAGTGGGATCAATGATGGTTCCCTCGGTGATCAGCAGCCCACCGGGAGTTGCCCTTTGGGAATAGTACTCAACGTGTGCCTTCTGCGGCATGTTGTTCAAAGCTCTACACCTTGTGCAAGGTGCCAACACTATCCTGCAACCACAGCTCTACTATGATCAAACCCAATCATATCTCACCCATAATAAAACACTCCCTCAGTCCAGCTAGAAATCATCCACTCTCCTTATTCCTATGCATCAAAAGAATCCACTTTCTATTGAAGGAAATGCAAATTATGATTTGAGTTGTGCTACATTGACACTACCTACCCATGACAACAAGGTTGACACCAACTCGTGTCACACACAATTTTACAATTTCATAGAGGGAGTAGAACTATTGAGATTTTGATAAGAGAGAAGAAGGGAACAGAAGAGGAACCTGTGGGCAAGAGCGAATCTCCCCATCTGGAAAGGGGTGAAGAGTTTGGGGGAAGAACATTGAGCAAAATTTTCAGCCATACGGCAGTTTCCGGCGACCCTAACAACAAGAAATATGTGATTGTGGATTTGAACGGCGGAGATGACGGGGGAGGAAGCCTTTTATAGCGGCGGAAGAGGAAGATTGACAGGCCTTGTATTCGTTCCATTCCTCAAGAATTCAAAACCAGGATTGCTTCGTTCTTGGAATTAACGAAATCATGGAGGAAATGAAAGGTCGGAATTAATAATGGAGTTGTAGTCATTGCTAAGGCTAATTTCATCGTCATCAAGCAGGAACTTGGATCCATATCAATTTTCTGAGTTACCCAGAAACCCTTTTTTTTTACAACAAAGAGTTAGAGATCAAATCAAATGTTAAAATTAGTTAAATGTTTCTTTGGTGACATAAATAGGAAGTTTCATTCTTGACCCACATTGTCATTGTCTTTGTGTTTGTATTTTGTAAAATTCTTGGTGTCAAAACTTTTTTAAGTTCTAGCATTTGTGCAGCAATGGAGCCTCAAGATGTGAAAAAAGAGAGAACTTTTATTTTCAAGAAAATCAAAATATATCCTTTATCACAAAATAAGAGTGACATATTTAGGTTTCTTTTTCTCATGTTGTAGTTTTATTAGGATTATTTTTTCTTTACTCCCCCTTGTTTTAACTTCTACCATCTCCAAAAATCTAAAAAAAACATCTTTTAGATCATGTGCAATGGTGAGTCCCAACTAAGAGTCTTATTTATAAATTTAATAATACATGTAGGATTATAAACAAAATGGGACTTTCATCTATAATGGAAGGTCTCATTTTAGAATCTCATCATTTGAATAAATAAATGAAAAAGGAGAGAAGAATTTGAGTTGGGACCGTCCTAACTTGGAGGGACCGATCCCATTTTATTATTTTCATCCAATGGTACGAGAGTATATATAATTCTCACTTACATGCCAACTAAGAAAGAGAGGATAAAATGAGACTTGCATTGGACATGCTCTCAGCTTTAGTTGTCTCGAATAAAATTATAATTTTTTTTCTTGTCATAAAAGAAAATAAACATGTAATCCCCTCAATGCCCTCAAAACTCATATATCTATACATTTTTTTTGTTTTTGAACAACTTTCTTGAATTCTATAAAATCAAACTAACACTTTATTTAACGATTCATACCCTTCCTAACACCCTTCCCCGTTATGACATTGTATAACGATGCTTTTTTTTTAGTAAAAGTATAATTGTCACGTCATCCTATTGTTCTGATCTTACAGTAGAGATGAACAAAAAGACCCGACTAGTCAAACTAAATCGGTCCATTGAAAAGACCAGTACTATTTAGGACGAGATCAATTTGGTCTTTTTAAAAAACCAGTCCAAACTAGCTTAATCTTCATGAAAAAATAGGGACCTTTTGGAACTGGGTAGTCCTGTTAGGACTACCCCAAGACCTAGTCCGATCCTTAAGATGTAAAATTCTTAAATTTTTATTCTTCAAGAAAGTACTCAAAAAAATTTAAAAAAAATTATTTTTGATTATTTAATTTCTTTTTTCTATATCTTATTGATTTATAAATAATTACGCGAAATGAAAATTATTATGTTAGATGGAAGTTGGATAGAATTACCAAGAAAATAAATTTAATATGTATGGGAATAATTTTTTTTTAAAATTAGCATTTTGAAATCCAACGAACTAGTTTTGGTTCCAATTTCACTTTTATCAAAAGCTATTTTTCATTTTATTTTCGGGAATATATTTCCATCATCTCCGATAGAGCTAAAAATTTACTGTTTTCTAGCTTTAGAGTGTAATGGAATAAAGCAAAGTGGATCATTAAATTATTTGTATTTTTTAAGTAATGAAATAGCAACTAGTCAATCAATGCAACTTCTAATGTTGAGCCAAGGTCTCTTTGAAAACAGCCTCTCTACTTTCAAATGGAGATAAAATCTACATATACTACCCCAAACCCTACTCTTGTGAAATTCAAATGGGTTGTATTTTCAAGAATATTTTCAATTTGTTTACAGCCAATTCATTCCAAACACAAATATTATGAAAAATATACGGATCCAGTATAATATATTTTTTTAAAAAATATATATATGAATAATAAAGCCAGTAATCGATGTTTTTTACCCCGTACATTTTCTCGAACATGTTCCCTTTTTCAAGTAGCTAAATGAAAAAAGTGCATCCATCAATTAACATTTAGCTGACCACACTTGTGTGAGAGTGTGAGAGACATCAAAAGAGAAAAAAACAATTGCCCTTGCTTATTATATGATTTATTACACGTAAAAAATATCTATAATATAAAAACAAAGATTGAAATGGGTAACAGTTTGAAGTCACAACATAGCCACATTTGTATTACAACAACCAACTCATACAACACACACTTCACCAGATGACATTCAATCCAAAAATGGTTTACATCTACTGAAATCCTACACAAATGCCGCTTTTGCTATATATAGAAAAAGGAAAGAAAAGAAAAGTAGAGAATTGATGGAAAGTTACAAAGATAGATACCTGAGGATGATGTAACTGTTCTTCCTCTTCACTTCTTCCTGTTCTTGGCCCTGTTGACTTTCACGATCCTCCGGCCTGATTTGTCGGGCCCACTGCTGCCTAACGAGAAGCTTCCGCTGCCATTATTGAACTCCAGGCTCGTTGTTGGTTGAAAAGGTGATGGATTTTGTGGCGGAGGAGCTCCTTGATTATATTGGAATGGGTTGGGAGAAAGACTGGGTGTAGAAAACATAAACTGACCAGGAGGCGCTGCAGGAGTGTTCGAAGGTGGTTGACCAAATACAGAAACTGGCGCTGGTGCTGAGCCGGCTTGAAATTGATCCTCAGCCATTGTATCCTCCATTGTCATCTGGTCTTGGGAGGCTGAGAAGGGCGATGAGAGAGGAGCGGAATTTCCAAATATGGGCTGAGGGGTGGTGGCCGAAGCTCTGAATGGAAATACGGGACCACTCGTTGCAGCGGCGGGATTTGTTCCAAAAGGTGTTGGTGGGGTCTTGGGCATAGTGAATGTAGATGAGGAAGTGCCGAGAGTGGGGAAGCCCGTAGATGAAGAGGCTGAAGAACTGGCAGTAAAATTGAATGTAGCTGGAGTAGTTGTGTTACTCCCGGCAGTGGTGGTAGAGCTTACACTGATATTGAATTGACCACCAGAACTTCCAGTGGAACTGCCAGTGAAACCAAACACTGCAGGAGTGGTGGTATTGCTGGAGGAAGCTGCAGAAGTGGCCGCAAAAGCAAACGAACCAGGAGAGGTGGTGGTGGGAAATGAAGGTGTGGAACCGGAGGTGAAACCGAAAGGCCCAGGACTGCTGGAAGAAGAATTTGTGGAATTGCCGCTGAAAATGAACATCCCTGGAGTGGTGTTGCCAGAAGAAGCTGCAGTAGAAGTGAACAGTCCAGAAGCAGTTGAGCTGAAGGACGAAGCTGCAGAACTGCCACTGACACCTAACACCCCAGGATTGGTAGGAGAGGCAGAACTTGCACTAAAACTAAACAGTGTGGGTGTGATACTAGTAGAGAAGGTGGAAACAGTAGAACCACTAGTAAAAGATATTGTGGGACCGCCAGTACTACTAGAAGATAAAGCAGTTGTGGTACCAATGGAGGGGGTAAGCACTTTGGTTTCGAGAGGTGAAGATACAGAGGTTGCTACGAAGTTGGGTGTGAAAGTGGTAACCCCATTGCTTGTTGTCCCAAAGGAGGTATCAGTATTATTACCAAAGGCAGATATTGAGGAAGCAGGGCTGCTAGAGCCAGAACCAATCCGATTGCTCTCTGCAGAAGTTGGTCTCAATGAGTCAGACCCAAATGGCGACTCAGTAGGAGCAGTAGATGTGAATGGACTAGATGATGTTGAAACTCCATCAGAAGTTCCCAACCCCGGAGATGATTTGGAAAAACCAAACAGTGGTGATACCTGTGGACCACTGGAGTTGCCAGATTGGGGGAGGAACTTTGTGCTAACAGAATCTCCTCCAGTGCTAAAAAGAGAACCCTGTGGTTGGGTAGCAATACACGGTTTCTCTGAAGGTTTAAGTCCAAAAATGTTATTTGTATCAGGGACAGACGTGCCTGAAATACTTGTTGAAGTCTTCAAATTGTCAACATTAATGGCGTTGTCCATTTTAGTTGCTTGAGCTTTCACATCGGATGTTTCCGTGGTTGATGCAGTTGGTGCTGAAAAGGTTGTTGGAGAAAACATTGAAGAACCGGTAAGCCCAAAAACTGAAGAGGTAGTTGCGACATTAGTGGTTGCAGCAGCAATATTGGAAGAAGCCTCAACCGAGACATTGGTGACGGCTTGGCTTTCAGAGTTATTTGCAGCCAATACTTGAAAGGACCTGTTTCCATTACTTGAATTGTTGGAAGGAGCAGCAAAAAGATTAGTCGTGGTAGTTGTTGATGTGGAAGCATTCAGGGGGGCTTCTAAGTGGCCATTGATTCCAACCTTTTGTGAGTTGTCACCAACGGGGAGTTGTGGAGAACTATCACTTGCAGTAGAAACATTTTTATTCAGGCTGCATAAAAGTAGAAGACTCTTAGATACATGACATGATGAATTTTCAAATAAAATACTTTTTAAAAAGCATAAACATTGAATACAAAACTTCACTGTTCTTATCAGTGGACTACACGCTAATTAGTTAAAGGAAGCTGAAACTCTATATCCTATTGTCCTGTGATATTTTAGTTATAGTTGGATGAGTTCAATTTTAAGTATAGGTAAACATCAAAAGAGCTATGATGAGTAATAAACTAATAACTGGCTCAAATAATTGACTATTTTTGTTCCAAAGCGGGTCGCAGTCAGCAACATAAGATAATATGCGGCTTAACACAAAAAAAAGGCAAAACCTTGCAAACATATTGAGGAATGAAATATAAACAAATAACAGTGCAGTTGTCTTTTCATTAATAAAGGATGAAGATATCAGAAATGTAGCACTGTAAAGAAATTAGACACTGAGAATAACATAAATTTATTCTTACCCGCTCAAAATTCCTAATTTTGATCCAGGCAAAGTCAAACTGGAGCCTTCAGTCTCAGTCGCATATGCATTCTTTGAATTGAAATCAGGGAGGCATACACTAATAGATGGATCAGAACCATTTACACCAGCATGAACATTATTGGGATTCTCTTTGCAAATCTTTTTGCTCAAACCCCCAGGTGATGTACTAGTGTCTGTAAGTGATGCCGATTTATGTTGAAGTTGTACTTCGCTGGAAACCAACGTGCTACCGACAGGTGCAATCTCTTGCTTTCCCTTCCCCTCAGACAAAGGTTTAGATGCAATGCCAGTTGATTCTATGTCATCATCCAGCTCAAAAGAATCCTACACAGTTTTACCCATGATATGCAAGCCCCTAATCAGATGATGTTCTTAAAAAAAGGTGTGATTTAGGTTAGGTAACATCTAGAATACCCTACAAACAGATCATCATTCACATACATACTGCAGTCTTCCTTTAAAACATACAAGTTGAACAATTTAGTTCATTTTTATTATTCAAAAGCAATAGTGCATAACCAACCTCAAGTGCACTCATTTTAAAAGCTCGTTTCTCCTTAACAGGTGGAGCTACAGTCATAGGATAAACTGTATCTACATTGACTTGAAAATCTCTCTCAGAAAGTGTCACCCCACTGCTAGCTACATGGCTTGCAGTGTCAGCAAATTTTGTTGGTCTGCTTTCTTCCACATGGTTCAGCTTCGGCAAGGTAGGATTACCACCATCAGGTGACATGGCATTGGCTTGTTTTTCAGTCTCAGCGGTAATTGGGGCAGTCTGCAGAAACCTTGAAGAATCCAAATGCTCCAAGCTTTTACGAGCTTGTCCGTGAAGCATATCCGTAGTCAGTTGACTTGGCAATTTATTATCTTTAATGGTTGTACGTTTAGATTCAGATGCTTTCTCCCTTGGAGACAGTTTACTAATAACCTCCAATATTTTAGCAGCTGTCTCACTTGACTTATTAGGTACATGGAAACGGCTTGTGCTAGGAGCTTCACTGTCCTGATTTTTTCCAAGTGTTCTGTTAACAAATGGATAGTTTTTGGAAGATGATTCACTTCCCCGAATAGGAAGAGAAGCGTCATGGTTGTTATAAAACAGATTAGACTTTTGCCTAGTCCTTCGAATGGGTCCAATGGATCCAAGACCATCATCTTCTAATACAGAGCTCCTGCGTTTCAGAGACTGAGAAGCAGAAGAGATTAAGAAGAAAATATTGTTAAAATAAAAAAGTTAGTGACAAAGTATGATAAAGTCGCATCCAGCCCATTACCCATTGTTTAGATCCAAACACATCGTCATGCTCCAGTCTAGACTGAGATGACGAAGGACCAGCATTTGGGTAGAAACTAGAGCTCCCACCCTGGAAGGTAAGAATAATATAGTAAATGCAGAATCTAAAAGAGAATGACAAGAACTTCCAGAATAAGAAAGGACAAACCTGATGAAAATTGGTTGGACGAACTCTGGAATATGGTGTACGAACCATATTGTATACTGCAGATCTACCATGAGATTTTGGAGTTGTAAAACCATTGTCAGGAACCACGGGCCTTTTTGAAAATTTCATGGGTGATTGTGAAACATATGGAACCACTTCTTTGACTGTCTGACCGCGAAAACTCGGCATTGAAAGAGACACCTTTGACTGCCTAGAGCCCATATAAGTCTTTGCAAGCTCAGCAGGAGTTGCAACATCATCCTCTACTATCTGATAACATAAACCATATAAGATATACAAAACGCGAACTCATATGAGTACATCAATCAATATGCTACAAAGATAGAGTGGTCATGAACTCACTTTTTTATTGATGAAGGCAGTTGAAGTGACGCCATGACAAACTCCCTTATCAGCCTTATAATCTCCCACAAGACTTTTTGAAAAATCTGAAGCTGGTTTAGAAACATCAATTCTATTGCCAGCATCTTCAAGAGAAGAATATGCAGCCTTAGAATGCAGCAGTTCTGTCAATCGATCAATTTCAGATCTGTGTAGTTGGCCTTTCTTGTTAGTACTTGGTAGTAAGTATATACATGCAGAGAATCCAGAGAACAAATAGAAACACATCACGATCAAAGGAAATTTTAAAAACAGTCTTTTTATTACTGAAAGAGGTTGATCATAACAGTAATCAGAGCAAATAGGCTAAGGAATGTAGCTTAATTAGAGCACTAAGCAGTCGGGATTCATTTGAACCACATATTCACGAACATAAAACCCAAGAGATAGAAGAGCATTAGACAGTTCACCTGGTGAATGTTTTCTGTTTCAGCAAATGCTCAAGTTCAGAGAATGCACTGCCCTTGGAATTACAAGCAGCGTCCCCATGTTTGACTAGATCTGGATCACGATCTCCGGCATGACTCTTCAACCACAAAAAAGGAAAATATAAATTGTATTGTCGTCTGCACAGCAGTTTATGAGATTGTCTTACCTATCAAGGAATATAATAGACATCTAGATCTGTACACTGACGCGCTCCCAAATGTAAAAACAGAGACACCAAAGTCTCATAGTTCCCCGTTACAAATAAACTTATCGGCAAGTTTACTAGAAAGAATGAGAGCATAATGCTTGGTGGATAATAGTCGATTAGACTTCTAAAAAGTTTGCACACCAATCTTAATTACAAAAAATTCTCTATCACATGCCAGCTCACCTCATTATTTATCTCAAAGGTAAAGAATGATAGAGGTAATTGCAAAAAGTAAAAGCAAGGATGTCATCCAACTTAAACACTACCACTATGCTTTTTCATAGGTTTATAGTGCTAATCAATTTTATACACTTACAGGCACTGCAAATTAAATTCCACCAGCCCCAGCTAGTTGAGATTTAGGTGCTCAGGATGATTGTGATGAATACCCAATGACACAAAAAGAAATATTCTCCCTGTCCCCAAATAAACTTCACCCTTGAACAACGTGCAAAATCAGATCTTTTTTTAAAAAATTTTATTTACAAATTTGTATAGAATAAAAACAAATTACATACTCTGAAACTATATCAAAAGGTCTATAAAACCAAATGTGACAAGAATAACTTATTTTATCAAATAATCAATGAAAATACAAATTTAAAAGTTATTGGGACGCTAGAGTAGTAACACGAAAGTTTATTTGGGAATGGGAGGGGGGGAGCTGAAACTGCTTTTCTGTAAGACCATAATGAAAATGCAATTTTTGTTTTTCTTTGAGTCGAATCCGATATTCGGAATAGACAACTAAAAATTGAGGTTCTATAGCTATAGAGTAGCTCTTTCTCCGACAAATATAGAAGTGTAAAAGACAAACTGAATTTCCAGGTACAATTAAGTAACATCAACAAGCAAAAAAAGTTCAACATCTCTGATGTCTCTGTGGAGCTGAACCTGAAACTATGGCACACTTGCAAAATTGCAGATGATGTTTGGGTTAAGGTTAGAGGAGTCACTAGACAATAGTTAGGCCTAAATCATGGAATGTCTACCTTCTCCACCTTTGCACGCACTGTTAGATTTATAGAGAGAGAACACACTGATTCTAGAGTTAAGAACAAAACAGTTTACCCGGCCTTTTCAAGCACAGTGTATGGAAGAATAAAAATGCTACATAATTTGATGGTTTCTCTCCTGTTGTAGATGATGACTAAAATAAAATTTAGATTGGTATACAAAAAAATGTATATGATTTATCCCATTGCTTTGAATACCATTTGAGAGACATGTTTGGGTCCTTTGATTTTTCTTAGTGTGGGTCAATCTGATCTTGTGGTTAGGGAATGACCCTCAAACATTAAACATTTGACTGTAGCAATCTTTTTTTTACAGTTTACAAAATAAAGAGATAAGTGAACACAACATACAATTCCAGAATAAACCAATTGCAACAACAACAACCCAGCTGAATCCCACAAAAGTAGGGTCTAGGGTGTCTGCGCAAACCTTACCCCTACTCAAAAGTAGAGAGGTTGTTTTCAAAGAGACCCCCGGCTCAAGCACCACTGGTAATCACATACGCTGACCCCTATGTATAAAACATATAGATGTTGTTTTCAAATGACCCATGATGAGCATCAAAAGTTGACTAATTGCTACTTCACTATCAAAAGAAGGGCAAACCATTTAAAGAGCCATTGTGCTTTATTCCATCATACACCAAAGTAAAAAAAATAGTGAATCTTTGGCTCCATCAGAGATTATGGAAAAAAAGATTGCAAAAGCGCACAGAGTTTAAAATAGCACACCATGAATATAATTAGTACTGAGAATATAGATGATAGTATGAGCATTAACATTCTTGTACAAATGGCATAAATATTTTAAATCTATAGGATATTAATTTGTAATTGACCTAAAATTGCAAAATAAATGAAGCCAACTATGATCGAGCTTTAAAAGGTAAGTAGATAGATTCAATGAGACTCACATTTGGAACTGATGTCTGACAGATATCCCTTGAATCTTGTTGTGTAGCTGTTCAAATAAAAAAACACATCAGATCCAACTATAATCACTGAAAATGGTTAAATGGTAAGAGCACCCTTTTCATGTCATATGTATTTGGACCAGGTTGAATAATAATAATAATAATAATAATAAGATGATGCAAGATTATATTCCACTGACCCACTATATATCATTGAAAATTTGAAATTAAGAAAATACGGAGTACATTATAAATTACTACGCCCTCGGCAGCCTTCAATTACATTGAGTACCAAAAAAACAAAAATTTGATGTTCCTTGCACACTGTAATTTGGAATAAGAGTCATTCATTACTAATAGTCGAAAACAATGTAAAAAATCTAGGAAACTCAACTCATTCCTAACAAAACTGGTTTTGAAGCTTTGCACAAACCAGCTAACTGCAACTACTCATTGTATCCCCAAACAAAAGTATCACTCTTCTTTTTTGTCTGTCCCAAAATAAACTTCTCACTTTTATTCTTTCCATAAAAGAAATGATTAAGTGGCTTACAACATTTCTCCCTTTTAAACATATTTTCTCCACATACTTTTCACTTTTCAACAAGTTTCTTTAACTCGGTGAAGTCATACCAAGACTTTTATTTGGGACGAATGGAGTATAAAGTAATCCAAACCAACATGCATGCTTTCACCAATGGATTATAGTGTGGGAACAACAAAAAAAGTGTCTATATAATGAAGGAAAATGATCATTCAAGAACAGTTTTTCTATAAATGAAAGTATTAACATAGGATTTCATAAGTAGATGAATATCACTGAACAAAGGGAATAGAAACACTTATCAATCTTGTAACAGCTGGGACAATAAACTTGTGTCATTATCATATGAAGTATTTAAAATTTTGATTTAAACATGCAGAGGATTTTACTTGAAGAATGACCATCTTAATCTATCTACCTCTTATACAAAACACTTGCATCATTCAAGCATCCATTGAACCATGAAACTAAAATATAATCCTCAAATTCAGAAAATAGCAGCAGATACCTTGATCATAAGATGATTTTAAAGAACATTATTACAGAATCCTTTCCAACATAAAAACCAAAACAATTTTTCTTAACTCCTTGCTCCATTACTACCTTTTCTTCTCGAATGTGCACTAACTAGCAGTTACTATAAAGAAAAAATAATCAATGCAGCTCTTTTTTCCCAAAAACCCATAATTAAATCCAGAAAGACCAACAAAGAACAAATCAGACAACAGGTCCATCCATACCACAATACAGGTGTGCACAAATGCAGGAACAAGACAAACAAATGGAATTAGTCAGCACGAAATAAAGTCAGTCATACATGTGCACATGGAGGAAGAAGAAATGTGCGCGAATTCGTGAACAGACAAAGACATGAATGAAAAATGGTGAGGAAGAAAGAACCTGGGGGAGGCGGAGCTGCGATAGCTGGGAGTACAGGAGGAGGGGGTAGGGCCTTCTGGAACAATGAAGCGAAAAATCTTCGCGCTCCGGCGTTAATGAGCTTGGAAGCAGGGTCGACGACGAGCTTCGAAAGCCAGCTAGGGTTTCGGATGGAGGTAGGAGGGCGATCGTACGGCGTGGTCTGCCCCCTCCGAAACGGCCTCTTACGAAACTTTCCTCCCGCTCCTCCGACTTCGTAGGCGGCCGGGTGCGTGGTGGGCGCCGACGCCGCCGCCGTCGTGTCTTGCCCAACTGTCGCCATTATTAGAATTGTAGAGAGAGAGAGAAAATGAGATAACGGGCACCGTGATTGGAGAGGGAGGGAGGGAGAGAGGGGACAAATTAGGGTTTCCTGTATGCCCAATGTCGATTTATGTTTTTCAAAAAAAAAAACTTTTTTGAAAATTTAAATTTGTTCTCCTTATTCAGCAACTCGGAGACAATAAATTCAAAATGTGAGGTGCGGAAAATAGGCGGTGTTATCTCCAATTTTAAGAACAAAATACTCCGTATATAGAGAATTTAGCCTTTTTTGGAAATAACAATTTCAATTGGCGTTAGCGTTTTAGATAAAATATTAACGGTAATTCAAAAAATATTAATGCTAAACCCAGCTAAAGAATATCGTTAGATAATTTTTTAAAACGTTAATGCTAATCTCTAACATTGATGTCAAACAAGACCTTTAATTACTCTACTTCAAATATACCGGGGTAGAAAAAATATATTGTACTCGTTTTAAAAATATAAATAATGTCAAAACAAATACTTTGAATTGTAATTTTGAAAATTTTATGCCCATATATGATATCGAGTATCTATTACAGAGTGATATATTTTTAATAATCAAAGTGTTGTAATGAATAACATAAAGTAAAATGAAAATATAATTTGAGAACGTGAGAGTAATTGTCTGCAAAAAACATACCATAGTACAAAATATATTGGAGTACAACATAACATACTTTGGCTAAATATTTTGAAAAATTAAACTTTTCACGCAAGACTCAAACATGTCACGCCTACTCATGAAGTGGTGTGTTAGAGCGCACACACACATATATATGCCACAATTACAAGCTTGAGCTTTTGATTGAGTTGGTTCCTTGACATGTAATTAGAACGAGCTACATTATATGTTCTCTCTCACTCTCATCTCTCATGATAAATCAAATAAAAAAGAAGCCATAATCGGTTCTTCTCCTTCACTTCATTTTTTCTTCTTCAATGATCACACATGGCCCCTACTTCAAACAGTGAACATAATCAAACATAACCAAACATGTCCAAACATTGGCCTAGCGCTGGGCTTTAACAATCTGTCGCAGATAAATAAAATATTGTAGCTTAAAATTGGCGTCAATACCTAACGTGTAGTACTTTCAAAACGTATGGTAGTTTCTAAAGTGTCTGTAGTTTTAAAACGTTGCGCCAAAACCCCTTCAGCCAAACCTCTTATCTTTTTCTGGCGAGGAGAGGCATTAGTGTCTATTTTCTAAACCATAAGGGGGCACTCGTGCTCATTTCTTATTTTTCATTATTTTATTTGTTTTTTTCTTTTTTTCTCTTTTTTATCGCTTTTTTTTATTGAAAGGTTTTTAAAATTTATTTTCAATTTGTTATAATGTTTTAAAAAATTTAAAATTGTGTGTTTAAATGAAAATAAAAATAAAAAACTAACATACATTGCATCTATCTCAAATTAAACGTTTTCACTTTTTGTTTTCAAAAATAATTTTTTCAGTAAGTTCAAAAATAAAATCCATAATAAAAAATATACGGAGTATTAAAGTATATGGAAAAACAAAATAAAATAGATTGAAACATGCCAAAAAAGAGTGTTATACAAAAAGAAATTTTAGAATGCCTAAAAAATCTATAGAATTGGGATATCCAAAAAGGATATTTACTTTTATTTTTTGTTTTATTTTAATTCTTATTTTATTTCTCACTTCTTAAAGTTCTCAGAAAAAGTTTTTACTTTTTATTTCACAAAATAAAAATAAAAATTGTTAATTTGACATGTACAGATGTAATATACGGAGTATGTTTTTTTTAAACAAAAACAGATTTAAATTTTAAGAACATTATAAAAAATAAATAGAAATTTAAAAAACCTTGATTAATAAAAGAGACAAATAAAGGAAAAAAGAGGGAAAATAAAAAATAAGAAATGAGCACCAATGCCCTCTATGGTTTAAAAATAGGCACCAGCGCCCCCTTTTCGGAGGAAAATGGCCAAAAAATGATAAGAGGGTGAGAGGGTGTGGCAGTCTTTGTATTTTTAGCCAAGTTCTAATATTGATTCCAATTCTTAGTTGAAGTTAAATTACCTTATATAAATAGTTTGTCATGTGCTCTTTGATCTCTTGAGTGAAACAATTATTCTAACATATATAATAATTAAGTTTAGTTATTATATTTTAAGATACACACACACATACACACACGGAGCATGGTTTATGATTTAAAACTTAAGAAATATTAAAAATTGAAGAATGTGTTATTTTTTAATGCTAATTAATAACTTGGTTATAGTGTCACTGCACCAGAAGGTCATTGACAAGAGTTTGTTGTTGATATTTCAAATTTGTTCTAATGAAAGCCATATTTGTTCTAATGAAAAAGAAACTGTATGTTAATACCAACGTCTCGCTTGCCCACGTTCCACACTGACTACGATCCTCCTTTATTTATGCACAATGATTACATTGTATATTAATTATTGTGTACTAGTACAAAGATGACAAAATTAACAAAATATTAGTATTCAATGTGGTTATTATTTAACTGAATATAGTGTAGTACATTTGTACAAAGATGACAAAATTAAAATAGACACTTTAAATTCACAACCAACCTTGTAACTAGGATACAAAATTGCATATATACACATACAACTACTCTCTAATAACTTATATAGTAGTATATAAAAAATCATTCACAATCACACTAATAAGTACAAGAAATTAAACTACAAATAAAATCAAGACCATCATCACACATTGTGCTTTTTGAGAGCCCTAAATTGCGCTATCCCTCTATAAAGGGCTTGCCAATTTTCAGGCATTGACCGGAACCTCTTCTCATCGTCTATGGCTCCCTTTGTCAACCCGGTAGACATTGACACATATTGCTTCATCTTTTGGTGACGATCGTCAATGCCATGATATGGCAATACATCCACTTCATTTGAAAACTTTACTCTCTTAGTTTCATCTTTCATCATTTCTACAACGCACCACCATTAAGTTACGTTGTTGAGTTGAACAATAGGGAGTAGATAATGTAACATTTGATGATGAACATAATCACTTTGGTTCAAATGATCGAATCTCAATGTCATGTGATAACATTGAGTTACAGTGCTCTGATCTCTTGGATCTGAATATGATTCCTACCTCCCTGACTACATCCCATATCAACTGTTCAAATAGATAAATATTCTGTAGTGAAACTGTCGTAGTATTTGGCATTTTGGGGAGGGAGGTAGTGGGGGTGCGTGGCTAGCTGAGGTAGGATTAGGAGGGTTAATGGGTAAAAATTAATTTCAAACATAACAGAGCATTGTAGAGGTACAATATCATCACATGTTGAATGAGTCGCATGTATACATACATAACACTAAGTTTCATAAAAACTCTCATTAATTAGGTGATGCTTGAATCACTAAGTATATCACAACATGATACTCTCTACATCTGCCATAAATATTCCCAAGTTATTTTTTTATGAGTTTTAAAGAAAATTAAAAAAAGTAACTCAACCTGAAAAAGACTCAAATTATAGCAAATGCATTGTTTATATACTTCGTCCGTCCCTAAAAGATTGCTACATTTTGACCTTTTTAGCCAAATTGTGGGATCCGTTGACCGCGAATTATGAGAAAAATATATTTAGTTATTATATAAATTTAGTAAAATTAGGTTTTTATAAATATAGTTTTTAAATATAAAATTAGGTTTGTAAAATTAGGTTTTTATAAATATAGTTTAATAATATTTAATTATTTCAAAGTATATTCAATTCATGATCAATGCGTGTCACAGTTTGATAAAAAAAAGTTAAATTGTGACAATCTTTTAAGAATGGAATCTAGAATGGAATCTGAGTATGATTTAAGTTGATAGATGAGGAGTTACCAAATTGGTGTTCAATCTTGTGCATGAAATCGGACATGAGATGTTTATGGACCTTGAGGGCAAGAAGAATGACGCCGCCGGACGCTGCAAATACCGCCATGCACCCCGCCGCTCTCAATGAACACTCCATTTTCTTTTGTTTAATTTTCTTGTGAAATCAAACAAAAGAAACACATATGATATAAATGATTATGACATTATCCTGGCAATTAACAGTCTTTAATTTTGACGACATTTATTTATATCTTAATTGAAAACCTTTTTTTTTCTCTTCTTTTCATGCACACCCCCCATTTAATTTGTTTAATTTTTCTTCCGAAATGAGTTTGAAGAGTTGTTTGTGAAAAGGGAGAACCAATAGATTAAGGATGAGTTTGTTTGCATTGTTTGGTGCATGGTTCACGGCCTCTCGTTTTGATTTCAACATATGATCAAAGTAAATGAATAAGAGAAAAATAAAAGGAATAACTTCCATAAAAGTCCCTCAGTTATTATTCATTTTACATATTTAGTTTCTACATGTCAAATATTAATAATTTAGTTTCCAATTATTATATTGTTTCTCCACGAATTGTTTTTTGTTAACATTTCCGCTATAAACGTGGATAAAATTATAAATTCACGCTCTTCTTTCTCCTCAATTAAGCTTCCTCCCTCCTTGCACTCATTTCCCAAACCCATCGCTGAAGACCTACGAATTATACATGGACCTTAGGTGCACAAAATCACCACTCAAGATTGTGATCCGCAAAAACTTGTCTAAAACAAAAAAGATAGAGTCTTTTTTTTAAGCCGTCCGAAAATAAAAATAAGAAATCTTATTTTGAAATACGGGAGTGAGTATATTTTTTACTTGGTATTTGGAAACTTGAGGGTAGAAAAGTGTGAATTTTGAATTTGGTAACAACAACGGTTTTAATTTCCATTCCACTTGTGAGAAGGTTATGATGCAAAGAATTTAGAAACCTCCTTCCTTCTTTCCCAAACAAACATTCACTCACGTCCATTCTTAAACCATCATGCCGCTTCTCCTCCTTCTTTCCCCCCTTCGAAAGATCGCCACTTCTCCTAAAGAACGCCACTTCTTCTCATCAACCGTACCATCCCTCCTCTTCCTCTTCCTAGAGGTCGCCGGAGCTACGCCGACTTCCAACAGGTAATCTTTTTCTCTAATTCTCCAAGTGTTTCATATATACTTGTATTTCAGGGTTTTAGTCGTCAAAATATCTCCTTTTTTTTTTATCTCATTATCTAATTCGACATCAAAGACTGAATTTTTCTCCCTTTTGTGTGGTTATGCTCTTGGTTCTTGATTCTTTTTATCTTGAGAATTATGCCCCCCTCTTCCAACGTCCCCTCTAATTTCATGAGAATTATGCAGGTTCAGTGTTCAGATTGAGGGCTAAAATGGGGCATCTTCGAAAGCAAGCTTGGGTTTTGTTTTTCTTGATTTTACTTTCACAAAGTTGCTCGTCATGGGGATGGTGGTTCTCAGGCTCAAGCAACAATGGCGATGATCAAGCACAAGGAGACTATTCGTCGGGCGAAGACAAGCGGCATTCTTTTCAGAAACAGGTTTCTGGGTTCTCCATGAAGCCGTTTGAGAGTAGGAAAGGGCTGAAATTGATGGAAGACGCAAAGGAGAAGATGTTGGCCCCAAATACTTGCTGGCGAAGGGCGTACCAGAGTGTGTTTGCAGAGTGTTCAAAGGTTGTCCCCAATGAAGAACTCAAGTCCAGGCTTGCTTGGTATCTCACGGATTGTTTCCAACAACACTCGGGACGGCCACCTCTCCCCCATTGTGATTCGAGATCTGTCATGACCAAGTGTTTGAAGAATTTGGATGATCATGCTCATAGAACTTATCTTGAATTCTTCCTCCAGACCGATTCTATCTGTCACCAGTTGCAGTAAGAATATAAATTTTCATTCTTTGGTTAATAGTATAGTTTTCCTTTCCAATTTTATTGTATTTTCACCAAAGTTTACCTTTTTGTACTTGCATCTAAGAACCGATAGATCACTTAAAATTCAAGACGAACACTTTCTTGGTTTTTAACATATTTACGGCTTGTAGGATGCATGCATTTAGAGATGACACAGAGAGGTTGGTCAATGCATTGAAGGATAATGCAGAGACTGTTTGGGAGAAACTTGAGGTCATTTCAGATAAAGAGGAGCTGATATTAGAGAATTCAGGAAACATTCATGACATGTTGGCCTCTGTCGATCATAGAACTCAAGAGTTGGAAAGGGCTTCAAAGAATGTTGAAGATCATGTCTCCGTGGTGCTCAAGCATTCAGAATCAATATATGAACAATCAATGGGAATTGCAGAGTCTCAGAAGGAGCTAACTGAGGGCCAGGAAAAGATGAAGAAGAAGTTGACGGAGGGGATGGCAATGATTCATGAGTCTTATGTTAGTCTGGATAAAGAGATTATTGAGTTGAAGAATGAAGCAGAGGTAATAGAAAAGGAGATTGGTAAAGTTGGAGACGAAATGTTTTCAAGGATGATGACACTTCAAGGTAAAGCCGATGATATTGAGAATATAGCTGGGGTTTCTTTAGATAAACAGAAACAACTTCTGGACGGACAATCTGTAGCTCTTGATGGTCTCCAAGTTCTCAACAAGTTTTTGAGCCAGGCTCTTGAAGAAAGCAGGTGAACATCAAAACTAGCTGACAATAACATCAAGGTTTATTTATGATTTTTTCTGGCTAAGTGTGTGTGTAATTAACAGTATTTTTCCATGGTTATGTATTGAATTTCACAGGGGAAATCTGGAACATTTAGCTGAAATCGGGCATAAGCAACAAGAGGAACTTCTTAGAAGGCAAGAACAGCTTCAACAAGCACACGATCATCTTGCTGAGAATTCGAAAACAATATTAGCTGCTCAGGTGAGTATCTCAGGCTATTTTTATTAACTTTCATTGACATTGTCATCTCAGTCACCATTACCTAATCGCCCTGTTTTGTTGCAACAACAGGAAGCATTTGAATCAAAGCAAGCAAGCATGTTTGTCGCCCTGGACAAGCTCTTCGCACTGCATAATGCCATGCTCCTCGAATCAAGACTCATCAAAGCTTTCTTAGTCTACTCATTGTCAATCTTTATTCTGTATATGTTCACTAGCATGAAGCAAACTTACAACGTGAGGCCTAGGCTTTATATGGGTAAAGTATCTACTTTAGTGTTTAGATTCAAGAAAGAACTTAAACCTCCACAATATTCCTCCATTGTTGAATAATAATACACTGCCTTTGAGCTTAACCTCCCTTTTCTTTCAGGATTATGTGCTACATTTGTTATGGAATTAGCCATAGCTCGATATGGGACATACGAAATGGAGATGCAGTCTTGGATTATAGGCATTGTCAGATCACTCTTTATGGTTGGAGCATCGTTTCAACTTATGTATGCGATTTGGACATACAGGTGAAAATCACTTGTTTTGAGTTTGCATCATGAATCAATTTATAGGACACCCTTTATCTTCTTTACTTCACTTTTTTTGTTTTGTTTTGCAGAGATTATGAAGTTTTGAACCATCAGATGCTATTGACATTGATAGAGAAAGTAAATGGGATTCAGAAGCACAAACAGCTGTCATGGGAGATGGAGAGTGATTCAGATAGTGAGATAGACTGGTCTGCATGGGTTGATGAAGAATTGCCTGATGATGTCGATGAACTGGAGGATCCTGATTACATAGTTCATGATAAAGTTGCAGAAACTCCAGTCTTGCACAATGGAGTAACACAGAGATATAACCTACGTAATCGCAATTCGTTATTATAACTTACCACCATTTTTTAGATATTCTCTGTAGTGCTGTACTGTCCATGAAGAGTAGTATATGTATAAATTATAAAGTAAAGTTATGCATCTGGTAATTGTGTATTTCTAGTAGTTGCACCTTGCTAAAATTATGAAGTTAAATACGGTGGAAAAAATGCTTTTTTATGGGACAGAGGGAGTGCAACCCAACAGATAGAAACTTGGGAAAGAAACCCAACAAGTATAACCTAATTGTCAGAAACGTAGGAAGACCAAATGTTATGTACCATTCCCGTTGATGAACTTAGGTGTTGTGCCCAGAAAATTAAAATGGTTCCTTGATAGACTAATCTGGTTTCTGCAACTTTTGACTTGTTTCTTCGTTCATGCTTTGATATGGTGAAATACCGAATCTTTCTTTGACAGCTTGAAATGTTCACCATGCATGTAGAATTAATTGCCTCTTTTTGAGATTTTTTTTAGGCTTGTTTGTGTTTTTAGGCTTCAAGATAACTTTCCTTTCCATGATGTAATTAGTTGAGATCTTTCACATCAAGTTTTAGTTTATTTTCTGCAAAAAAAGAGGAAGGAACAATTCCCAAACCCTAACAGAACCAGTTGAATTAGAGGCGATTTAAAAAAAGTGATTGCCAATTGAAACAGGTAAATAGCATGTTATTGTGATTTCGAGAGAAACATAGTGCTTGAATCCAAGAAACTTATGACTGTTCATAATGTTTACACAAGATTTTTTGTTTTTGCAGCATTCAATGGCTTGAAAAATTGTCAATATGAATATATTCAACAAAGCATTCAGGGAACATCCTTTGTGCAGACGGGCACACGTTTAACAGTAAGTTTCCTAAGCATTAAAAACTTATTCATTATTAATTATTACCACCAAGAGTAAGTTGAAGCGAAATAAATGTGAAAGAAACCAGATGAATCTCTCAGAACATGAATTTATACCGTAGAATCCAAGGCCAGGAGAGTGCTGAGATTCATGGGAGTCATGTACTTGGTGGTGCCACCCATGATTTGTTGGACAATGAGCTTGTTTGCCTTTTCTGACGGGTGGAATGCATCCCAGAATGCATACTGCTCCCTGTTTGAGCACAAGTTAGACAATGCTGTGCAGAGGCCGAGGCCGTTATAGGGTCCTTGTCCACAACAAGCAACCTTAGAACTAGCAAACCCTGTCACAATAAAGTTAAACAATGTTAAGGTGGGTCCAACAACAGCAAAAACCACAACAAAACCAATAAAGTCCCCACAAAAAGGAGGGTTTGTGAAGGGTGTGTGTAGCAGCACAAAAGAAGCGTACAAATTGACTCTAAAAACCACAAACTAAGGGTTATAGGTCTACCCAACTACTCTAATCCTAGATATGTAGTCTTTCCTGTTTAAGCTCATATTATCGCTAAGATCCCAAAGCTTTCCAACTCTTTCTAGGTCTACTTCTACCCCTTGCCACACACTCTACCGGATGTATTGGATGCAAATGCTCATATTAATGATGAGTTAGGATGAAAGGTTCATACCAAATGCCAGAGGGTTGCTAACGAAATCGTTGTGTATTAGTTGCGTATTTGCAGCAGTGAAAACGTTTCTGCCTAGTTTTCCATTGAGTCCTTGTAACATTTGAATAAGCTGTGGGTTGAAAAGTGATGCGGCGCGCTGCAGTTCAGCTGCACACTCTCCATTCCTGCTTCGTTGCGCTAGTTCTGATGGCACACAACCTAGTGGTCCTGTTCCTGTCACAATCACCCTTCGAGCTCCCAGGTCATAGAGCCTCTGCAATGGCAACACAACCTTAATAATGCAGTTCTTCTCTTAAAATAAATATAGGGTTAACTTTTGTTGTTAAATTTTGAAAGTGATTACATTATGTTACCCATGTAATAAACTGATATTGAGCAAGTATGAATAAGGACAATAATGGGCACTTACCATCAATATTTTTCTGTATTCAGAGATGAGAAAGGGGACATAATCTTTTAGAGCATACTGCTGGGACCTTATAGAGTTAGGGACAAGATAGTAATTGTTCACAAAATCATTCCCTCCAACGGTGATGAGAACGAGGGCTTGGTTCACAAGCTTCTTGGTGCGGTCTGCACCTATCAATGCGCTCACACGGCGTTGGTACTCACCAAAGTAGGCCAGCTGTAAGGGCATCCTAATAATATTCACCTGCACATAAATTAAGGGGCAACTTTTTTCTTTTGTGTGTGTTCATCAAATCAAATCTTTTATTCTTGTAATGATTTTGGGACATTGAAGACAAGAAGGGAAGGGTTGGAATGTGTTACAAATTGGACACCGGTGTCATTGAGAATTCCAATCCCAGCTGATGCAAAGTTAGCCCCAACAAGCATTCTTTGCCCTCCAAACTGTGGACTCAAGTAAGGCAGTGGGGATTCTGAAGCACCAATCTTCTGACCTGCAATTTAAGGTACAATACCAAAAACAACTTGTTACTCCCTCCATTCTTTTTTTAACTGACTCTTTCGTTTTTCACCATTATTTTTTAAACGCCACTTTTGCTTTTCGTGTCAAAGGTTTGACCAACAATAAAACAAATGTACTCAGCTGATGATGTCAGGGATGTTAAGGCCATTAGAGAAACGGCCCGTGGGTCTATGCGTAGGGTAATCAACCCCATAGGGGGGCGAATCCGCCCTAGCGGTGGTAGCCAAGTAGTTATTGTTGCCGCTGTCCACCAGGGAGTCGCCAAACACAAAGAACGCCGGAGCCGCTGCTTCTGCCGCTTCAATCATCATCATCAGCAGACCTGATAAAACAAAGCAGAGGCCAGTGGAAGGGGAAGAAAAACTTGCTTTGGCCATAGCCTGAGGTATATGATTAACAAGAAAGTTTTGACTTTTTTTTTGTTTTTTTATGCATGAAAAGCTAATAGATGCCTGCATGGCTTTATACAAATGGCTTGAAACTGAAAGACCAAAGGTTGAATTAAATGTTGTGAGTGAAGCTTGGTGGAAAAGGGAGAAAAATGGTTCAACCATTATGTGTTTTTTAATTTAATTTTGTATTCAATTGGGGGCAGCTCACAGTTATAAAAGCTACTAGTATATATTTTGCTATAGTAAAAAGGGTCAATCTAACTCCATTACTATGAGACGTTTCGAGAAGTGTTTAAAATCAAATTTGTGACATGTGTCAATATATAGAATACTAAATATCTGCATGTTGTGCCTTGTGTCGATAATCGTTGTGATAATGAAGAGCGATAAAGTCAACCATTTGTTTATAGATTGAATAGGTTGTACTATCTTTTTGTTGACTTTATTGTTACCTAGTTAAAATGGTAAAATAAGTGACAAAGATTGTTTAATAATGTAATCCAACCATTTGGTCAATAAGGGCGGGATAAATTATGGTGCTTAGATCATCAAACGTGTGAATGAGGGTGTAGGGCACTAACCTAATTATTCATATGAAGAACAAGAAAACCTCATATGATCAACATAAATGAATGTTTGACGCCAACTACCTAATACATATACTCTTCCGTTTTTAAAAAATACTTTCGTCCTAATTTTTTGCACACCCAAAAAATACTTTCACTCTATCTAAAATGTCTAAAATGCCTTCAAAAAAATTTCTATCCGCAATAAACTACATAATGGGATGTATTTTAGACATTTTAGGTGGAAGTATCATGCGGTGCGCAAAAAATTAGGGCAGAACTGTTTTAAAAAACGGAGGGAGTACATTTTTATATGTTTATATCGGTACTCCAATTAAATTAGTTTCATATAAAATAATGGACTAATTCAAGAAAAAAGGAAGACACCCCATCCCCGGGTGCCCCTTAGCACCGGCCGGACAGTTAGCTGAGAGGAGATAAATTAAGCTATAATCTCAGTCAATTGGCATAAGGGTAAGGTTCCGTGCCTGGTACTTGCAGAAGTCTCATGTTTTACATTGTTGCCTCTCATTACAGCCACCAAACTTCGTTTGAACTCGAGATGTCTCCCTGGTAGCACTCCTATGCCAACCGTCGAGCTACGCCTCACAGGACTAAATCAAAATTTAAGTGATAATGTTGCACATTACACTGTGTGTTAATGTGGTACCAGTAGAATAAAGTTTTGGAAAAATCAAAGTTAGGTATGAAGATGTTCAGAGAAGAAAACTCTTAATTGCAGCAGAAAAAGGAAAAATAGGGTAACGTAAAGCTGCATGCTTTCAATTACCGAGACCTATATTTTGAGGCACTTAATTAAGGATTGGTACCAAACATGATGAGAGAGACAAAGAGAGAGAAGATTTTTCAAGTAAAACATGTGTAACCTATGAATCTTACGTTAAAAGCAAATTATGAATGCCCCAAATAATAGAATATTATAAATTATTTAAATTTAAGATTAATAGAAAAAAATAGAATATTTTTTTGGTTAGTCTACAGACGTTTCGGACCCGTCTTTGGCAAAATCTGACTAATCCTTAACTTTTTGACCGAGTTTGTAGATTAAGGCCGAAAGTCTCCTAGCAGGTGGTGGGGTTTGAACCCATGACCTCAAAGTTACCACAGCTTTACACAGAAAAAGTAGAAATCATTTATATTGATTGATGTAAAAAAAAATAGGAAAACTAGAGGTAAATTCTTACGTGCTCCTAATGTTCATGCTAATTTTATGGACATTAGTTCATTGATATCATAAAAGAATGTGGCCTTTTGTAATTTAAAAAATCACTTGGCAGCCCATGCAAAGTATGAGAATATTCACATTTCACATATAGACATCAAGATTACGAAAGAACAACTCAAAATTAAAATGGTATAAATTATTTAAATATAAGACTTAAGTTAAAAAGAGGAAAAAAAACAATGGCTTGATATTAAAATACTAGAAATCATTTAAACGTAAGATTAATGTAAAAAAATAAAACACTAGAAATCATTTATATCTAAGATCAGATTAATAGAAAAAACAAAACACTAGAAATCATTGCTATCTAAAACTAGAAGGAAAAAAATTAAAATACTCCGTACTATTCTACCACAAGACGAATGGTGCTTTTTAAACCAAAGGAAGTAAAATTTAAGTAAAAAAAAAATGGCTCAGTGTTAGCAATCACATTGCCAAATGCACCAGCCGGGAATCGAACCCGGGTCTGTACCGTGGCAGGGTACTATTCTACCACTAGACCACTGGTGCTTCTTGCTTATCGATGTGATACAATCACATAAATCCAACATCATTTAAAATGCGGATGTTAAGCCCTTGCGTAGTTGCGTCTATTGATGGATTGAATCCTTGAACCCAAAAAGTAGAGTAAGATCTATAATTAGTTTTTTATAAGAATGTGTTTTATCGTTTTTTCTATTTAATTTTTTATTATCAAATAATACCCTGGTGGTTCTTCTTTTACAAGTTATCTTTTTACAAATAGTCTTTTATTTAATTTATGTCAAAATATTATTAATTTGAAGGTTAAAAATGTAATTTTCAATGATTATATATCTTTCTTATCATGCACAATTACAGAGACCGCTCTTGATGCGTCATTTCTGAATTACAGCCGCTTTCAACCTCTGTTAGCTTATTCGCATATAATGCGCGTATTATACACTCGTACCTACAATACACGTTATATACTGACGAATATGAATTTTTAATCTAAAAAACATATAATATACACATATTTTTTACCTCTAACATATTTATGAATTTTATACATATTAAATCGCAAAATCCTCTTCTATCGGCTCCTACAATCAAAATTTAGAAGGTCAAATATAATTTTGGATCAGATTAATTTACTTAATTGTTTTCTTCTTAAAAATACAAATTTTTAAAATTTGGTGAGTTAGCAATTGTAAAAGTATTTGAAGCTGGATCGTAGTTCGAGTCATCCACCAAATCCTTTGTTAATTAAATATCACCCACGGCCTACTAGTCTCTTCAACTTCATCTGGCTGAAAGTCCAACACTCCAAATGCTCTAGTAGATATTAGACAACAACATTCTCTCTATGTGTTTAGATTTTTAAAATGTAATCAATTTTTTGTATCTAGTTATTGAGGTTAAATATCTATCCACAATTAAAAATACAAATTGGATTTAGGGGGTGTGATTTGAATTCTAAAAATCTAAGTATAACTATATTTTTCATTCTAAAAATGAAAAATATAAAGTTGATCTCATTTTATTCAATTTTAAATTACGTAAAAGATTATTTAGTGAGTTCATATTTAAATTACAAAGAGATTTGAATCTTCCTATAAAATTTATCATGAGCATTTAATCAATTTCATAAAACTCAAATTGTCTAATAATATATTTTTCGTCATGTTTCAATTGTTCCATTTGTGTCATCATCTTTATCTTTAAGAACATGTTCTTACTTTGAATACATTTTGTGGAAGTACACAATAATAGTTAGATTGAAAAATCTCCTTTGGATACACATGAAAAAAAATGAATAAATAATACTCCCTCCGTCCCTGAGTGTTTGTCCACTTTCATTTTTGCACACCATCCAATGCACTTCTTTAATCCATTTTATCTTGTAATTTGTATATTAAAAAATTATAAAAATTATATATTAAAAATCTATATGTTAAGACAAATCAAACAAGATCACACATGACTATATTTAGGCTTACACAATGAGAGAATTTGATGAGTCAAAGTGCTTAGATGAACAGTTCCAAAAATCAAAAGTGGAAGAATATAGTGGGACGGAGGTAGTACTTCAGAGTGTCTATTGAATTTTTCAATTTTTTATGGTATATTTGTATTCAATTTTAATGTTTAAACTATCCTTTTTATTAAGAATATTTGCACTCATTATAAGTCATATTTTTAAAAAATTAAACGTATAATGCACGAATATATTCATCTACGTACTCCAAACATATAAAACATATAATTAGACGTCTTTTAAAAAAATTATTTTTATACAACTATACATTATATTTTTTATTTAATTGAGTTTTAAAGGTTGTGTAATTTGACTAAAAAAATCAAACTGGACGTATATACTGATAGATAATTAATACGGAGCATTAACTTATGCTAGTATTTGACTCATATATATATAGAAAGAAGATCTTGACTTTATATGCAAGTGATTGATTTTATCTGAAAATCTAAGAATTATATTGTTCTCGGCCTACCGAAATTTTAACATGGTATTAGAGAAGGTCCGATCTGATTTTGATACTCCCTAGTTGTATGGACGTGGATTAGCAATATAAGCTACCTGTATATGGTTTGGGTTGAGTTGGCTATAGGAGATTGAGATACTAAACTCGTTTGTCGAAATTCTAATTAGGTCAGACTAGTTAACATTTGAGGAGAAGGGTTAAAATTCTTACATCGAAAAAAGTAATAAAATACCACTAACATATATGGAAGGCTTATCAACTTAAGCTTTTGGGTTAGAGAATGGATTCTGACTTTATATGCAAGCGATTAATTTTTCCGACAATCTGTCCATTATTCTTGTCCCACCGGAATTTTAACTGTTTCTAACAAAAAAATTGAAATGCAAAAAAAAAAAGGTACTACAAAAGTGTTACAAAAAACATAAAAAATTTTGTACTTCGATATTGAGCAATGCTAGGGGTACACCTGTACACCAAAGGTGTACCCCATTTATCCTCCACCCCTTTCTCCACCACTCATTTTTATTTTATTTTTATTTTTTTTAGTCTCTTGCCCATTTATGTGGACAAGGAGATGGTCTGGGTGGGGTACAAAGGTGTATCCCTAGCATTTTTCTTCCCTTTGACATTGAATCCACTCTCCCATTGGTGTGAGAAATAGAATAGGAATGAAATGATTCCTGGCCTGCCACGTGGAAGTTCGTTACTTCTTTTTCGGCAAGTTCTCTAACTAACTCTCTCTCTCTCTCTGCCCGCTTCTCAAATCACTTCTCTCTCTCTTTTGATTAAAAAAATCAGTTCTCTCTCTTCCTAATTTCTCCACAGATCCTTAGCAAAATAAGAGGAAGAATGAATGCCCTAATCAAAAGCAGACCGGACAGGGGAAACTAATCTTTGAGGAGCAGATCGATCTTTTATAAACTAATTACAACCTCGGAAATGGTAATTACGTTATTGATCTTGTTATAATTAAATGTAGTCTTTTTTTATATACGGAGTATAATTATTTATTGTTTATCTTTGTGATAATCTAGTTGTTTAAAAAATGCATAAGTCTGTCTTGAATTATATGTTAATCTAGTTTACCCAATGGGTAAACTCCACGGCGGTATAGGACTACTATTAATTGATGATTTCAGAGTATGTACCGTTAAAAAGATTACACGCTACAAAATAGTTACATGGAGAATTAATTAAGAAACAATAAAATTCGGGTCGAGTCTCTGCACGAACCCCACTATAGGGTGAACGCACAACAATTAACAGTACATCAAATATTATTTCAAGGTTCAATTCACAACCTAACAAGTAGTAGTAAGTGTTACATTGCACTTTAAAGTTTGACTTGTTTACAATTATGCCACCATTATTTTAACGAGATATTGATCAGATCCATTCATTTTTATGTGATGATCGAAAGGTTTAGATAAATTCATGCACTTAGAATTGCAATTGCTGTAATTTATACAAACAAGAATGCTTGTTACGTTCTTGTTTGTGTAGGCTCATTGCATTTCACACAATGTGATTGATGATACTTACATTAAACTCAAAGGATGTTCCAGAAACAACCTTTTAAAGAAAAGGATGTCGCAAGATAAGGCTTAGTTTTTGTTGTTGTAGTTGTAGTAGTTGTTGTTAAATAAAAGAAGGGCATTTAAATATGCATTGAAAACCATTGATATTAACCGGATAGCTCAATCAATACCGTGTTGTCTTGTTTTTGCAGGGAACATCAGTAAATATTATAGTTGGATCTCATGTTTGGATTGAGGATCCACATGTAGCCTGGCTTGACGGTGAAGTGCACAAAATCAATGGTGATCAAATAGAGATCCTCACAAGTAATGGCAACAAGGTACTAGAACTTGTTATTCTCATAATCTCATCAGTTTGTTCTCTTAGTTCAATGTTTTCTTTCTATACATAATCTTTTTGTGTTGTTCATTTAAGGTTGTTAGAAAGTTGTCGGAGGTTTATCCCAAAGATGTGGAAGCTCCTGCTGGTGGGGTTGATGACATGACGAAGCTGTCTTATTTGCACGAACCGGGCGTTTTGCAGAACCTCAAATCCAGATATGAGCTAAATGAAATATATGTTGGTTTTGCCTCTCAACTCATGTGTCACATTGTCCATTCTTTCTACAATGGCTTCTCATTTGAGCTTTTGTACAATGACAGACGTACACGGGAAATATTCTCATTGCCATAAACCCTTTCCAAAAACTACCCCATCTCTATACTGCACACATGATGCAGCAGTACAAGGGAGCGCCGCTTGGCGAGCTCAGCCCTCACGTCTTTGCTGTTGCCGATGTTGCTTACAGGTTAATCCCTCCCATTCAGTTTGGGTTAACAATGGGTTTAGTTAAAGTTTTTTTTTACACAAATGTTTGTTGGAAACAGGGCGATGATTAATGAAAAGAAAAGCAATTCCATTCTTGTGAGTGGAGAAAGCGGAGCAGGTAAAACAGAGACCACAAAAATGCTTATGCAGTATCTCGCGTTTTTGGGTGGCCGCGCAGCTACTGAAGGAAGGACAGTTGAACAGCAAGTTCTTGAAGTATGACACTGACACATTACTTTTAAGCATCTGTTTCTAATGTGAATAATCTTAGCGTTTTGTATAGTTATTTGTTTTGTATAATTATTTGAGGGTGCCGATTACCTTTAAAAGCATTAATCTAAATGTTGTCATAGGAAAGTGTTTTCAAAACGCTAACGCTCATGCCAAACAAGCATTGTATCAATCAAGTTTCAGTTCCTAATGATGTTTGCTATGTTTTATGTATATTACAATTACAAAAACCCTCATGGATCCTTTGTATATACCTATTGAAGTGCAGTCTAATCCAGTCCTTGAAGCATTTGGCAATGCAAAGACGGTTCGAAACAACAATTCAAGGTTAGTCTCCGAACATAAAAAAAGGTGCTTCCATTGAGATTCAGTTTGATAAAAATGGAAGAATATCAGCAGACTTAGATATGTCTATAAACTGCTGCAGCCGATTTGGAAAGTTTGTTGAGATTCAGTTTGATAAACATGGAAGAATATCAGGAGCAGCCATTAGGACCTACCTCCTTGAAAGATCCCGGGTTTGCCAAATTTCTGATCCAGAGCGTAACTATCACTGTTTTTATTTACTATGTGCAGCACCACAAGAGGTAATACTCTCCTAGTGGTTCAAATTCCTAGTCATGTGGCTAGATTGTGTCGCTGACATCTATGTTTTGTTCAAGGAAATTGACAGGTATAAGTTGGGACACCCCAAGACGTTTCACTACCTGAACCAATCAAATTGCCATGAGTTAGTAGGCGTGAGTAATGCACAAGACTATCTTGCCACTAGAAGAGCTATGGATATTGTGGGGATCAGTAAAGAAGAGCAGGAGGCAATTTTCAGAGTTGTTGCTGCAATTCTTCATATCGGTAATATCGATTTTACCAAAGGGAAGGAGATTGATTCTTCAGTTCCAAAGGACGCCAAATCCAAGTTCCATCTCAACACATCGGCAGAACTTCTGATGTACTAATGAATCTAGCCTTGAAATTGCATATGATTTTCAGTATTTCCATCATCAGTATTTCCTCCATTCACACTTAGCTGACTTTTTTGATACATCAAAATTTGAATGAATATGGACATACGTCATGTCTACATTCATTCATTTTTTGATGTATCAGGAAAGTCATAATGGTGAATGGAGGGAGTACCCATCTGATGATTCTCTTGTCATTTAGGTGTGACCCTGTGGCTCTCGAAGATGCATTGTGTAAACGTGTCATGGTCACTCCTGAAGAAGTAATAAAACGCAGTCTTGACCCCCTTAGTGCAGCAGTCAGCCGGGACGGATTGGCCAAGACTTTATATTCTAGGCTATTTGACTGGTAAAGAACTTGGTAACTTTTATTGCCAGTCATGTATAAACAGTATGTTACACATATCATGATAATATATGCACTCATTTCCCTCCTGGAAACCTGCAGGTTGGTAGATAAGATAAATGTTTCAATCGGGCAAGATTCGCAATCGAAGTGTATCATTGGGGTCCTAGATATTTATGGTTTTGAAAGCTTTAAGCATAATAGGTAGTTACAAATATCCGGGATCTATTACAAGCAGTTATGACTTAGAGGAGATGAATAAGTAAATTACCTCAAATTCCTGTTATTTTAATCCAGCATATAAACATGCAGCTTTGAGCAATTTTGCATAAACTTTACAAACGAGAAGCTGCAGCAGCACTTTAATCAGGTACATTGAAATGCAAAAATTAACCACATATATCCTTGGTAAGGTTTTATCTTATTCTCTGAATTCCCAATGCATTGTAACAGCATGTATTCAAGATGGAGCAAGAAGAATACACAAAAGAGGCAATCGATTGGAGCTACATTGAATTTGTGGACAACCAAGATGTTTTAGATCTTATCGAAAAGGTGTGCCCCGGAATTATGTGCCCGAAACAAAAACATTTTCAACATTGAATCTTTTAGCTCTTTTGGCAATGGATGAGACTTTAACTAATTACATAGACTTCTCATTTGCAGATGCTTTATTGTTCAAAATCTAACTTTTTATTTTGTGCGAATCATATTCTGTAACTCACGGTTCGCCCTTTTGCAGAAACCAGGTGGGATCATTGTCTTACTTGATGAAGCTTGGTATGATAGTTGTATCTGATGATTTGCTTTCACATTTATAATTGATGCTTTCACTTTGATATTTACTTCATCTGCTTGTAGCTTATGGGTTGATGTCTACTTTAGCCATTTCAGTGTATGTTGTTCTCATATACTCACTATTTATTTTCAGTATGTTTCCTAAGTCGACACATGAAACATTTTCAAACAAGCTTTATCAGACGTTCAAGAATCATAAGCGGTTTGTCAAGCCGAAATTGTCACGTACAAACTTCATAATCTCACATTATGCTGGAGAAGTATGCTTTTTAAATGTTATTATATTGTACTTTTTTTAATTATCTCAAATGTTTAAACATTTTAATCCATATTCCAGGTGCAATACCAATCTGACCAATTTTTAGACAAGAACAAAGACTATGTGGTTGCTGAACATCAAGACCTCTTAAGTGCTTCCAAGTGCTCCTTTGTGGCTGGTCTTTTCCCTGCCCTACCCGAGGAGACGAAATCCTCGAAAACTTCCAAGTTTTCTTCAATTGGTTCACGTTTCAAGGTTTTCCCCTCTTTGATTTTGTGTGTGTTAGATATCTATAAGGAAAATGTTATTTGTACACCACATTTGCACCAGAGAAAATTTATTCGTTCCATCATCTCCGATGGAGCCAAAATTTCACCATTTTTTGGCTTTGGGGTGTGATGGAATAAATCAAAATGGATCTCTAAACTGTCTGCGCTTCTTTAATTAATGAAGTAGCAGTTAGTCAAGCAATGCAACTTTCGACGTTGAGCCGGGGGTCTCTTTGGAAACAGCCTCTCTACTTTCGAGTAGGGGCAAGGTCTGCGTACACACACCCTCCCCAGACCCTACTCTTGTGGGATTTAACTGGGTTGTTGTTGTATTTGCACCAGAGACAAATTTTGAACTACACGTACTGCGATTGTCTTTGTAGTTCAATTTTTTTTGCATGATGTACATGTAGCATCCCCCTATCTTCAAATGGTTTATCGTTTTTATGGCACTATTTGCATTCATAAAATTGACATATTGATGATTTTTTGGCTATATGATGCAGTTACAACTACAGCAATTGATGGAGACACTGAACGCTACGGAGCCTCACTACATCAGATGTGTTAAACCTAACAATCTTCTCAAACCTGCCATATTTGAAAATGTTAACATTCTGCAACAACTGCGTTGTGGTGTAAGTATCCCCCCCTCCAAAAAAAGTGCTTTTGATGCATTTATCCATGAAACCATATGATCTTAGTTTTAAATGACATCAATTTGGTTTCTCTTAAGGGTGTCTTAGAAGCAATTAGAATAAGTTGTGCTGGATACCCAACTCGGCGCCCTTTCTTTGAGTTCATAAACAGATTTGGGCTCCTTGCACCAGAGGCTTTGGTGGGAAAGTAAGTGCCGTTCTTCCCCTTCTTTTCCGTGCTTCCGTTTGAAGTGTATTAGCATAAACTCTATGTTATTAGGATGCTACACTGACTAATACATGAGGGTATATTAATTTAAATAAGAGTTTTCTTGCTTAATATTTTCAGTGTATGAAATCTAAGTCATTTTTTGTCAGCAGCTATGATGAAAAGGTTGCTTGCCAAAAGATTCTAGATAAATGGGGATTAAAAGGGTACCAGGTAAAAGCTATATCCATTCCATCATTTTGTTACCCATTGAGGTGGTTGATAGTTGTCTCCTTTTCGATCTCCTAACTACAACTTTCTTTATTTTCGGATCCACGCGGTTATCAAAAGCCCCAATTTTCTGAAATCAAAGATGGTACTAAATATGGAAAGTATTGTCATAGGACAATGGTCGCATGATTAAGTTCTGAATGGGCCAAGTATGCTTCTAGTAATGCCTCTTTATTTCACAGATAGGAAAGACAAAGATATTCCTTAGAGCTGGACAGATGGCCGAGCTGGATGCACGAAGAGCAGAGGTTTTGAACAGTGCAGCAAAGGCTATACAAGGACGAATCAGAACTCACAGTGCCCGTAAAAGTTTTATATCTCTCAGAGAGGCAGCTGTTTGTATGCAATCTTTGTGCCGAGGTAAGGCATTTAAGGCTTTGAGTTGGCCATTGAGTTACACTTCATTATATTGCAACATTATATGTGTACTATTATCTTCCTTCTTGTTAGAGCATAAAAACCTTTCTTGAGCCTCTAACCATTGGCGTAAGTTTTTGGTTGACTTTGTTCCTTGACATTGTATGAAGTGTTGTTGACCGAGATGTCACGAGTTCAATTCTAAGTAGTTTAGTGCCAAGTCTCATCCTTGCATGATTTGATTTATAGGAAGACTTGCTGGCAAACTTTTTGTGAAAATAAAGTTGGAGGCAGCTGCGACAAAAATTCAAGCAATCATACGTCGAGACCTATTGAAAAAATATTATGACCAACTCCGAGTATCAGCAGTTGTGCTGCAGATAGGTTTTCGTAAGATGGATGCCTCCAAAAAATTCAGATTTAGGAAACAAACAAAAGCTGCAACAAGAATTCAGGTTTTGTTCTCTCTCTCTCTCTAATAAAAATATTGTGTGCATGGTTATCACAACTTACCTTCCAATACAAAGTCTTGAAAATATGGGTTTTTCTTCCTAGGCACGGTGGCGTTGTCATAAAGCTTTTATGAGTTATAAGAAGCTTAAAAGAGGAGCAGTAGTTGCACAATGCAGATGGAGAGGAAAAGTTGCCAGAAGAGAGTTGAGGAAACTAAAAATGGTTAGTTCCAAAGCTAAAACTAGGAGTTCCTTTTTGAATCCAGTCTTGTTTGGATCTCGAAATAAAATACTCTGTTCTATATAACAAAGTGATTCCCTTAGCTCAAAGACTTTTAACTGATGAAAATCTATAAGTACAGTAATTTTCTGTGTTGTTTTCCAGTACCTAAATTATAAAGACTGGTTCTCAGTTTCTAGTATGTTATCCACTTTCTTAAGAAAATGATCTCATTGTTTGAGAAAAAAATATTTCTGCACTTGAATTCTCTTTGAGCGGTTATGCATATGAATTCCATGTTGACAAGGATTTTAAATTATCAATAAATATAAATCGATATATGTACAAGTATCCAATAAGGAGTAAATACTTTCAGCTTAAGATCTTGTGGGGCATTAAGTGATAGTATCTGCAGGCTGCAAGGGATACAGGTGCACTAAAAGAGGCAAAAGACAAGCTGGAGAAACAGTTAGAGGAACTCACATGGCGCTTGCAACTAGAAAAACGTCTAAGGGTAATACTACTTTTCTTGCTTGGATAATTTATAGACGAATTCATTATCTGTGGATACACACACACACACACACACACACACACACGCATAGTTCATTTCAATCATGAAGGCTGATTTAGAATTCTCAATGTTGCCCAAGTATTAGTGACGTGACGGAATCTGTAATTTTCATTTTTGGGATACCATTGGTGCAGACTGATATGGAAGAAGCAAAAGCACAAGAGATTGCAAAGTTGCAGGAATCACTAGAAGTTATGCAGAAGAAAGTTGAAGAGGCTAATGCTTTGGTTGTCAAGGAGCGAGAGGCAGCAAAGAAGGCTATCGAAGAAGCGCCTCCAGTTATCAAGGAAATTCCAGTTTATGTTGAAGACACTAAAAAAGTTGAATCTTTGTTGGAACAAGTTAACAGCTTAAAGGTTTACAAACTGGTTTCTTCCCACAGGGGAACTTTATACACAATGAAAACATCCTATTAAACAAGCTAGCTTGTGAACCTTCTCATGGTTGATTTTTCATCTTCAATCAGGAATCTTTAGAGAATGAAAAGAAGGAATCAGAAGACTTGCGAAGAAAGTATGCTTTGGAACAAGAGTCCTCAGAGGAAAGCCGTGCAAAATTAGAAGAAACTGAAAAGAAAGTTCATCAACTCCAAGAATCTCTTCACAGGTACTCCAAGGCTATCAGTATCCCTATTCCTTTAACATAACATCACTCTAGCTATATGGTCGGTATGTTTTTCGTTTTGTGTATACTTATATCTCTTTACCTATTATAGTAAAGAGAACCATGGATACCGGAAGCCATGATGTGATTATAAAGAATTTGCTACTCTTGGAATAGTTTGTAAATGTTACAATGATAGCATGGTTTTTGCAACATCTGTCATCATCTAGCACCTTAAATTCCCAACTAGTTTGGTTTGATGGCACAAAGTTATACTCCGTCCGTCTGTATTTAGTTGTCCACTTCCTTTCTTTTATTCGTCGAGAATTAGTTGTCCACTATCCATATTCAATGAAGAAATTATGATGAATTGCCTAAAATATCCTAGAGATATGGTACGAACATTGTGAACAATTGAGTGACAAACTCATTCTCAAATATGAGATTTTTTAGAAAGTGGAAAACTGAATCTGGACGGAGAGAGTAGTTATTACTCCGTAATTTATAGAGATACGATAAGTCATCATTGCAAAAAAGCATAGTGGCAAAGTTTCAATTTTAATAAATGTGCCAAAAGAAATGAGAATCAAAATATTTTCATCAGTATTATATATGTTGGAGTGGTGTACCATACTACCATGTTTATTCACACTGAAAACTTAATTTGTTACATGTTTGATGCGTCTTCTAATTTATTTAACTCTTTATGTGCAACAAGGCTAGAAGAAAAGTTCACAAATATAGACTCTGAAAATAAAGTTCTTCGTCAGCAAGCTGTGTCAATGGCACCTAACAAGTTCCTCTCAGGCCGATCCAGATCAACTATCCAGGTATATCTGCTGTCCAAGAACTTCAATTGTATAAACTGAAATGATGAAATTATTCTAAACTCTCCATGTTCCTTCAATAGAGAGGTCATGAAAGTGGGCATGGTTTTGGTGATGCAAGAATGCATGCGGTAAGCGACTTTGTATGTGCACAAAACTTAGGTCATCAAAGCTCTAATATTACAACTTTTGTGGTTAATATATATTTCTTGTTTGCATCAGGAGGTGCATAGCCCTTCATCAATGAACCATAGGGATTTCTCCGAGGTCGAGGACAAACCACAAAAATCACTAAATGAAAAGCAGCAAGAGCACCAGGAGTTGCTTGTTCGTTGCATTGCACAAAACCTCGGCTTTGCTTCAAATAAGCCAATTGCAGCCTGTGTCATTTATAAGTGCCTTCTGCAGTGGCGGTCTTTTGAAGTTGAAAGAACGACCGTGTTTGACCGAATCATCCAGACTATTGGCCATGCTATTGAGGTTTAAACATACTGATGCCAATAATCGTTATGCTTTCATATGTTTGGTGTTCCTATAAAATGACAATTATGCATTTTTACAAACACAGAAAGCCCAGGACAACAATGATGTGCTGGCTTACTGGTTGTCGAATGCCTCAACTCTTTTATTGCTTCTTCAACGCACGTTGAAAGCTAGTGGTGCTTCAGGAATGGCTCCTCAACGCCGACGATCATCAGCTAATCTATTTGGGAGGATGTCATCACAGGTGAGAGTTTTCTCATTCATCCAAACATATCTTCTTGGGAGAAATGCCTAACTAGGATTAAAACATTATGCCAAAAGACACTGTGAAATGCCAACATACAATGCCAAATTTTGACATTTCACAGTGCCAATATTCCTATTTAGGGTATTAAAACATAGGAGGTCTCATTTTGGTATAAATTTCATGTTATAGTATTATTTAGATAGATTTCTTTATCCTTTCTTTGGCTTGGTTTTCGGTTAGTACCTTGAAATGCTTATATAAGTCGTTGATTATAGAGTTTCCGTGGAGCTCTGCAAGGGGTCAATCTATCATTTGTACATGGAGGGCTATCGGGTGGGTTCGATACTCTTCGCCAAGTAGAAGCAAAGTATCCTGCCTTGCTTTTCAAGCAGCAACTCACTGCATATGTGGAGAAAATTTATGGGATGATCAGAGATAATTTGAAGAAGGAGATTTCCCCATTGCTTGGATTATGTATCCAGGTAACTCATCCTTTTTTTCTTCAGATGTTGATGCATGTGTTCGAAAAGAAAAATGTCTATTTTTTTCAACAACTCTTATGGCTTAGTTGGAACCAGGAAAATAGTCATCATTATCAGCAAATTGATCCCAAATAGCCGAGGTCGGTAGCATTAACACTATAAATTCATGCAAAAAAACATATTGAAACGATTTTTATGCCAGATGGTCTTCACGCCACAAAGTTTATAAGAAGGAATAATGATATGAAAATTTGAAAACAGTCATGACCATATACTGGTTATTTTTATATGCATGAATGGAAAATGAGACATTGATGAGTTTAGATATTTATCATTGTATGTCCATTTGTTGAGGACGTATAGTCTCACATCGGAGACTCAAGGCTAAAAGATAATATATTAGAATGTCGGCTACTCGTCTCATCATCAATTAGTTTTTGGCTTTTGTAAAATTAACCATATTTAATTTCCATTTTTCAAGGTAAACCCAAAATAAGAGAGAAAACACTCATCAGTACTCATATTCACTTTCCTTTTCCTAGTATTTTTTGGATCCAATTAAACACACCCTTAACTAACTTTCAAGAGGAATACTTTATTATTGTGTGCTCTAATAGGCGCCACGAACATCAAGAGCGAGCTTAGTGAAGGGATCCTCTCGTTCAGTTGCCAATAATGCAGCACAACAAGCTTTGATAGCTCATTGGCAAGGAATCGTGAAGAGCCTCGGGAGTTTCCTCAACACTTTAAAAGGAAACCATGTAAGTGACATCTACATTGCTTTTCAATATGAATATAAGTCAGTCCAATAATATTTCTATAGACTTAGCCATTTCAGTAGTCTTAACCAAACCAAACAAACCCAAGAAGTAGATAGGATGGAGTTTCCTTTCTAACCTCTACTTAATATGTTCTGCATATTTATCCCTGTTCTGGCTTTTTTTTTTCAATTTTTTCAGGTCCCTCCATTTTTAGTTCGGAAGATTTTCACACAAATCTTCTCTTTCATCAACGTACAATTATTTAACAGGTACGTACACATAGATACAAAAATTAAAAAAAAAAAGAACTCAGAATCACATAAGTTTGTGTATATATCCTAGTACTAAAATTTTTTTTACAGTCTGCTATTACGGCGGGAATGCTGTTCATTTAGCAATGGTGAATATGTCAAATCAGGGCTTGCTGAATTGGAGCATTGGTGTTACCATGCAACTGATGAGGTATTTCTACTTCAATTTTGCTTCGCATCGACAGTTCTGTGATTTCTAATTAACGACCATTACTCATTTTAACCAAACCTTAATCTTAGTGTGTAGACTGTAGAGTCTTTGTTTTTCCATTTCAGTTCCATTAAGTTTTGAATTTTACCATCCATTTAGTGATAAGTAAGAGAAAAATCACAGTATGCAGGTTCAGCTTGGGATGAGCTGAAGCATATAAGGCAGGCCATTGCTTTTCTGGTAATCTTTACTTCTTAGTTTATCTTCATTTCCCTTTGTCTGTGCTTCTGTGTTGGAGCCTAGGGTGTCTTGAAAACAACCTCTTTCTGTGGGATTTTATTGGGTTTGTTGCAGTTGTTGCTATTCAATTTGCAATAAAACCACTTTCTCATAACATCCTTTCAAGATTCTGATGTGTGATTTCATTTCAGGTTATGCATCAAAAGCACAAGAAAACTCTCCACGAAATAAGCCACGACCTCTGCCCGGTAAATGACAGATCACATAAAAGAGATGTTTGGCAAAAATTTGATTGGATAATCATAATTACAAGCTCATAACTATTTACAGGTTCTTAGCATCCAACAATTATACCGGATCAGTACGATGTATTGGGACGACAAGTATGGCACCCATAGTGTCTCCTCAGATGTAAGTGTGTATTGGCAGCATTACTCTTGCAAGCAAGTTCAAATCATCTCGTCTTTCGCAGTAAATTAACTAAGGTGAAACCTTAGGTTATATCCAACATGAGGGTGTCAATGACAGAAGATTCAAATCATACGGCTAGCAACTCGTTTCTCTTAGACGACGATTCCAGGTAAGTAGCAAATTCGTTTTAGGGTCCGTTTGGTAAGTGCTTATTCTGCTTATGTTATTGGTAAGCAACATAAGTGTAGTACCAAATGGATCCTTAATGCTAAATATTTTCAGGTTCCCTTTTTGTGCCATTACTTTTACCTTAGTTGAGCCTTATTAACTTTTTTTTCTCTTTGCATTTTTTGTTTTGTTTAGCATTCCATTTTCTGTAGATGACATTTCAAAATCAATGGAACAAATAGACATCGCCGACGTGGGACCGCCTCCGCCACCTCTCAGGAGCAACTCCGGCTTCAGCTTTTTAATGCCGCAGACCGAATAGATGACACAACAATGTGAGTGTTCTTAGGGGAGCAACATTAGTTCAGTGAGTGAAATTTTTGAACATTTCTAGTTGAGAGTGAGATGTATCAAATTTTGGAAATTCTTTCTATGATTATAGGTTAATACAAAAAGGTTTTTATTTTTCCAAGGATTTCAGTGCCGGTTAGTGTCAACTGTAAAGGAGGGAATAAATCAAGAATCATCAGACTTAAGGAGTGTGAAAACAGGCAATTTTGGCAAATAAGGTTTGCCTCAAATAATTACAATCAACAAATGCTACTTGTTACAATCATCATCCATAGTCATTATAGCAAAAAAAGAAGTTAAACCAGGTTGATGAGAACATGTTCATGTCAAAAATTAACCACGTAAATCGAATGTAACTCATGAATAAATCGTCAAGACAAGTGAGAGAGCAAACCCCAAAACCCAATGCAGTGTTCTTGGAGCCCCCAAAACACGTTCCGCACCTCCGAAGTATGGTTCGATCATAATCCCGAACCTGCAAGTCATCGTTGACGGGTCGGACCTCACGACCGACCCGAGGCCCGAGAACTTGCAAGCTTCGTCGTTTTGGTTGTTAATCTGGTAGTAGCTGTTGAAGGCATAGGAAATGTTCCCCTGGACATTTAAACCCCCGCAAGACGTCTCGTACCCGAGGCTAGTACAGTCAGCACTCCCACAAGCGAAGCTCACACTGGGGGCAACCTGGGACCCGTAAATGCTCGCGCTCGGATTGAAAACACACCACTTCTTCTCAAGATACTGTACCCCCCTTGCGGGAACCAAAGACCCCAAAGTGGTTGTGCCAAGATTGAGCGCATACTTGGGTTGCCCGTCGTAGTAAAACAAACCCCAATGGCGCTCGAAGTTTCCGGGGGCGATGCTCTTGGCGTCCTCGTCGATCAAGCTGAAGAGGTAAGCGTTGATTGGACCGGACCTCATCGGGGTCCCCTTCCCGTTGGATATGTGAGCCATGAAACCTTGGTTGAACTTTTGCGCAAGAGACGGGTTCGCGTTTCGGTCTCCATCCGTCGGCCAACCAATCTCTCCCACTATGATGGGCATGTTCGGGTACCCGTTCTTTTGTAGGGCCCACACCAACGTGTCGTGGTTTGCGTCAAACATGTTGGTGTACAACATCCCGGCGTCATTTAGAGGCGTTGCGTTCCCGTCAAAAAACGCGTAGTCAACGGGGAAGCCGGGGTCATTGTAGAGGCTTATGAAAGGGTAAATGTTCACGGTGAACGGGCAACCGTTGTCGTTCAAGAACTTCACGATTTGAATAACATAGTCATGGATATCTTGTTTGAAATCGCCACCCGACGGTAAGCTGCTAGCGGAGTCATAGACATCAGCATTGAGGGGAACTGTGACCTTCACTCTATTGCCAAGCCCAGCTTTTACAAGCGCCAAGTGTACACTTTGGAGAGCCGGGAATGTACTCCGGAGATATGTGCCGTTGTATGTTTGCAAAAAAGGCTCATTTCCAACAGCAACATACCTGCAAGTCACAAGAAGAATATATGGTGTTTCTCAAAGATAAAATCATTTTCTTGTTCTTCTCTTTCCAAGCAATTGGAAAGACATTAAATGTCAATCCTTTTTGCTTGCAAGTGCAAGAGATACTTTTTGCCTTGCATAAATAAAATGACTCAAAAAGTAAGAAAATGACACTCATACTTTTTTTTTAAACATTTTAGCCACACAATTTCACTGAATGCAACCACTTCCCATTCAGCCAACTTTGACCCTTACCGAACAGACTTTAATCACATCAATTCTAAATGATTCATCATAAGCTCCCACAAAAGTATGGGACGCCCACCGTCACACGAAAAGGGTCTTGTTTCTCAACATATTTTCGCCAATTTAAAGAATACATGTTAATTTTCAACATAACAAAATGTTAGTAAAAAAACATAGATACGCTAAATTTAGTTGGACCAGCAAAAACAAGAGATCAAAATATAGCTATATGTGATCATTTCTACAAGTTGTACCTTACTAAAATTTAAAAGATCTTCAATTATGAAATGGAAAACCCTAAAGCCACTCCAGCATTCTCAGTTCTCACAGACATTGAACAGTAACATGTGTGTGTCGAATTAAATGGTTTAAGCAGCAAATGGATATGGAGGAGCTGACCTGATATTAACTTTGTGGTCATTGATATGATTGGTAATATTTTCAGAAACCCATTTCTGGGCAGCCTTAGAGCTAGCCATTGTCAATAGCAAATCATTGGGAATTCCAACCATGACCTCAATGTTAGAGTTGCCCAATGCTTTCAATGAATCATAATCTGCATCAAATAGTTTCACTTTCTGGATCCCATTTTCCTTGAGCATTCCCACCACTATATCCGGCGGAAGCCGGTGAGTCGACTGTGATCCCCAATTTGCCCCTATCCCACTCACTCTGAACACCATTGAAGAGCCTGATACTACTACTAGCACCATTAACACCACCATCACTCTTGAAATCCCCATTCTGTTTCTTGATTCAGTTGAAATCTGGTAGAGACAGCCCTTTTATTGGGTCACCTGAGTCAGATTTGATGCTGACTTAGAAAAGAAACATCTTTTTTTTACACACATCAAAATCCCAGATCAGAAAGCTAAAATCTTTCTGGATAAGGGAAGCAAAGAAAAACAGTTTCGCAATAAAGCAAAGCAATGAAGGGGCAAAAATACCATCTTTTTTGCACAAATTAACATGCCAGATGAGAAAGCTAAAATCTTTCCACATAAGAAAAGCCTAGGGGCAGAAAAGGGAACACAAAAAAGTTTTTCAAGAAAGCATTCAAGGGATAAAGACACAATCTTTATGAACAGTACCACAGAAGATAATACAAAACCAGAAAAACTGGAACGTTTTATACCCAAACACTAAAGTGGATCTGGAGAAAAGTAAAAAACACAATAAACAAAGAAAAAAAAAGTTTCACCAGAATAGAACTATGGTTTTGAAAAGAAAAAAAAAGAGTAGAGAGAGAGCAAAGATTACTGTAGAAGCAAGATTCTAGACACAAGCTTCCAGCTTTCTCCTCCTACAAAGAGGAAAGGGTAAACATGAAATCAGATATTGATTAGTTCCACCTGAGGTAGAAGCAAGAAATAGCAATTTAATTGCTTCTTTTGATGATTTTGGGAAATTAGGAGAGAAGAGAAAGAAGCAATTGAAGAGAGATGCTGAAACGGAAATAGTCTCTTCAATTGAAATTATTAAAAAAAAACACGAGTCTCTCTTTAATCCTTTCATTTATTATTCCCAATCTTAAATTCTTTAAACTATTCTCTACTTTCAAAAAAAATAGCCTAGTTATTATTTTGAAATTTCAATAATCTTTATTAGCATATGTTTTATCATCGTATATTTCGTAAAATAAAATATTTTTATTAATAATTTTTTTGTAAAACTTTTGATGTATTCCATAACATTATTTGAAAAAGAAATTTTTTTTTGAGAGAAAGTGAATAGTGTTCTTTTTTCTTACTTCGTACTCCCTCCGTCGCAGAAAGAATGTCACGTTTATTATTCCGGCCTCTCGATAATTTTTGTTTGTTTATTCGTTTTGGTTGACTATTTGATAAAATAAAATATTTTTATCGCATCTTGTTTTGTAGAACTTTTCATATACTTTTGAATGGTGTAATTTTTACTTTTTATTACTCTACCAATTTAAAATTAAAGTGATTTTAAAAGAGATGATATTTTGCACGTCGCTCGAAGTGTTGCAAATAAATTGGGAGGAGTAAGTAATTCTTAGTACTCCATAGTAGTGGAACGAACTTTTTCATTATTATTTGATGAAAAATTCAAATTTAATTTTTTAAAAAAGATTCTCAAACATTAATTTTGACACAAATTTAAATTTAAAAGACTAAAAAGTCACATCCCTTTTTTCAAGAATGGTGCTGACATCATATGCAGATTCCCTTGTTGTACTGTACGACACAGAACAACACAACACACGAAGCCTCTCCGGTGTGAGGGGGGACGAACGGTACTGTTTTCACTGTGTTTTAGCTTTTGTACTCCCTCCGTCCCTAAATATTCACAACATTTACTTTTTCAACAGTCGCGGAACTTTTGTTTATTTCGAAATTTTCATTAGTCATTTGATAAAATAAAATATTCTTGACACCTCTTATTTTGAAGAACTTTTCATGTAGTTTTTTTATATGTAAATATTATTTTTTATTTTTATACCAATATGTAATTAAAATGAATTGAAAAAACTTGATATTTTGTCTCGGGAATACAAAAAAGGAAAGCTCACTTTGGGCCCCATACTCTGGTCGCAAATTATATCGTACAGCCGGCTGTACGGAAAGAACCGTACAGCCGGCGAAAATTAGAGATTAAGAGCAGCGCGCGATCGAATCAAACCCTAGTCCCTCTGATCTGAAAACTAAGGCAGTACAGAGTTGGTGCAGCTCCGCGAAAGTGATGATGAAGATGATGGTGGAGAAGGTGATGGTGATGTGATAATGGAGAAGGTAATTGTATTATTTTGTACGGAGTATAAGAGATGGAACTTATTGGTGGGGTTTACTGGGAAAGCAATAAAATTTAGTCGGAAATAGTTTAGGTTTTGGGTGAGGAAGATGAAGAAGGGTGATAGATTGATTTTAGACTAGGTTTAATGAGCGGTAATTTAATTGAGATTGAACACTACTTCATTTGAAAATTAATACCATTTTGTTTCAGAATAAATACTATGTTATTCGTAGATGAATATTATAATTGTATGAAATAAATGTGTGAAAATGAGTACTACATTATTTTAGAATGAGTATTACGTTATTTCAAAATGAGTACCACGTTATTTCAAAATAAACAGTTCTGTTTGTGCGAGAATGAGTACTACTTTACTCCCAAATGAGTATCACTTGGATGTACCTATTTCTAGGTACAGCCGGTTGTACCATATACCTTCTCTACTCTAGTCTGACATGATTATAATTTTAATCTATTTCTTAGAGAAATAGTCTCGTGTCTGATGCGTACAAAAAGCTATTACGAAGAATATATAGGGAGTAACACTCACACGGCGGGATCGGGATTGGTAGTGGCTGCCCTTTCCACTGTTTTCACTGTGTTTTTAGCTTTGTCTTCTTCGCAGTGGCTAAGTACAACTAACAAACAGGAAGGAGTATATAATGCAGAAATAATACTGCCCCTATCTATTTTTGTTACATTATATTTATATGATCAAACCGTATCCATTTCATTTATCTATTTTTGTTATCTGTTTGACAAAATAATACCAAGTGTTATTCATGATCATGTCATCTCTAGTTCACATAAAATAAATTAAAAATAATTTAAGTCAAACATTATAACGCTCAACAAAAAGATAATTTGTGAACGAAGGGATCGAAATACCTACATTCACCTAAAGATAGATTTAAATAATTGATTATGTTTTTGTAAGTATATATACCCACCACCAATGCTCTCAAAGTCTAAATTGTGGTATTGCCAAGTGAACAGAGGCTAGGCTGGCTAGCAATGGATACTAAACCACAACTCCAATTGGGAAGATAGGGTTTTTTGGGGAGGAACCACATACAAGGCTATTACAAAAAAGTCGTCTTTTATAACTCGAAAACGTAATTAAATTGATCAATAAGAGGAGCAAAATAGGGTAATACCTAAGTTGAACTTCTAGCAATGGGGAGAAGGACGACAATGCCGTACTAGATTCTTGCACGTACTAGAGACATATATCAATCATTATTAATCAGTCTAAACTTAAATGTGAAACTACTCAACTAGGACTAAAATATACTCATATACAAAAATAGGACTTTCAATTATGTTATTATGCCAAAATGCATCTTAAATTACTAACAAATATTAACATATAATCCCAAAAATAATACTCGTATAAACCACCAACATACATTGTCAAGTTGTTGTATCACACAATGCCAAAATTCATATTCTAAAGATAAAAATATATGAAGTCTTATTTTGGTATAACATTAAAATTTTAGTCATATTCAAATAATTCAAGTAGATTTTTAAAATTAATGTTCAATTTTTTAGATCTAACCTGGAGACCCTAGGCTCCGTTCGTTCACTCATCTTTTTTTAGGAAGGGGTAAAATACAAATTTAACTAATGACAATGCAATAAATATGAAGGCATTAAATGTTTTTGGTGTAATAAAGGCATTAAATTAAATACAAAGAAGCTTGACCATGGTTAAATTTTTCTTTTAATATTTTTACGTTCACTTATTCAGTCATAAAACTAGCTATCAATAACCATCTCAAACGAGTTATGGAGTAATACTTATTTTAGCCCCTATAAGTACACTTATCAGTCATTTTGATTTATCCAATTTAATATTTTTAATTAAAATAAGAATCAATTTAATCTCTTAAACAAAAATCCTTTATATATATAAATGAGACTCGGAGCTCTAAGAACATGACATTTGGCATATTCAAAGCTTGACATGTGGCGCATTAGGAACTTGACATGTGGCATATTAGATGGCAATTTAACCAAATTTACTCTCTTTCATTATTTCACATTTTTTACTCTTTTTTCAAAAATGATATGGAGTAATTACTTATTTTGAACCCATGAATTCAAATTTAGAATTAAAATTATTTTCCCTATAAATTATAACTTTTAATAAAATATCATTTTTCAGGACTCTACGTACAAATACTTTTAATACCTATCTCGAATTCGTTAAATCATAAAATTTCAAAAAAAAATTATACTAATAAATAAAATACACTCCTCACCCATAAATAAATTTTATATTATTTATTATATATTTACATGATATTCCTTTGATTGTATTTATTTAAACATTGACACCTATTAAATAAAATATTTCCTTTACCTAGAAATAAATTTTATATTTTTATGACACTTAAGGTATCACTTAATTTAAGACATAGAAAATGTGAATTCAATGTTTTGTTATAAAATATTTCAATAATTTTAACTGTTAAAGAGAAACATTCATTTTTATGAAAATACTCTTTCCAATGCATTAAAATATTTTTTACTCGCTTCATTTATTAAAAAAAATTGATTAATAAGTAAGATGATTTTTTCACATTCAGATAATTTATTTAAATATTGACACCTACTAAATAAATAATTTCTTCGCCTATTATGAAATTTCTTATTTTTTAACACATTATATACCACCTAATTTGAAACAAAGAAAACGTAAAATCAACATTTTGGTAAAATATAATTCTAAGGTTCACGCGTGAAATGTGAACCTTCTTACACTTTTTATGGACCGGCAGGTGAATATTTTTTTAAAAAAAGATCCAATTCTTTTATGAATTTAATACACATAGGTCTATTAAATGAGAATGGACCGTAGGAGAGCGGAAAAATTTGCCTTATAATAAAACTTTCAATCCCCCCTCCCACCAAAAAAAACTTTCAATTAATAAATAAGATAGAGTTTTTACCCCTAAGTCAATGTCATGCGGGTATTTGTTTATGATATGTTATAATAAAGTTAGTTTGGATTCTATTTATTGCAATATTGATGTAAAATTAAAACATATAAAATATTTTAAAAATAACACTAAATTATTTACTACCTCCGTCCCACTCTTTTTGTCCAGTTTTGACTTTTGGAACTGTTCATCTAAGCACTTTGACTCATCAAATTCTCTCAATGTGTAAGTCTAAATATAGTCATGTGTGATCTTGTTTGATTTGTCTTAACATATAGATTATTAATATATAATTTTTATAATTTTTTAATATATAAATTACAAGATAAAATGGAATAAAGAAGTGCATTGGATGGTGTGCAAAAATGAAAGTGGACGAAAAGAGTGGGACGGAGGGAGTATAAAACAACCAGTGAATGGACAATAATTGTTTTAAATGGACAATAATTGTTTTAAAATACTTATATAAAAAATTGAGACTCCCGTCTCTAATAACTTGACATTTGGCATATTCAAAGCTTGACTTGTGGCACATTAAGAATTTGACATGTGGTATATTAGGTGGTAATTTAACCAAATTTACTCTCTTTCATTATTTCGCATTTTTTACTCTTTTTTTCAAAAATGATATGGAGTAATTACTTATTTTGAACCCATGAATTCAAATTTATAATTAAAATTATTTTCCGTGTAATTTACTACTTTTAATAAAATATCATTTTGCAGGTCTCTACGTGCAAATATTTATAATATCTGTCTCGAATTCGTTCAATTATAAAATTTACAAAAAAAATTATGTTAATAAATAAAATACACTCATTACCCATAAATAAATTTTATATTTATTCATTATACATTTACATGATATTCCTTTGATTGTATTTATTTAAATCTTAACACCTATTAAATAAAATACTTTACCTATAATAAATTATACTATATTTTTATGACACTTAATGTATCACTTAAATTTTTAGATATAGAAAATGTGAATTGAATTTTTTGGTATAAAATCTTTGAATTAGTTTAATTTTTAAAGACAAACGTTCATGTTTATGAAAATACTCTTTCCATTAATACAATACAATATTTTTACTCGCTTCGTTTATAAAAAAAAATTGATTAATAAATAAGATGATTTTTCACATTTAAATAATTTTCATACAAGTATTAGTTTATAATATTTTAAAATGAAATTTTTTTATTCTATTTATTTCAATAACAATGCAAAATTAAAAACAAACAATACATTTCAATAACTAGATTAAAAAATTTAAAAAACAATACATGATTGGACTAAAATTTAATTTTTTAAAATAATAAACAAAACATTCTCTTCATAAATAAATAATAAACGAAGTATTATGTATTTGTTTATGATACCTTTAAATGAAGTTAGTTTGATTATATTTATTTAAATATTGACACGTACTAAATAAATACTTTCTTCGCCTATTCTGGAATTTCTTATTTTTTAACATATAATATACCACATAATTTGAAACATACAAAACGTAAAATCAACATTTTGGTAAAATATGAATTTAAGATCCACGTGTGAAATGTGGCCCTTCTTACACTTTTCATGGACAGGCAAGTAAATATTAATTAAAAAGATTCAATTCTTTTATGATATTAATATCCCAAGGTCTATAAAATGAGAATGGACCGTAGGACTATGGAAAACTTTTCCTTAAAATAAAACTTTCAATCCCCCCCCCACCAAAAAAAAACTTTCAATTAATAAATAAGATATATTTTTTATCTCTAAATCAATGTTAAACAGGTATTTGTTTATGATATGTTATAATTAAGTTAGTTTGGATATTCTATTTATTGCAATATATATTTATGTAAAATTAAAACATATAAAATATTTTAAAAACAACTAAATTATTTATAACACAAGAGGTGAATGGACTATAATTGTGTTAGAATAAAAAAAAATGTTATACTTAGTTTCATTTTTCGAATATATTGATTTTTATGGTTTGATTTTAGTACTAGACAATTTAAAGGAGGATTTGAATTCTGATTTTTCATGCGAAGGAAATGGAGATGTAGGTGTTGATGGCGATTGAATAACAATTGAGTTTTAAATGAAATCAAATATTCGAGAATCTCAAGCCATGAAATAGTTTTGAAAAAAAGGGCCACCAATTATATATGCTATTGAGAAACATTGACCGAATATCTGAATTGCGTAATGAGACCAGACTAATCGTTAAAGAGCTACGAAATAATGTTTCTGGTGCAATTGTGGTTTCGAAAAAACGAGTCGAGAAAAAGGCTTACATAACTAGAATGAATTTTGTACCATCTGATCCACGATTATTCTTAAATTTTTAGAAAAGACAATTCCAAATGTTTTATGTTTTGCTACGACTTTTAACAAAGTCAAAGTCAAACATTATCAATTGTTGGATTATTTTTTATCAATTCGGTGTTCACTTATGATCAACTTTGCGGTGCTGTTTCACGAGTAAAAAGAAAGGAAGAATTAAGAATATTAATTCTAGATGATAACGAAAATCCTTCCAACTACACCAAAATTGTTGTATACCCAAAAGTCTTTCAAAAGTATAGATTTAGAAAATCTTTGAGATGTTCACTTTTGAATTTGTATATAAGAATTTTCATTACCAAATATTTAATACTAAATTATTTATTTTATTTTGTTTTTAATGTCTATAGTAACAAAAAACATATTATATATATATTTTCATACATTCAATTTAAAATATTGCATTTAAAAGTCAATTTGTAGAAGTGTCAAAAAATTCATCCAAACCCGTGCATTGCACGGGTTAAAATACTAGTTATTTACTAATTCTGAGTTATCATGTTAATTAACGCAAGGGCAACGACCCCGTATATTAGTTTTTGTATCAATTAGAGTACCTTGCTAACTAAAAACTTTAATAGATAAATTTCACATAAAAAACTAATTAATTTAATTTATATTTTCTAATTACAAGAACTAATTCTACTCAACTAAACTTAAAGAGACTAATAAATTAACTTGTGAATTTACTTCCATGGACTAAATCGAGTATTGAAATCGCAAGTCTAAAACGCATAACTATTCGAAGGGGTAAATACATATTCACTGGTTATTTTTTTCATTGGTAACTACAATCTAAAACGCCTAACTATTCGAAGGGGTAAAGATATTTCATATGATATCAAAGTGTGGAATTAATTTTGAGAGACAAATGAAACCATTTGATATACTATTTCCGTCCTAGTATATTTATTAGGCTTGGTTTTTTTAATCAAATTGAATAAACTTTAAGTTTCTATCATTTTCAATATATATTGTAAATTAGTACAACAAACTAAAATTTTAAAAGTCCTTAACAAAATAAATCTAGCAGAGTCATTTTTGTACTAAAATAAATTATATTTTAAATTAAATGAAACTCAAAATTTAAGTCAAATTAGACAAATACAACGTGAGAGAAGAATCTGAATTCAAACGAATTGAGAATAGGAAACACTTGGCATCGTCCCAATGGACATACCAATAAAAGAATGCTTGATAATTTGGCATTTGGCATCAAAGCCCACTTTTGAGTTTCGCTATCAAATACCAAATTACCCATATACCCCCCGTTTTTACAACCACATTTCCATGTGGTTCTTTATTCCCATGGACAAATATGGTGCATAAGTACAAAAAAATAGTTTGTGTATAAACAAAATATGGAATATAACCTCTGCTAAAAAAAAGTATGGTATATAACCTAATTTGGATATTTCTTTTCGTCTTAATTTTAACTATAATCTAGATATATTATTATATCAGTATTATTTTTTTGCTTCAAAATTAATAGGAAAAAAGACTACACTGTGTAAAACATTCAAAAATATATTAAAACAAGATTTCAATATTTTTATTCTCGAAATAAGAGTTAAAATGCATATACATTATCAATCATACACTATCAAAAAGCATTAAAAAATATCCATTATCACAATGCTAACTTCTATTTTGAGGATAAAAGCGTAGAACTTCTATTATAGTACTTTCTTTATGTTTAACTCGTATTTAGAGTGATTTCTTAAATTAATATTACTCTCCACTTATCTCAAGTCAAACTTTATCTCTTTTTGTAAAATAATGTAATCATGTCATATAATATTTCTTCGCATTTGTGGTTCTTTTGATATAAATATAAAATGTATGCGACTGTCTTTATTCCAAAAAGGTTCATATTCACTATCCATCACATCAGTTTTTGGCTATTTTTATTAATTACCAATTAATAACACTCTTTCCAATTCATAATAAAAATCTCAAATAGAATCAACATACTCCGTACTATTTTTGTTAAATTAAATACATTATAATGATTGAATGTTATACGGAGAAAATAATATGAGCCACCTAAAACTTTCCATAAATAATAAAATCCTTTTATTTGAGACATAAATAAATGTGGAATCTTGAGTAAGACTTCATTTTTTAGAGATAACTTTTTTGAGTTCTAAAATGATTTTTAAATAGATTAAATTAAAAATAATTTCAACAAAATACCGCAACTTGCACCAACTTCTAGAAACAGAGGGAGTACATTTTACTTTTAAATTTAAAGATAGTTAAAAAAAATTAAATTATAAATAATTTCAATCATACTGCATTAATTATAAAGCGGCATCCATTCTAATACAAAAAATAATTTTAGCTAAATTTAGCTAAAGGTGAAGCTTGAATACCCGGAGTTAAAAGTTTAAAAAAACAATCACTTTCCCTTCCCAGTATTTCCTAGCTCATATTATTTATTAGTATTATTATTATTGGAAAGTACATGGAGCATGTTGGCATGCTTCACAATGAACATGCTCATTATAGAGCATGCCAAGTTGCCAACATAATCCATATATTTTTGTTTAGGTACACAAAATGTAGATTTTTGAGAGAAAATACCAAAAATACCCAATCAAACATGCCAAAAATGGGGTGTAAGATGTGAAGAGACCTTACCAGCATCACTATGAGTAGAGGAGCAAAATCACAACTCAGAACCTACACAACAATAGAATATGGGATATGAGGAGTGAAGGCAACTTTTTGTATTCCTTCTTCCATTAAAAAGGGCTTATAAAGTGCAGCATTTTCTCTAGATACACAGCAAGGTGAAGCTGCAACTGCAAGTTTAAATGTCAAGACAACTATGAAAACCTGATATAATAAGCATTACAGCAAAATTTTGGGGGGTTTTCAAGATGATCTGAAGAACTTTTCTATTTATAAATTCTGTACACCAGAAAATCTACCATTGTTCTTGGCCAGGAGATTCCCAAAAAGAATTTAACTGAGCCACAATGATTGATGAACGCTTGTGCATAACTTCAGCACTGATCTTTTGGCCTGATATAAGTATGAATCATGCCATGTTTCTAGACAAAATTCGAAGCAGTAGCATATGCATGCATTGTTTACACCTTACAGTAACTGCCAGCACCATGACCGGGTAGCCTTGGACAAATGTGGAGAGGGAATTCGGAGGCGGTTAACTGTAATTAATGCACTGAACCGGCGGACACTGAACATGTTTACCTAAAACACAAGGGTAAATCAAAATAAGAGTTCATGTTTGTCTGGACTAGAATAATGTTTCTGATCATCCCTTCATCATCCATTCATCCAGATCTTCTACCAAACAGTAATTCATGTGATTGCGCATGCTTAAATAAGAGAATATAAGAAAGTAAGAAGAAAAGCAGCGTGTGGTGTAAACTGATGAAATTAAATGAACACTGATCCTTGCAACATATTTTAATTTCAAAAGATACTATTTGTGTCTTCAAATATTTATTTGATGATTAAGGCATTTTGGTCACAACTTCAGCAATTTCAACCAAAATTCATCCTTATCGAGCAGCATCTAGAGCCAGTTTGGTATGGTTCAAAATGGCAAAAGTGGTTAAATAAATAGAAATTGCTGAAATTACGTATGAAATGGCTAAATATATTGATTTATCTAAAGAAGATATTCTACAACAACACATAGAGTCCCGCAATAGCATGTTCTGGGGAGGGTGTGCGTACATAGGCCTTACCCCTACTAAAAGTAGAGAGGCTATTTCCAAGAGACCCCCAGCTCAAGCAACACACAGAGAACAGATAGTACAACAAAAGATCAAAGAGCAAACAAAGGGTAAGAGAAGAGCGCTAAGACCCAATTCTACAAAGCACACAATGACAAGAGCAAAACTACCACCCCGGTCCAAATGATTACCCTAATCCTATATATATTTTGATCTCCATTGCAATTGAAACAAAAAGGACAAACCAAATATAATCTCACAAAGTGGAATCCGGGTAGGGTGGGTTTAAGAAGACTTTACGCAATTGTGGATATTTTTTGTGAGACATGGGAAGTAGCTAGACTTACAAACCTCAGGCTCATACAATAAGAAGTATATCCAACAAATAGTAAAATAAAGTTGAGAGTAATGTAAGGAGTTTTTGTCAAAAAGTTGTTTGGCAAATAGCTAATTTGACCAAACAACTTTTCTAAAACGGTCAATGCAAACTTCTAATCCATATACATACATACATACATATGTGTGTGTGTACATGCACACACACATATATGTATTAGAACAAAAACAAACGGCTAAACGGCTAATAGTTTGTTGGCAAAGACCCTCGATATCAGTTAGTCAAGAGATGATTTAAAAACAGAATTTACTGAGTGTTCTACAAGTCATGCAAAATTAATATTGTACTTGGGGAAACTTATTGCATCTTTCAATTATGATAAATTGCATGTAAAAAGTACAACATAGTGAAAAAATGTAAGTCATGCACCTTTTGATTTGGCATTTAGTTCAATTGCATTACGGGAAGCAGAACTTTCCATATACAGTGCAATCAACTTATCTAGTTTCACCAACCAAAGTGCAACGGCAGACACAGTTTGGGGAATGGTATGAAAAGTTGCAAGAAGTTCCTCCCTAACACCATTTTCCCCATCATGAATGAATTGATAGACCCATTCCTCATTGATGACATTGACAAAATCAGCAAGAACCTGAAATATTTACAATGAGTCAGGGATGAATATTTACCAAATCAGGGATGAATAAGTAGGTCCTCTTGGGATTAAATAACAAAAAGGAAACATTGTTGGGTCAAAGTGTTCATTACCTGAAAAACTTCAGTTAAAGTTGAGGCTCGGCGCAGTCTTTTCGCCCAAAGGTTATGAACAGACTCGGGCCAAGAGCCTGCTAAAGCATCTCGAGGCATAACTGACTGCAAAAGCATAATGGACAGACATGAATTATCATATGCTTCTTTTACATCATCATTCCTGCCTACATGTCACTTGACACTTATCAGAATCACTGGGTAAATATTACGGTGTAGTTTAGTAAGAGAGGTCATCAGGGAGACACTCTGGGGGCATCCATATTTATTAAAGTGTTGCCAATGTGTTAAGGCGCTCTACCGTGTATGCCTTGTCTAACGCCTTGCCCGAATAACTCAAGGAGATAAGGCGCTTGCCTGAGTGTCGCCTTACCGTCACCTAGCGGCAAGACGCCCAGTCCCTTTGGCCTGTTTTAAACTTTGAAAAGCCCAATTTTAAAAAAACTGACTTGCCCTTCCCTAATCACCTAGTCAGTCCTTATAATCTTTAAACCTACAGTACACTACACCACTATCTTTATCGATCTTCTGGGTGGCCAAATTGGTGCGTCTATATTTCATCTCCGTGCGTGATTAAACTACTAGGATGGAAATGAACTTACAATTGAATTATGTTGTTATTCGCGTTTAAATTCTTGAAAACACTTATCTCCTTGTCTCCGATTATGTGTAGACTTTAATTACATATAAAGTATGTATGTATGTACGTCTGTACGTACGTATGTATGTATGTATTTATGTATTTATGTATGTACGTATTTATGTATGTATGTATGTATGTTTGTATCTACACACACATATATATTGCCTAATTGTCGCCTAGGCATGTGCTCACCTAGGCAATATGAAGGTCCATTCGCACCTCAATTCTAGAGTTTAAAGTCCAGTACGTAATATTTTAACTAAATTTTGAAGATTGAAATTTGGAGTCTAGTCTGGATTGGAGACTGGAGTCTAATTACATATTGGAACATAAAGTTGAAAAATATTAAAATTTTGATGGTCGAGAACAACGGGCAGAGTGTCGGGTAAAATTAACCACTTGCATATAAAGTAGAGATGCCCTTTTAATCCAAAAGCTTAAGCTGATGGGTAAGGTTTCACCATTTTATATATGCTAGTGGTATTTCCCTTTATTTTTCAATGTGGGAGATAGATTGGGTCTGTTTCTATTGTTTGGCGTGATGTAACAGAATGTATTTACATTACATGCTAATATGGTGTAAACTACACATAAACTTTTAAAAGAGCACCTCGAATAAATGTCACCAATACTCACCATCATGTGCATCAAGATGTTGCATAAATGATAAATGAGGAATGTGTAAACAAGCTCAAACTATTAAGACCTTATAAATGCTTAATTTGAACAAAATTAAGATCACTGAGAAGTGACATTACAGTGATTACACAATAAGCCTTGGCTTCTAGAAGTGGACATGCTTGTTACACCATATTTTTTAAGAGGATGAGCATTAGAAATGAACGTGCTGACACAAGGAATAGCATGTTAATATGTATAAGTATATAACTAAAAGATAGTTAGATTAACACACCTCAATGGCATAGATTGCAGCTTTCAGTGATTGCAATTGTGATGACAGCATTTTATCCAATGGGAATTTATTAGTATCTACAGTCACTCCACATGTTGCAGCATGGATAACATATCTCTCCTCAAGATCAAAGTCGAGCTCAAACGTGGTGTGACAGATTATGCAGTGCTTCTCATCCCTCCAGTATAAATCATGACATCCCTCACATCTTGCAAGCGAATCAAGATATGACCTTTTACCATGTTTCACGGCACTAAAAATGGAGTAGAATGATTTCCATATCCATGTATCAAAAGCCTGGGAAAGGCCCCATATGTCTCTGTGTGGTTCTTTCCTCCCTAAATGGGCAGCAGAATAAATAGCAGAGATATGCCCATTCTGGACTTCAGCAAGACTTGCATTGTCCACATCTGAGACCGCTGAAGAGGAACTGTCTTCCCTTGAAACACTCATTTCACATTGATTAGATAGGACAGTTTGCCTTGCACTCTCACTATTAAGCACGGCCAACATTGCCTGAGAAAGCACAGTCTCTCGCTTCTCCAAAGATGCTAGAAGGCGAGCCTCCCGTGCTCCTCTGCAGTCTAAAGCTGACAACAGAGTACCCAAGGCCTGTGCATCAAGGTTAAGGATGCAATTAAAAAAATTATAGGGGGCATTTGGTTCGCATGATGTAAGATAACCATAGGCAATCAGATTACCTCATAGAAGGTAATCTGGTATTCCCTGAATATAAGATTACCTTACACTATTTGGTTCTCAGAATGAGATCACTTGTGCTGATAAATTCTTAGGGACAAAAATCTGAATATTCTAGATTATTGCCAAGGTCATCTCAAACACGTAAGGATCAAGGTAATCAAATTACCCCAACATTACCCCTTTTTTCTATGCGGAGGTAATCTTAGATTGCCTTGGCAATCTGAAAATGTGAACCAAAAAAGGTAATTTTTCACATTATCTGGTAATTTGAGATTATCTGAACGAAACAGCCCCTTATAGCCATGCTTTTAGGGAAGCTTCTAGGAACAATAACATGGAAAAGAAAACAATTACCTCTTCCGTATCAATCACTTCCCAATGACCATCTTCAGAAGATTCAAAATATATTCTTCTGTGACCAGGGTCAAGGTCATCACAGGGGCCCAAGAATATCCAGTATTGGTTGTACCTACGATCAGAACCTAAGAAGATAGACTGCATGGGATGCAAATCATCCCCACCATCCACTTCTGTTCTGTTGTCTTTCTTAAAATAAGTTGAAATCACAGCTAAAGAATCAACAGGGTAAAGTGCTGATGCAACACTCGTGTTTTTTTTACTACGCCAACTGCTATAACCTCCCACTTTCCTGAGTAAGCTGCCCGGTTTTGCCGTGGATCTCTTTATTTTAGCCCCTGAACCATAATTGTTCGAAACCGGACCAAAATTTGCAGCCGTTGTCACTGAATCCTGAAAAACAATTGCGAAAAGCTAGAAACAATCACCAGTGAAAGAAATATTTATAGGAGTATACGCATAAAAGTTACCTCAACTCTGAGCCCAGATGCAGAAGAAAGAAGATCAACCAATGCACTCAAGATATTCAGTTTTTCTTCAAGGCTAAGATTTGAATATTCTCCTTCCATCAGCCCCACAACCCATGGTTCTCCTGCGTGGCTTTCATCAATTTCAGTGCACACAGTCAATGTCTTGTTTATATGATGATTCATTCTTCTGGATTTAAATGGACTTGATGTCAGGCAGTCGATGTCAGAATCATCGCCACTACAATAGTCACTGCTGATGTCAGAGTCATCATCAACTTTGGCCTCTAATCGATAAGGTGATACGTTGGGATTGATGCGTAGACGATATCCTGAAGATGAAATCTTCTCAAACAAGGTAATGTCACTTGAAAGAGTTGAGCTAATTAAATCTTCCAATTCATTGGTAGTTGCGATAGGATTCAATTCAACAATCTTCAAGACAAGAAAAATAGACATTTACACCCGTCAGTGAAATACATTTACACCTTACAAAAGGTCAACATATCGTGGAAAAAACTATGTGGTGGCAGTGAGCTGGTGATCATGGAAGTGGTTGTGTTAATAAATGCTTACTCGGAGTATTAGATTTCATGTACTTCCTCACTCAGAGTGAGCAAGTTATATACCAACTCAACTTACAGATTGCAGTTTTGCAAGCTCTGGAATTTTCATCCCTCTATTTCCTTGCACTAGCAAAATGCTGAACAGTTCACCCTTCATTGTTCCAGGTACTATGCCATACTTGGCCATAAGGGTGCCTTCCTATGAAACAAGTCAAAATATGAAGGCATGAATTTATGAAAGCCAATTAGTTAGACCTCAAAAGTATCACTCTAAATAATTTATCATGTGTTACATTGTTACTTATTCTGATTTGAGGCTAGTCCAGATTTTGTTTACAGAACTATCACTGGAAAAATAAACTAAAAATGAAGAAATGAAGTGTCAAAATGAGAATGCACATGAGTATATGAAACATCATTTTCCAAAAATATGAGACATGATGCAGGAGGAACACAAAAACTTTTGCGTAGGTACGTGTTGTGTCGTTCACAAATAAAAATTAAACATTTGAATCTCATGCTGAATGTTCTTAATTTCGTATGTCTGACTTAACCATCTTCAAATGGTTTGTTTCCTTCATACCCACACAGAGAGTGATCTAGGGTTAATTTTATAACACTTTGATCCATAGTATTTGGTTCACCCCCATGTCACATTTTTTAGCCTTTCACTGTCAGCATATATTACTTGAATACATGACCAAAATTGCACCATTTTAAATAATACACCCCCATGGTATTTTATCGTGCACACATGCCTGGCCTCTATGATTGCATACTCAACCTCATGTCCTCATTACAAGCATGAATGCATCAATAGTATCTCAAATATTGGAGTGGGTGCAATCAGTCAAAATATTATACAAATAATGAATGTAACATCAATCCTCATGTTTCATGCCAAATTTAGCTTCTTCAACATCACATCAAAACAACAGCCTTTCCTCTTCACTATCATCTATCATACGCTAAATCAGCATAAATTTAAGCTTTTAACAAGCATTGTCACATCACTCACGCAAAAATACTTCACAAACAGAAAGCTCCACAAAAGATCAAACAACAATGGGCACATCACTAGGATTTGCCAGTCATTCATAATATTCCATGTCAAATTGAGCTTCTTCAACATCGCATGAGTTTTCACTCTTTGCTATCATTGTTATCATGAACTTAAGCAACATAAATTTGGAGCTTCTAACAAATTTTGGCATGGAAAACATCAAAACAAAAGGCATTAATGCCTTCACTATCATCATCACAAAAACATCAAACTCCCAAAAATGGTAGCAATGAATTGTTGTGCACTAATTTTAGTGTCTTGCAACAACATAAAAACTATTCCCTCTGTCCCAAAATTGACTATTATGATTACTTTAACCACAAATTGTGAAAAATTATTTTTAATTGCAATGTAAACTAAAAATAAATGGGATTAATTTAAGATGTAGTTTTGATATATGAAATTCTTATAAGATTTATTTACTTGAAACTATATTTAATTTGGAAAATAGTTAATTAGAAAGGACCATTTTGAGAATTTAATCTTAGCTTAGATGATGGAAATACTAAAATACCCCTTAACAACCATATAACAAAGTTTTTGACAGAGGACTATCGAGGGAATAAATCTCAATTTTATAGTACCATATAGGTGATTATTGTTTATTGAGGCTGTTTTGGAAATTTTTATATTTGTGCATGACACTATTTAGTGTAGTGCAATCACTTGCTTCCATTTTTTGGAATTTGATGTTTTAATGATGATGATGGTGAAAAGACTTTAATGCCTTTTGTTCAAATGAGGCTTTTTTTAGATATGTGCCAATACTAGTTATAATCGCCAAAGTTATGTGGCTTTAGTTTATGATGAGGATGATAGTAAACTGTGAAGACTGATGTGATATTGAAGAAGCTCGATTTGACACTAGAAGATTATGAATGACTAACGATGTTGAAGAAGCTTGGTGATGAAGGTGAGAGTGATGTACCTATTGTACCCATTGTTGGCAAGAACTCAGAACTTATGCCCATTTTTTTAAGATGATAGTGAAAGTGACATTAATGCTTTGTCCTTTTGTGGAGCTTTATGTTTATTGAAATGTGTGAAGGTTTTTTGTAGTAATGTGACAATAGTATTTAAAACATCAAAAAATATGTCGCTATAGCTTATGAGAGATGATTATAAAGAGTAAAGAAGATGGTTTCATCATGTGATGTTGAAGAAGCTAAATTTGACATGGATCATGTGGAATGATGATACATTCATTATTTATATTTGTACCTAATCCATTATTTGAGATGCTATATATTCATTTATGGTTGTGGGTTTTTATCAAGATGCCTCTCCACTATTGTAGAGGCAAGGCATATGTTCACGATAAAGTACGGTAGAAGAGTACTATTTAAAATTCAAAATTCGTTTGATGTGCTCAAGTAATTATGGGGGCAGTAAAAGGTTGATTAGTGAGGCTTGGAAGTGAACAACGTAATAATGACATTTGTGTGATTAGTACACTTTAATCCAAGATTTCAGAATAATTTCAAAAAAGACATTATCCCTACAAAAAACTTGTTATATGTCCTTGAAGTGTCCTCATACTAAAATTGAGAGAAAATGGGTTGGGTGGACAAATTTTAGGTGCACATTTTAGCGTGTCAGACATGCATACTTCAGTTATTTAGAAATCCGTGCTTTAGAGAGAACAGGTAATGATCAAAGGACTCAATAACAAATTATTTGTTAAAAGAAATATATAGTAAGTACCTTATTGACAGCTCCCTTATGAACTGTACTGCATTGGGACCCAAAACCAGAGGCAGCCAATACTTGCCTAAGGATCTCTATCCATGTGAGGGCATTCAATGAGCTCAGCCACACTTTTAGAACAGAATTGTTATGTTCAACCTGTCAAAGTGTAACATTTAAAGAGAATATATTAATTGCACTCTTACAGTTTGTGTGTGTGTGTGGGCGCATGAGTGGAAATGTCATGAAAGCACATCAACTTGAAACAGACTTAAATTTATGAACTAAGACAAAAGGCTCATTACATTATACTTGAAAGAGATTAAATTTAAAATAAAGCAAGATCAACACTTTATACACCAATAATACACAACAAATGTATCAACAACAAGATGTATGTGTCTATGCGGAAACTGGACACTTACTGAGTGAACTAAATCCAGAAAATGGAAGTTTTTGCTTGAATGACAATTGATTCCACTACCAAGCTGCATTTCAACATCAGATAATAAAAGCCTGAGTAGCGCCACATGAACTTGTCCAAGCAGCAAAGACTCCTGAATACCGAAAGTAAAAGATAATAAAGAATTGCAGTTGATTTTCCAAAACAGTACATGGGTTTAGATAGATGGTCGACGAAATAGAAGAACAGGTCCAAGTGTCACTTACTTTATCATGAAATGCACAAGCAAACTCATCCAAGGTGAAGGAAGAAATATCAGTTATTAAGGCATAAGTGCATATGAAATGAAAGATCTGCACATCAACTTAAAATCAGCTTAAAGCCCCATGCGAAAAAGAAAATCATAGATAACTTATCAAAGAGAATTTCCAAAGAATTAAACAAAATATAATTTTGTATGTGACAAAAAAAAATACACTAAATATCAACATAATTTGCATCACATCTTTCCATCCACAGAAAATGGACTAGCTTCACACAAATGAGGTCTTTCATATACCTTGAAAAGTTTCCGGGCAAGCTCTGGAGAGGAATTCCATGGTTGAATGCATAGTGGGAGCTTCATTCTGACAGTATCTGGAGGAAACTTTGCTAGCATACCTAGAGCAATATGAAATCATGTAAGAAAAAGCTAAAAAGGCCTTCGAATTTGAGTGTGATGGTAATGTGTTTGGATGAGCAGATGTTGCAGTTCTCCGAACACCTTACTAAGCTCTCCATTTCCTACTCGCGAGAGGATCAACTAACATACTTCTTAAAAGCAGACCAAATATAACGATAATACTGAAAAAAAGAACATTGGCCCCACCTTTGCAAAGGGAACAACCATGCAAACCATTGCCAGTGAAGTGTGTACAGCATGTTAATGGATTAGGTCCTGTTTGCAACTCCTTTAACTCCAGCTCCTCATCGTCCATTAGCAGTGCAAATTGATCATTGTCTTCATTTCCCTCGCCATCTAGAGCAAGTTCACATTTTCCTCTGCATGGCTGCTTCCGCCTTGAAGCACTTTGAGCTTTCATCTGCAACTATAAAATACAAATTGCATGCCCATCCAACAAGCACTTTATCAGATATTGATAACAGAAGCTACAAGTGCAATGTGAGTAGGCAATATTCACTGCTTACCTTTCTACTTTTTAGTGCATGCTTTCTTTTATCTTGTGATTTATTTGTCAACCTTTTCTGCTTGCACAAAAGAAATTCAGATTAAAAACATTCCTCAAGCAAACACAGCAAAATTTTTAAAATTCTATGGTCTCTGCCATGTTTGTGGGTGCAGAAATGCATTTGGCTTGGCCATTGGAAAAAAATGGAATATATAGTGAAAATATGGTGTAGATCTAGTGATTTTAGATGATCTATTAGTTCACATCATTGAATCAATGATTGTACTAACAGAGTCTCATCCTAATTCCTGCACCCCGAAATGAAACAGGATCATATGGTGAGAGTGTGTGTGTGTGTTTAAAAGAGAAGACATGGGGCTGAAATGCTGATTAAATGACTAACCAAAATAGACTGTCTTTGTTGCAACTTCGTTTTCTCTCTATCTCGCTCACATAAAGCAACATATGTTGGAAAGGCTGCAGAATCTGGATTTGTTGCCCGCCAAACTGTCATCAAACCTTTTCCAATGCCGTGCCTTTTCGCAAGAACACTCCTTACATTCATCAAGCCTTTACCAATTCCATGTTTATTTCTTGAAGTTCCTTTCTTGGTAATAATTAGGTCTTTCCCTGTAACACTCTTCTTACGAGGAAATGAAGTGTTGAGTTCACCGCAAACATGGCCTTCTGAGATGGCAGTAGTCAAAACCTTGATGTGTGGAAAGAAGATAAACAAAAATAATTAGAATAATAGCAATTGCTTGCAAATTCAATTGGAGTGATATCCATTGTCTATTTCAAAGAATATTTTGAGTGCTTCAAAATGGATGACTGTTTGTATCCACTGTCAGGTACCTTTCTCCTTTTTTGAGCTTTCCGGTCTTCTCGGCAGATACTGTGAGAATTTGTTGCATCTATTATCACAATGTAAAAGTAAAAATGAGGCAAAAATACCATCAGGGCAAAGATGACAAAATTACTATTTGAGCAATCTGTGTGTGTGTGTGTGAAAGTGCAGAGAGCAGATGGGTGAAGGTGAGATCCAAAGTGAGACATGTCCAAGTCATTAAAGGGGGTATTTGGCTTTCTGAGAATGGGAGTTCGGGGATTGCAAGGTGGGATGGAAAGTGACAATTGTTGATGAGGATTTCTTAAATAGTATTATTCCCTTGTTTTGTGGTCATAGGGAAACAATATTAGGATTGCTAAACTAACATTACTAATAGTTTTCCCCCATTGGTAGCATTTGGGTTATTTTATCCCCTTCTAATTCCCGGCCTCAATTATCAACCCCTCCCAGTTATTATGAAGGTGTGAATAGGGCCTCTCTATTACCCCTCCCCTTCCCCGTCTCTCATTTTTTTATCATTTCTATTTTCTACATTCCAAATAAGGGACTTTGTTAATAGGGAATACGATTCCCAATCCCACCCTCAACTTCCTCGCACAAACATCCTGTGAAGGTAATGAAGGAGTCATGTACATCATTTGATCCATCACTAAGCTCAAACTTTAAAGACGTGGACATCCTTGCATTTGTAATTTTTACGTGAACTTCTATATTTCTTCAAACAGCGAACACGGGGGTTATTTGTCACATATCTTCCAATGATACTTGAATTGCCAAATGCAGGAGTTATATGCATCAGAATACCAAAAAACAAAGCATGGGGGTTATTTGTCATCAGATGTCCTTGCATTTGTAATTCTTACATGAACTTCTATATTTCTTCAAACAGCAAACATGGGGGTCATTTGTCATAGCGTTCAATGATACTTGAATTGCCATTAACAGAAGTTATATGCATCAGAATACCAAAAAACAAAGCATGGGGGTTATTTGTCATCAGACGTCCATGCATTTGTAATTCTTACATGAACTTCTATATTTCTTCAAACAGCAAACATGGGGGACATTTGTCACGTATCATTCAATGATACTTGAATTGCTATTAACAGAGGTTATATGCATCAGAATCCCAAAAAACAAAGCATTTAGCAATTCACTAGAACTAAAAAATAGTATATGGCTTAAATGGAGATCATGAAATGCAAGAGTAAGATGAAAAAACACAACTAAAACTTCTCACATCCCAATTTCATAACGGCTCCTCAAATGACTTTAAGCTAATTACAGATGTGCATACACTGCTATCGATTATTAATTCCAGAATAGTGTCAACACATAAACCAAAAACAATCAGATGGACGAAAATAAAATATATGACATTCTATCAATGCTACCTTTATTACAGTGGAGAAAAGCGTGCTCGGGGATAGAGTCGAACTCATCCCCCAGGGGCGGGCCATCTTTGCGGAAAATTTTGGAGAAAATGTGCTCAGGTGAGTGGAGAACCTCCTGAAGCCTGCGCCGATAATCGTTCTCGTTCATGAAAATTTGCTGCGTGCTCTTCCTCTTCCTGGCGTTCGCATTTTTCGTGCAAACCACTCCCTTTCCAACTCCACACTGCTGGGAGCTCCTCTTCCCAGAGCTATTCTTACCATTCCGGTTCTGCGTCTTCTTCTTCGCCGCCATGGCAGGATTGTTCTGTTCAGTCTGTGCTTAATTGGCCGGCCATTTTGATTGGGATGGTGAGATGACAGTAGTCTAGTCTCAGATAAGCTTTGAGAAATGGTCCATTGGAGACGATGGGTTTAACGAAGTAGGGTTTTGGGCTGTTTTTCATTTTGTTGGGTCTTCTATACCAGAAATATCACTTTACTAATTACTGCTATATTCGTCCACTTTTGACTTTTGGAACTGTTCACCTAAGCACTTTGACTCATCAAATTCTCTCAATGTGTAAGTCTAAATATAGTCATGTCTGGTCTTATTTAATTTGTCTTAACATATAGATTATTAATATATAATTTCTATAAATTTTTAATATACAAATTACAAGATAAAATGGATTAAAGAAGTGCATTGGATGGTGTGTAAAAATGAAACAAATATTCTGAGACGGAGGGAGTACTAGTTTTAGGCAGGTTTCAAAATAGATTTGATCTGATCTGAATAATGTTGTATACTCCGTAGAAATTACGATATAAAATTGTGCGATTTTTTCAAATCATTTAATTTGCAAATTGGTACATAAATAAAAATTATACATAAAAAACTATGATCAAAGTTTATAAAACAAGAGATGACAAAAATATTTTATAAGAAAACCCCCTAAATAGGAGTAAAACATATGACATATCTTTAAAATAAGAGTTCAAACGTAAACTACTCTAAATAGGAGTAATTTACATGATATATTGTAGGTGTATTCTATGATACTACGTATATTCTAGCGTACAAAGCTAAATGAATATTTTCAGTTCATATTTGATGATTATTCAATTCAACGATATATTCAATTCAAATTTGATGACTCTTTAAGGATAATTGAATATATTGAATTTGAGTTCAATTTCAACAAATATTTTCTGGACATGTAATTAAAATTGAAAAACATTTGTTCTTTATTTGATTTTCTGAGTAGTATATATGGAGTATATTCTAATAGAATTTTTCTTTCTTTCATTATTGCTTCTGAGATTATTTCGTTTTTTGTGGCAGCACTCTCTGCATTTGTCGCCGCTGGACTTGTGGCCATCTTGGCTATTCCCCGAACCAGAGTCCACAAGTAGAGGAGTCTTCCTTGAGGTATCTGCCGCCATGCACTCCACCCCTCTTAGATTCATCGCCGCACTTGTGTCACGTTGCCCACCCCATCTCTCTTCCTCAAAGTATGATTCCAAAAGTGAGCATTTTCTCTCTTGATCTTTGATTGAATTCTATTTTCTTCAAAACTCTCGCTGGCGATCGTGGAGGGCATTAGATTTGGTTTGGCATTCTGTCATTGTGTAACATTGTGACATTATATATGAGCATATGTGGCATTATATACGGGCATTTATGGTATTATATATTGTCATATGTGACACTATATTAACTGTTAATGTGACGCTGTAATGGCAGTGGTGCAGAATGTGATGGTAGTGTTGTTGATAATGGTATAGAGCAGTGATGTTGTCAGCGGTGACGACGAAAAATCAAAGGCGTAAATGGTAGGTTTCGTTTGTAGTGGTGCGGTGTGGCGGAGGAGAGGACGTGACGGCGGTTAAGTTAATTAAGTTAATATTTATTAAGTTAATTACTCCTATTTAGAGGAGTTTATGTATGAACTCCTATTTTTGAGGATATCACTTTTGTTTTACTCCTAGTTTGTTCCTTCTCTTGTTTTATTAATTAAATTAAAATCTTTATTTTAACTTTTTATTAAAAAAATGAAAAACTCAAAACATGACTTGCAAAAAAAATTGCCGCATGCCCTGGGTATGTGAATGTGCTCCTTACTTAGTTCACAATGCATCTTTTAAAAAAAATGTGCGTGGGGAGCATTTTTTTTGTTTTATTAATTATGTTTTACTCCTATTTAGAGGAGTTTAAGTTTGAACTCCTATTTTAAGGATATGACATATGTTTTACTCCTAGTTTGTTCCTTCTCCCATATTTTATTAGTTATTTTATTAAATAACCATGAAAATAGACAAGTAAACAAAACTTATCGAGAAGAAAGAGAAAATAAAGTTGTACTCCATAATAAAAATGGGAACGGAATGAGTATAAAATTATTTGTGATATCATCTGATTCCAACAAAAAAAAGTAATAAGTAAAAAAATTAAAATGAAGAAAACATGGAATGAATTCGGTTTACTAATGTTAACTCGGTGCTTGCATAAATTCTAAATTGTTGATATATAATCATATGGGAATACTGAATTACGAGTAAAACATGTGGAAAGATTCAATATAGTGTAATAAAACCTATATAATACTCTCGTTGTTTTAAAAAATCTTTCTAATTTCACTTTTCATTCGTCTAAAAAATCACTCAACTTTCGATTAAAATTTCTCTTTTACTATTAATTTAGTCATTACATTTTATTCGGCACTACTATAAAGTAAGGACAAAATTCAAAAATCGTCACTAAAATTACACATTTTCCGAAGTGAAGCAATGTAATGGGACGAAAATAGTACTTCCTTCGTCATATAATTTATGATCTTTTAATTAGTAACTATTTACATTGTCAAAATAGGAATAAAAAGTATGAAAATACTAAAATAGAAGTCTTATATTTTAGAGACAAAAACAAATGTATAATGTCAGTATGATGTAAGAGTGCTCGTTGGTAGTGTAATGGAAAAATGATAACAGTGTTATATGGCAGTGTAATCAATATTCGGTGATCCGCGGTGACACTCTGGCGGCTAGCAACAATGAATGGCATTGTGACAATGATAGTATAACAGTTGCCAATGTGACATTATGATGGGTGTAATAATTGAAAAGTGGGCTCCTATTTTAATCTCAAAAAGACGTAAGACTCATATTTTGGTATTTTCATAGTTTAGTACTATTATGAGAACGTTCTCTCGTGTGATCAATTAATCATGAAAGATTATATATACTTCCTTTGTCTCAAATTATATTATAATATTACATAATTCGAATATTATAATATAAATTAAATTTATTTACAAATTTGTATAGAATTACATTATAACAATATACTCTCGTATGACATTTAATTTTTATCTTTCACACAACTTTCTGCAATTCATTTTTTTATTTTTCATTCTTTTATACAATTAAAAGAGTCACACTAAAAATTTCAAATTGTATTTTGAAAATCATACGGAGTATCAAATTTTGAAGAAAAAAAACAGCAAAATATAAAAAGTAGACAGAGGAAGAAAGTGATCACGACATGAGGTCGTGACTTAAAAATATGGGGATATTATATTTACATTAGCACTTTTTTTAATAAAAAAATCTGCACCTGTCATTTATTCAAGGTTTTAATATTAATATTTGACAAATAAATATTATGAAAATGCATGTGTGACGTGATTTCCAAAATCAAAGTACGTCTAGGTTCTCTTCACTTAAATCAATGTCGATCCCCTCAAACTTCAAATGATCTTAAAAAATTAATTTTCTTATGTGGGTTGTATTTAAATTGACCATTTAGTTTTAAAAATAGAAGAAAATAATGTGGGAGGAAAAGAAATATGGAGTATTAGTGTATTACTATCAAGAGTGCTTCTATAATGTATATTGGGTGCATACTAATTTTGTTTACTTTCTGATATAAAAAACTTTTTTTTTAATTTTCAATTAAAATAAACGCTTATTTAGGCAGCTAGGATATAAACATTATTATAAAATTGGACTGTTTGTAAAGAGAAAAAAACTACAAATTGTAATTAAGCCCATAAAAAATGTAAAAAAAATTATGTTTGGATCTTTGGACCACAAACACACAACTCTCTTAATAAAAATTTTTTAAAAAAACTTGATTGAGTTTAAGTACTGTAAAGTGAAATTATCATTTTTATTCTGGGCAAATGGAACATATAATTCTTTTTTAATAAAAATAGTTATATCAAAATATACTTCGACCCGGATACGAACTTTGGTAGTCTAGATTTAGTTGTTTACTTTTAAATCTTTCTCATTTTTAAATAAAAGCTAAGGCCAAGTTTAAAATATTTTATCCGTCCTAAAAGAATGTCACATTACGTACAACAAAGTAAAATTCTTAGTTTTCTCAAACCATTTTATTTAAAGATTGGGATATAATAAACAATAAAATTTATTACATTTTTTAAATTATGTTAAAAATTTACAAAACAAGGAGTTACAAAATACTTTATTTTGTGAAATAATAAATAAAACATATAAATAAGTGAAAGTTTCCCTAACTTTAAATAAAAATTGAGGCATTATATTGTTGGATAGAGGAAGTATTAAATAAGTAATTCGAATGAATGTGTCATTGGTCATGTTCATGCCAATAGTGCTCTTATCATAGTTATCATAAAGCTAAGATAGTTTAGCTAATTCATCATGATTTTTTTTTTAAATTTAAAAAATGAATAGATATTTTCAATTAGAATCTCTCTTGGCATAAGTGGTAGGAAATACATTCTCTAAAATTTATGTAGAAGTTAATCTACCCCACTAATCCCTAAATTAAAAAACATCTTATTTTCTTTTTTATAAGGTTAAAAAAATATCTGATTCCATTACAGAAAAAACAATTGCTTGGTATTATTTCTATATTCTCTACATCAATTTCCATAATATAATTTTACTTTTTCTAAATTGAATAAAAAAGATTATTTCATTATATTTATTTAGACACAAAGAAAGTACTTTCTCGTCATTGATCATTTGATAAAATAAAATATTATTATCACATTTTAATTTATAAAACTTTTGATATAGTTTTGAATGATGAAATTTATAATATTGATTTCTATTTCAGTTTATAAGTAAAATTATTTTTAAAAATATACTTCGGTATAGTTTTTCTTGTCACTCAAAATAAAAATAATAAATTGAAACAAATGAAATATTAAAGTCAAAATTTAAAAAAAAAATTGACTAAAAGAGTGAAATTTTGAAAATCCCCATCCGACAGGAAATACGGAGTAATAAATATGGAGTAAAATCTCTCCAAAACCCACCAAAATTCCTCACCGGTCACCGCTTTCTTGATCTCCCTCCCCTTACCTTACCCAGTGCCAAATTTCCATTTCTTTCCCTTCCCAGTTCCCATCACAATAAACACACAGCAAAGCTCCATAAAAACTACTGATAATAAAAAGAGAATGATAATAAGAAATTAAAAGAGGATGAAGAAAAATGGGAGCTTTTCTTCCACAGATATGGGTCAAGATTATCAAATCATATATGGGTCAAGATTTTCATCATCCAGAGAGTACGGCCTTTGTTATTGACTAGCGTGCGCTGCGTCCCATTCACTGCCGGCCTTTGTGATCATCTCTTCTATCTTATTCGACCCCTTTTTTTTTCAGTTCCAAAGTTCACAGCTTTTTTCATCTTCTGCTCTTTTTTTCTTTCTATGGAAGTTTTGAAAGTTATCTCTATCAGATCTTGGCAGTTGGGTTTCTCTATAAGTTAGTTTGGATCCGAAGGTTATCCTTTTTCCTCCACTCCTTGTAGATTTTTTTCATCTTCTTTTTAATTTAGGCTGTTCATCTGCTATATGAATCTTGGATGGCCATTGTTGTGTAGATTATTGCACTGCTCAAAGAGGATTATTGAATAGTTGTTTGATTATTGGGTATGTATTTGGAAGCTGGAGGATATAAGGGAGTGGATGTGTTAGAACTTGATGATTACAGAGTTATTTAGATCAATTGTATTGTTGTGTTATTGAGAATGGGAAGTAGAGAGAATGGGGTCCAAAGAAAGGGGCTTTGGGCTTTGGGTATAGCAAGAAATGAAGGACTGCCCTCTTTTAATCATTCTTGATGGATTGATATTCTCAAGATTGGATTTTTTTAAATAAATGGGCGCAATGGGGAGGTGGGTGTTTGTTGGGGTGTTAATTTCCTTGATTTTCTATGCCGTGGCAGCCATTGATTGTATATGTGACGATGAAGGATTGTTTAGCGTTAATAACATTCTGTTTCTCCAGAGAATTGGGGATGTCTTGATTGCCATTGCTTATTTCTCCATTCCTATAGAATTGCTTTACTTCATTAGCTGCTCAAACATACCCTTCAAATGGGTTCTCCTCCAATTCATAGCCTTCATAGTCCTATGTGGATTGACGCATTTACTCAACGTGTGGACCATCAACGCCCAACCTTCCTTCCAAATCATCATGGCTTTGACTGTTTCAAAAATCTTGACTGCGCTCGTTTCTTGTGCAACTGCAATCACCCTTCTCACCCTCCTCCCTCTCCTTCTGAAATTCAAAGTGAGGGAGCTGTTCTTGAGACAGAATGTGTTGGAGTTGGACCAAGAGGTTGGGATGTTGATGAAACAGAAAGAAGCAAGCATGCACGTCCGTATGCTCACACAAGAAATCAGAAAGTCGCTCGATAAGCACACCATACTGTACACAACTCTCGTCGAACTTTCCAAAACATTGAATCTCAAGAACTGCGTGGTTTGGATGCCGAGTGAGAACAGGAAAGAAGTGAACTTGACACACGAGTTGAACCCTAACCCTGGTTCTTCCCACCATTGTCTCTCAGTCAATGATCCGGATGTCCTCGAGATCACAAAGAACGAAGGGGTGAGGATACTTAGACAAGACTCAGTTCTTGCTGAAGCCAGTGGTGGTAGCTCTGGTGGACCGGTGGCGGCTATACGGATGCCGTTGCTTTGCGGTTCAAACTTCAAAGGTGGGACCCCAGAGCTTGTCGACACCTCTTTCGCCATATTAGTGTTGGTTCTTCCTCCTGCTGTTGGGAATGACTCTGATTGGAGCTATGATGCGCTGGAGATAGTGGGAGTGGTTGCCGATCAGGTTGCAGTGGCACTGTCCCACGCGACAGTTCTTGAGGAGTCTCAGACAATGCGGGAGAGGCTGAAAGAGAGAAACCACTTGCTGGTGCGAGCCAAAGAGGACGCCATGAAAGCCAGCGAGGCAAGGAGTTCCTTCCAGAAGGTGATGAACAATGGGATGAGGAGGCCAATGCACTCAATCTTGGGATTGCTCTCCTTACTCCAAGACAACAACACCTTGAGATCCGAGGAGAAAATTGTCATCGACACGTTGGTGAAAACCAGTTCCGTACTCTCCACATTGATCAGCGACGCAATGGAGATATCAGCGAAAGATGATGGGATCTTCCCAGTGGAAATGAAACCGTTTCAGCTTCATTCTTTGGTCCGCGAGGCTTCTTGTCTTGTGAAATGCTTTGCTGTTTATAAGGGTCTTTCTTTCTCCACGGATGTCTCAAGTTCTTTGCCTAATCAGGTGACAGGTGATGAGAACAGAACGTTTCAGGTTATACTTCATATGGTGGGGCATTTGTTCAATGTCAGTGATGGAAAAGGATCTGTGATGTTCAGAGTTTGTTCGGAAGGTGGATCCGGGGATGCAAATAATAATATTACTAATAATAACAATAAGGTTTGGAATGCTAGAAAACCAAGCTCCGGTGATGAAAATGTAACTATAAAGTTTGAGATTGAAGTCTCTGCTGAAGGTTCAGGTGTTCATTCAGGCAGGAGAAGGCACAGTAGCAGAGATGTGAAGGAAAGCTTGAGCTTTAACATGTGTAGAAAGCTTGTGCAGGTAATTCTTTGGTTTTTTAATTTACCCTCTTTAGTTTTCATTATTTTAATGGAAGCACTTCATAAACCATATACTACGTACATATTATGAGTATATACTTTATGTGGAATATAAGTATCTGCTTACACCATTCATGGTGCAGTTTTTCTTAGGAATACCAGCTTTTACCTGCAAATTTTGATACTTGGGATCTGTTTGCTTTTTCCTCAAACATGTTTTCCATGTTGTGCCATGTTGCAGTTGATGCAAGGGAACATATGGATCTCCTCAAATTCTAGGGGACGCGCACAAGGCATGATTCTCATCATCAGATTCCAGAAGCAGTCGTCCTACAGAAGACGAATCTTCGAGTACAGAAACCCTCCCATGGAGCAAACGACGCATTCGGGCTCGGCGTTAAAAGACCTAAAAGTCCTTTTGGCAGACGACGACGACGTGAACCGAACAGTGACCAAGAAGCTGCTCGAGAAGTTCGGGTGCCAGGTGTCACCCGTTTCGACCGGTTTCGAGTGTCTGAGCGCCCTAGGGGGGCCCACGGCGCCATCCTCTTTCCAGGTCATCATGCTGGACCTTCACATGCCAGAAATGGACGGGTTTGAGGTGGCGAAGAGAGTGAGACAGTTTAGGAGCCGCAACTGGCCTTTGATCATCGCGATGACTGCCAGTTCTGAGGATCACATGTGGGAGAGGTGTCTTCAGGTGGGGATGAACGGTCTGATTCGAAAACCGGTTCTCCTGCAGAGACTGGCGGACGAGCTTCTGAGAGTCCTTCACCGGGCCCGCGAAGCCGCCATGTGAGGGCGCGCCGCCATTGGTACGTACACCGCGATACTTTTGTTGTTATAGGGAATTCATGGGGTTTGATTGGTCTAGTTGTTTGGGACTTTGTAGTGTGTGTGTGTGTGTGTGTTGAGAAAGGAAATGAAGAAAATGTGATGATAGAAACTAGTGATTCAGAAAAATTGTAACTGTTACATTAAAATTATTGTTCAAATGCAGTTTGGAAATGTTGGCCAAGACTTGTTTTTTGGGGTCCTATTAGGTTTCTCACCACATTTTAGTTCAAACTCTATGATATGATGACACCCCAAAGTAATACTTTCCACCCCTGCCACAAATTAAGTTTGACTCAAAGTCAACTAAACTTGCAGGGTGCAATTGACGTGTGATGTAAAAATGTTGGCCTGGATGACATGATTCACAAAACAATCCTATTTAAATATAAAAGGGTTGGGCTTGTACTCAAGTGTTTTGGCAATGTGATTTTTCTCAAGAAGTTTACATTGTATGAGATGGTTTTCAAATGCATATCTAAGATAAATCTTTGGAGGAAGTTGGAGATGAGATTCAGAAGATAAAGGGAAGGAAAAGAAGAAATATTTTCTATGTTTTGGCAGCCTGTACATATAGCATTTGAAGGGCAAGAATTGGAATTATAAAAAAGTTCAAAGATAAAAAAAGAGCAATATTTATTTTTTTTAATATAAAAATAAATATAATAAAATTATACCTAAAAATAGTCATCTATAAAAATCAAGTAGAGAGTTACACTTACTAGTTTTAGTTTACTCTGTTACAACATGTTTTTTCTTCTATTTAATTCTCATTTCAATCCATCATCAACTAAATACGTAGTATAAGTATAAAGTGTTCATGAGATATAAGAACACATTAACTAGTAGCATAATTACAAATACGTTGACCGGGTCGAAGGTCCAGTTCAATCGGTCCGACCGACTAACCTTTGACCCACTAACTTGTTTGGTTTGATGCCCAATCTGATTTCCAAAACATTGCTTTTCGGGCAAAGAGGGGACCCAACATGAGTAGCTAAACACGGCAAGAGAGCCACACCGACATTAGTGTACACTTGGTATCCCTCAAGTGGGGTTGTCCTAGCACTTGTGTACTTATTAATAAAAAAAGGATGAACTCCATTCCCGAGGGCCCTCTCAGACCCGGCCAGACGGTAACTAAAAGGAGATAAATTGGACTTTAATCGCAGATTGGTGACAAAAAGTGAAGTCTGCACCTATAAGCTCTATACTTAGCATAGTTATCTTCCAGCGCAGTTGGCAGGAATCGAATTCGGGTCATTCTTATCCTATCCATCAAAAAGAGATTCTTCATGGTTGTTTTGTAAATGGCAAAGTGGTTAAAGGAAGGAAGAAAAGAAAAAGCCACAAAAATAGGGATAAAATCCAAGAGTTCAGATCCAAAAACCAGGAGGCAGAAGACCTGACCAAACAAAACACTTCTGTTTTGTTAGTAGATGCTAGTAGCCACTAGCCACATGGACCTACACCCTACCCATGATTTCAGCAAACTCTATTTCAATTCCCAAGAATTGCCTTTTAAAATATTTTAGCCCTAAATATTACCCTAGTAAAAATTCGCCGTCAATAGAACCAAAAAATAGAGAAAATACATAGTAATAAAATAAGAGTCTTTATTTTTGTCTCTAAAATAGAAGTTTGCAATGAGATAATGTGACATTGTATAATTTTACAATAACTTTTGGTAATGTATATGGTCGTGATTGACACCTACTGTGTGTATTTTAATTCCCATTTCAGAAATAGAAACATGGACTGTTATTTTGATATATTTCCAATATTTTACTCCTACTTTAAATTTTTTCTTACTCTGTTTAACTCCTTTTCTTTTCAAAAAATGTCTAAAATATTTCAAAACAACTTCAACCTTTAATATAATAGAAAAAATAGAGTATATTTTAGATATTTTAGTGTGAGAGCATAAGTGTTTTGTCGAATGTACAGATAATGAAGATTGAACTATTTTAAAAAAATGGATGGAGTATAATTCTCTAATTACAATGTCTCGAAATTAAATTTTTAAATCTTGTTTTTTGGATTCAATTTTAAATTCAGACTCATTATTCTTTGGAAACATCTCTTGACACATTCATTTTGATGAATTTGTGATGCTTTTTCATTACTTTAGTTTGAAACACTTCACTATACTATGACATTTTCAAAGACTGTTATATGCCTATAAAAACATAATAAAAAATAAAGTGCTACAAATTAAATTGATAAACTCATAAATATGTTACATGGGAAATTTTCATCTCATTTCATGAGAACGTTTCATAAAACTTACAATGCGTACGTACTCAATTTAATTTTTTTTAATGTTATTAACTTGATTAGAATACAATATTTGTTTTTGTATTTTTTTCAATATAATAATACACAATGAGTCAATGTCTCCTTCTCCACTAGAATTTGAACTTGTGATGAACGTATTAGTGTATGCCACATATACCCCCGAAGTATAGCGTTAGTAAATGTATATACTCTGTACTTTCTTACAAATTTTTCAAATATATACTTTTCATTCATCGGTTTTATTTTAAGATATATTTTTTTATTTATCAAATTTTTACAATGTTTATTTATTTAAAGTTACATTTAATAATGGTCAAATTAAAGTTGATAATAATGTGCAAAGTGGGGTGGTTTTCCAAAGTTTATTCATTAATAATTAACATTCTCTAACAAACATGAAAAAAAGTTGTCTTGTAATGAAAATAATGGTATTATGTAAGTACTAAATACAGAGTATGATTATTAGAAAGTGAAATTTGCATTGAATAGGACTAAAACATAAGTCATTTCCCTTTACTGAGTAATTGGTAATTTTTTGTTAACATAGTTATATACGAGTCTATGAAAATAATGTCAAATATAATGAACACATGCTCTCCCGTCCAACGATAATGTTCCCGTTGCGCGTTACATGTTTGACTGGAGTTAGTTTTAAATTATTTTATATCAAAATTGTATGGAATTAAAAAATAAAAATTACACAGTTTAAAATTAAACTAATGAAAAGATCTACTACAAAATTAGAGGTAACATGACTATATTATTTTATCAAATGGATAACAAAAATACGTCAAGAAAGTAAATAAAGTTGACCCCATTACAATGTACATATTGTACTCCCTCCGTTTGGAAAAACACTTCCCATTTGATTTGGGGGCAAAAATAAGGAAGTGTTAAATTATACTTCATTTCCAATTTTGCCCCTGATGTGATGGGTAAAAGTAAGATGTGATGGATAGATTATTAGAGAAAAAGTATGATGTGATAGGTAGGGTATGAAAAAGTAAGGGTAAAAGTGGTTTTTTAATAGAAAGGGGAAGTGTTTTGTTGGAAGTGGAAAAAATGAAAGAGGAAGTGTTTTTGAGAACGGAGGGAGTAATATTTAATTTGTTCATACAATTTTCTTAACCAACTAAAGCACAAAGAAACAATGTCATTATTACTCCATCCATTCTAAAATGATCTTCCGAGTTCGATTTACGAGATTTGACTGAAATTATTTTCAATTCAGTTTATTTGATTATTATAGATGTAAAACTTAAAAATAAAAATTATATACTCCATATTTTAAAACTACATCAAAAGTTCTACAAAACAAGAGGGGACATGATTATATTATTTTATCAAATAACTAACAAAAATAAGTAAAGAAAGTGATTAAAATTTGAATATGTGAATAATTACAGAGAAGATCATTTTAAGACAAAGCAAGTAGAATTTAAATATTTTATTGTTCATTTAGAAGAGGCACATTTATGTCATTGGACCATATCATTTTTGGTACACTCAGACACTCTCATAGTTGATAGTTCCTAAGTAAATATTCTCTCTGCCCGAAAATGTTATTCTCATTTTCTTTTTTGACCTGTCCAAAAATATATTTCCATTTCCTTCTTTAGTCTACTTTTTAAGGATAAATTTCAATAAATCCTTCTAGTTTACGAGCAATTTACTTTTTTATTGTTTGTACTAAAAAAGAAGCCCTAAAAGTTTATAGTACATGTATTTTTGGAAATTTGACAATTTTTAACTACTCTTTAATAAGTGTGTCAAGTTAACACATGAAGAACATTTTCGAACTGAGGGAGTATTTTTCAATTAATACCATAATAAGTTTATCAAGATATTATAGCTTCATATATACCATCATGTGAAAATTAATACTTTAATGTAAGGAACTAGAAATCTTGAATTTTTATACTCATCATCTTAATATCCAAAATCAATGCAGTAAAAAAAGACTATGACCATATGATGCAAGAACGTTCCAAGATATTGGGACTGCGCGTGCCCTCACCCCAACCCCACATTAGTATGATATTGTCCGCTCTGGGCTAAGCCCTCACGGATTTGTTTTTGGGCACCTCCCAAAAGGCCTCATACTAATGGGATTGGGTGAATCTATATATTTTGGTCCAATTTTTCTTCTTCCTCCGGTGTGGGACTTGGAGGAATCCCAACAAACCTCTCCTCATCCAAGGACCACACAACTTCTGACCTCCCCTCCAGCAGTAATCCATTTTTCCTTTTTATCTGCCCTCACATCTTGCATCGCCACACACTCTTTGCGGAACACGCCGCCCTACCCCCTGTCGGGAAGACTTTCAACGCAAGGCTCGAATCGCAGATCTTTCTTTCGCTGGGCTACACCATTTGATCCGCCAAATCATCTTGTACCGCCGTGGCTATAACTTCACGGGACACGCCGCCCGACCTCCTCTTGTCGGGAAGACTTTCGACACAAGGCACCACCTGCGGATCCTCTTTCTTGGTCTTGGTCCTATTGTTACACCGTCACACCGAGATTTTTCCACACTGCACAGTCCGTTGCTCCCGCCCGCAAGAACCTAGGCTCTGATACCACATATTGGGACTGCGCGTGCCCTCACCCCAACCCCACATTAGTATGATATTGTCCGCTCTGGGCTAAGCCCTCACGGATTTGTTTTTGGGCACCTCCCAAAAGGCCTCATACTAATGGGATTGGGTGAACCTATATATTTTGGTCCAATTTTTCTTCTTCCTCCACGGTGTGGGACTTGGAGGAATCCCAACACAAGAGTACATTAAAATCAAATATAATCATTTATAAATGAGTAGAACAATGTAACAAATAGCTTCAAAAAAACAATGTAACAAATAAATACGAAATTATACTATGCACAACACAAAACATTTTAATTAGCCCTTTTGCGTTTTGAATTACTTTCATGGTATAGTATACAATAATTTTAAAAAATCGTAACACTAAAAATTATCGTTAAATATCATTTCCAAAATGCTTAAGGTAAAGAGGCATGCACTTAGTTTATTAATTATTGTTTATCATAATTATATAATCACATCGAGAAAAATTAAATTGAAGATCTCTCTTTATAATTTGTGTTATAATAAGTGGTATATATAGGCAGTATATATATGATCTTCTAACCTTTTTAGGTTTTTAGAATGGAGGCCGGCCATGAGCCCAACCAAAGGCTTCATGGCTATTAGCCATCAAATTTGGGGGAAAATTGTACACACCCAATGGCACCAGAGACGGATCCACCGCACCGAGCCGTGGTGCAGTTTCACCCCCTCCGAGTGGGGCCGGATGGCCTCTTTGGTGATCATCCGGCTCCAAGGGCAGCCTCTCGTAGGCGGCGTTTGAGAACGTCGAACCGACCACCATGACCGGTCCGAACGCGACGAGGGGGCCCACCACGCTCCCTCCCAGAACTTGCCCCTGCCCTCCGGCTAGGTACACAGCCAGTCCCGTCGGACCCGACGGGACTGATGTGTTGGCTGGAAGGAACGTGCCGGTCAACGAGAGGATCTCGAACTGGCCGCGCAACGCCACGACGGCCCCGGCTGGAGAGGAGGAGGAGGAGGGTTGCCTCAGGGTCACGTTCGTCACGGTGCCGGTGGCGCTAATGACGCAAACGCCCCTCCCCCTCCTCCGCGCGAACTGGGCGATGCTCTCCGCCACGTCGGCCCCGCTCACCACCTCCAGGACGTGGCTCCTCAGCGTATCGGGGCTCTCCCTCGTGACGAAAACCGGCGGCTTCGGCTTGTTCTTCGAGCCGGGCGGCCTCCCCCGAGGCCGCCTCCTCGTCGCCGCCGTCAAGGCCGCCTCGTCGTCGTCCCCGGGATCTCTCTCTTCTTCTTCTTCCTCATCTCCCCTATAGATTTCGCCGGCATCGTTGTCGTTTACCGCCGGATCCGGGTTGATCTTGACTGCGGCGGCGGCAGCGGTGGAGGAGGAGGACGGATCCATTCCCGGAAACCCTACTTGGCCCGTCCACCATGGATTATTATTAGCCATGTGTGAAATGGGAATTGAACTTACCACTTGCACTGCGTCTTCTTAGCTCGAAATAGATCTCTATATAAGTGGGAAAAAATGAAGGTTTCCAGAAAGGGTAATGTTTTTGTTTTCTTGGGGGGTTTAGAAAATAGCTAGCTAGGAAATATAAATAGCTAGGTTGAAAAAGATAAGGATGATATATAGTTGCACATACATGAACACAAGCTAAGAAAGACCTAAGCCTATAGAGAGATTTAAGCAAAGAAGAAAAAGAATATTGGACTCACTCCATCCGGAATTGGTCGACAGAGAATTGAGGAAGAAGAAAAGAATGATGGAGTGTTCAAACCACAATGGGTTAAAAACATTAAAATATACTCCCTCCGTTCCAAAAAGTTCGACACGTTTCGAAAAAACTGCATCCTGTAAAGTTCGTTACGTTTCAATTAAAAAAACATTTTTACCCCTTACTTTTTCATACCTTACCTATCAAATCATACCTTTTTCCTAATAATCTACTCATCACATCTTACTTTTACCTATCACATCAAGGGTATTTTTGAAAATTCAACACCACAATATCTCTCCCTTAATTTCTCAAAAAGTCAATATGTACCAATCTTTTTGAAACGGAGGGAGTATACAATTGCCTATGAAATATTTGTAAAAACTTATGGCATTGTAAGTTGATACCCCTATATTCTCTTTCATTTTTTAGTTTTCAACAAAAAACTTCTACTACCTCCGTCCCGCTTTGTTTGTCCACTTTTGACTTTTGGAACTGTTCATCTAAGCACTTTGACTCATCAAATTCTCTCAATGTGTAAGCCTAAATATAGTCATGTGTGATCTTGTTTGATATATAATTTCTATAATTTTTTAATATACAAATTACAAGATAAAATGGATTAAAGAAGTGCATTGGATGGTGTGCAAAAATGAAAGTAAACAAATATAGTGGGACGGAGAGAGTATTTTTTTAAAAAATGATTAATTTATCCGAATAAAATCATTGAAAATTACTTCATCCTTTTGGTATTGACATAATAAGTTATTTACATTATTTGTCTTTTCTTTCACGTTAAGGATAAACTCAATTTATGAAAATAAATTTGCTAACAATCAAAATACGAATTGTTTTTTTGCAAAAAGCGAGAGTATTTCACGGTTCTTTTAATTTGTCGACACTCTTTGACATTATATCTCTTATATTCCCTCCGTCCTAAAATTAACTTCTCATTTTGACTTTTGCAGTCAAACTTTTTAAACTTTGACTGTATATTACAGAAAAGATATATTGAATTTTCATATAAATTTATTATCAATAAATTTATTTTGAAACATAGTTTTGAAATATATTATTTTTATAATATATATTCATATAAAAATGGAGATATTAATGGTCAAAGTGTCGCATTGGAGACCGCGAAAAGTCAAATGGGAAGTTAATTTTAGGACGGAGGGAGTATTTTATAGCAAAGTATTGAAAATTACTTACGGAGTACTTGAGTATAATATATAAATATACTCCCTTTCAAAAAAATTCATTTTGATTTTTTGTAAATTTAAGGGGAGTATATTTTGCATTTGAATTTCAAATTGTGTAATTTACTTAAATAGAACTAAAACATAATGACTTTCTCAATATAGGACCATATGTTTTTATTTCTCAATGTAGGACCATTGGTCATTATATATTAGTCATTATTCAACTAAATGTCTAGCATTACTTGGACATTATTCTTCTCACTAGTCATTATTAAGTCTTATTTAGGAACTAAAAAAGTTTAAGTTCTACATTAAGAAATGACTTACTCTCTTTGTTCTAAAAAACACTTCCTCTTTCATTTTTTCACTTCTAACAAAACAGTTCCACTTTCTATTAAAAAACTACTTTTACCCTTACTTTTTCATATCCTACATATGACTTCATACTTTTTCTCTAATAATCTACCCATCACATCTTACTTTTATCCATCATATCAAGGGCAAAATTGGAAGTCAACTACAATTTAACATTTCCTTATTTTTCTACTTTTTCAAAGTAGGAACTCTTTTTGAGAACGAAAAGAATATGTTTTAGTCCTATTCAATACAATTTTCACTTTCAAATTTTTCTCTTGGATGTGACGAATAGATTGTTGATAAATAGATGTAGGTGCGGAAGGGAGTTTGATGATTAAAATTGAATGTGTACTGTGTCATGGAAAGAGTGAAAATGAAAGCAAAAATGTTTTGTGAAACGGAAAGTATATGCATATATTAATCTGAGTTCAATAATCTTTACTAAAAGTAAATGTGTAGTTTATTTAGCTTTTAATATTCAATAAAATAGTCTTATTACGGAGTACTATCTACGGAGAATTTGGTAAAATGTTTTTCTTGTTTATTACGGAGTAGTAATGACGATTGTAGTATATATATACCCGACAGTAGTTTATAGATTTGTTTTCATTATTCTACTTGTATTTCAGTGTAAAATCTTACTCCGTACCATTTTTCACTTTAATGTACGAAGTATGGTAGCTAGTTAATTTAAACTTTTTAGGTTGTGTACTGATGTTAGGGTATTAAAACTTTCGACTTACAACATTAACCTTCAACTTTTGGTTGAGTATATTCCTTAACAATGATATTGTAGAACTTCTGATCTAGACTCGATTCTTCAATTCATGGTTGTTTGGACGTCAGTTTAGCAAATAATGAGCTAGCCGTCTGTAGTTTGGGTTGAATTGGCTATAAGAAATTGAGATGTCTTTCATGTTGTGTAAGATATATAGCTATAATTAAGAGATTGAGATTTTAGGTTCGTCTGTCCAGGTGCTAACTAGGGGTCTGTCTTGTTCAATTTATTTTTTGGCTTATTACTCACTTTTATTAAAATCAAATCACATCAGAACATTAGATCAGAAACAAATGAAACTTAGTTTTTAAAAAAATTCAATTAAATCAGATCAGACGAATGAAACTCGATCAGTATAGGTAGATCATGCTAATTGCCACTTGAGTGATTGTTGGAGCTCCGACATCAAAAAAAATATTAAAATATCACTAGCATATATAGAAGGATGAAATTCTACATATCAACTTAAGCTTTTGGATAAATATTAGGATAATTTACCTAAATAGTACTAAAACATAGTGATTTTCTCGATATAGTACAATATGTTTTTATTTTCATATGTGGTACCATTGTTCAATATACACTAGTCATTGTTCGAGTAAATGTCCAACGATACTGAACATTGTTCAAACTAAATGTCAACCATCCTAGACAATGTTCCCACCATCGGAGTACTATTTAGAGAGTAAAAATGTTAAGATAATACATTAGGAAAGCAAAAATATTTTAGTACGAGTACTATTTAGTGCAAATATCAGCAAAATATTATTGGGGGCTAATCGTTTAGGTGCACCTCATATTTACAAAAAGTGCGTCAAAACTCCTCTAATTTTAAAAATTATTTGTAACGTCCATATGGTTTCTAAATAGAGAACAAACACCCCCAGCCTATTTTTATATTAAAAATAATATTTATGCCTTTTCTTTTCCTCTATCTAAAATTTCCATTTTTTATTTTTCCTTATTATACAAATAATAAAAATAAAATATATGCTCTCAAACTCAAATTAAATTTTTTCATTTATGTATTTTTGAAAACAAAATATTTTCTTAGTAGAATGTTACAAAATAAAATGAAAAGGAGAAAAATGAAATAAAATAATATGTACAAAGTAAAAGAAAAAAATAATTGAAAAAGGTAATCAAAACAAAGAAAAAATAATAATTTTTTTTCTTTTACTCCATATTTGTTTCATCTTTCTGTTCTTAATTTTTTTAAAGTCCCAAAAAATTATCTTACTTCTAAAAAACTAATAAGTTAAAATTTTTAATTTGCGATCGAGTGAGAATATGACCTACTCCGTATATGTTATCTAACCTTTTTTATTTTATTTTATTTATTTTACTTATTGATGGATACCTTGAAATGGATATATGTGGGTGGGCACATGTGAGTCAAAAAAAAAAAAATCATGGGATGGGATGGCTTATTTGGCTTGGATCCAAAAAATTTTCTCAAATTTGCAATTTTCTTGAGAAATGGGATAGATTCTTGAAGTTAGGGGTTTTGCTTAGTTCGGAGCGCGCTTGAGCTTCACCTCCCGACCAAACTCTGAGACCCTCACACGAGCCGCGGACACGACTTAGCGGCGCTTCATTCACTTACCTCCTAAAAAGATACTCTCTCCCTTCACAAATAAACTTCTCACTGCGCGTATTTGATTAACATTATTTTCAAATCATTTATATGAAAAAATAGTGTTAAAATTTTAAAATAAAAATTACAAATTAAAAACTATATCAAAAGATCTATCAAACTAGAGATGACATGACTATATTATGTTATCAAATGGGTGACGAAAATAAGCCAACAAAGTGAATAAAGTTTGACCCTGTGTATATTGAACGAGAAGTTTATTTATGGACAGAAAACTCTGATTTGAATTTGAGACAAATTTCTCTCATTCATGAAAAAACTAAATTTGAAATCCATGCACCACCATTTGACCTTTGTTATGTGAAATTCAAGATTTATAATTTTGGAATTGAAATACATGAATTGAAATGAAATTTTAGTTCTCAAACACTACCTAAAAGTATTTATATACTCCCCCGTTCACAGATAAACTTTACGTTCACTATTCACAGGATCAAACTTTATTCACTTTGTTGGCCTATTTTCGTTATCCATTTGATAAAATAATACAGTCATGTCACCTCTAATTTTGTAAATGTTTTGATGTAGTTTTTTATATGTAATTTTTATTTTAAAATTTCACATTATTTTTCATATTAAATGATTTAAAAATAACTTCAGTCAAATATCGTAACGCGCAACGTAAAGTTTATTTGTGGACGGAGGGAGTATAATACTTTGTTTACAGTTTACTTTGACTTTGAAAAATTGGAAACAGATATTGATATATCTGGTATCCGACCGATATCCGACAATGCGGATGCGGTTTTGATTTTTTAGCATTCGTCAAAATTTGTATCCGAAATCAATATTTGACAAAAATAAACGGATATGGATTTGGTAATCACACATCCAATCCGGTTAACATACGTTTGCACTCCATATTTTTTTTTGTTGGAAAACTTAACATATAACATTTTTTGATTTTCTTTTGTTGTTCTCAGCTTCCTTCATTTGCCTTCAACAATTTTTTTCTTTCTAATTTTTAAAATTTTTCCAACTCATTCAAACATTTTCAACCCTTTCAATTTCTTTCAGTTCAAGCTTCTCCCAATTTTTTTTCAATTTCTTTCAATTAGTTTTAGTTACTTTAAACAATGACTTCAGATTCTTTACAGATTTTTTCATACTATTTCCATTACATTTACGGAGTATTATTTTATTATTATTGTCCCAAATTTTTTTTTATTTTCTTTTTTGCTCCTCTCTTAACCAAATATTAACCTTTTTGATGGCAATAAACCACCAAAGATCTTGACCGTAGGGTCAGTAAGTCACGTAAGCTAGTTGTGTAAAGTTTAGAGAGAGAAAGAGAGTGCAAAGTAAGTATTATTAACTTGAATTCGGATCCTTTACAATGAGGGGGGCTTGGTCCTTTGATTCAACAATACAACTAAGTCAACCCCTATAACTGACACTTGACGTCTAGTAAACGTCACCTGATCTCTATAGTCCAGTCGTGTTACCTTGTCACTATCACACGGTCCCTATAATCTGATCTATATCGCGGATTGAGCCGAGCTCGCCTCTACGATCTGAAGCCATGGACCGAGCTCCGCCTACTTGGATGTGGGCCCTTCCCTGGACCTGATACCAGGCTGATGTGGGGATATCCTCCGTCACCTTTATTTTTAGTTATTTTTTAAATAGCGTAAAAGTCAAAGTATAAATTTTTTATGAATATATTACTCCGTAGAAGAGCATTTTCCCTTCGTCCTAAATTTGATTATATTTTTTTTCTCGTCTTGATAGCATTTATTTAGTAAGCATTTTTTTATAAATTTTTTATGAATATATTACTTCGTAGAAGAGCATTTTTTTCTTCTATTTTTTTGTCTCAAGTTAATTAAATTGATTATTTAATAAAATAAAATATTTTTTTTATATTTTTTTTTGTAAAAATTCTAACGTAATGTTTAATATTTATATTTTTTTATCGATATATTCTGTACCAATTTGTATATAAAATTATTTCAAAAGATAGAAGATTTTACCTTTTTCCCTGCATGTTGGGTCGGCCCACTTCTGGCTGTACTCTGAATATGGAGTCCATTAGCGGTGGGCTCCACAGTCTTCTCCTACCTTTTCCTTTTCGGTTTAATTCAACTATTCAAGGAAAACAGAGATCGAGAGAGATAAGTACCGCCGGCGTGCCGCGATGGCCGGAGACCTTTTCGAGGATTTGCCGCCGCCACAATCTTCGAACGCCAGAATTCCCTGTAATTCCTCCGCCGGAACAACACATGCTCCCTTAGAAGGTTCCCCTGCACCGCCACCAAACCCTAAGCCTGCACTTAAGAGCGCTCTAAAACGTCCGAAGCCTCCTCAAGAAACTCCACCTGAAAGTAGGTGAACTTCTACTCCTATCTGTGTAACGCCTTCCACCTGTTTCTTAGTTTTCATATTTTATTCAGCCGATCGTCAAATTTTAGTCTGTTACTAGGGTTTCTTTTGCTAGTCTATGATGAGAATTGGGTTTATCCTATTTAGTCCATTGAATTTTCGGCTATCTCTTGTTTGTTTTTCTTGTATTTTCATATAATTTGAATTAATTGTAGCTCTACATTAATTTTTATATATCGAGAACTACAAATGGCTAGTAATATTCTAATTCAATGGATACACTCTAAAAGGTTTTAATTGTTCAAGTTCCATTTCATATGCATATCAGATGAACTTAATGTGTGTAATCTACGGAGTATTTAACTATGTAAATGCTTCCTAACAAATTGGCTAATCGTTATCTCTTTATGCATATCAGATGAACTTAATGTGTGTAATCTACGGAGTATTTAACTATGTAAATGCCTCCTAACAAATTGGCTAATCGTTATCTCTTTATGTCCATTTTTCTTCTTTACTTTGGAGCCATTGCTGGATAAGTATTTGTTGATGTTACCTAATTTATGCTGAATGCAAGTCATGTTTTACTCAAGTGCAGCTGCTATTAGAATTTAGGAGTGGACATTTCAGTTCAGTTTTATTGTTGCACTGAACATAGGCTAACCTAATCAGACCAAACCAAAACCAAGTCATATGCTTCGAGTTTACTTACAGTATGTTTTTTTCCGAACTGTATTAAAGTGATTCAGAAATGGATTAAAACCAAATGAACCAAATAGCGCAATTTCCAATAAAAATTGAACAAACTGATAGCTGAGTTTTAGACCAAAAAGACATGGATCTGATATGATTGATATCCCCTAGGTCCTACCTAATGTTTTCTTGGCTGTCCGTTGATTTTCTTAAGTGAAATCACATTGGACTACCTTCTTACTCTTGTATTATGCATAGTTTTAAAAGGCGAGCGCCTCAGGTATCCGGGCGACCTTTTACCGCCTGTACAGGCGAGGTGTTGTCCGCCTTTCTCGCCTTTCTCGTCTGTTTGCCTTTCTTGCCTTACTGTCTATTGGCATTTTAAAAAATGAGCTTGCTTTTTTAAAATAATTTCTATATATTAAATACTCATTTTTTTGAGAAACATATGTAGTAACCACTCTAATTGTTTTGTTTCTAATGTATGCCTTGCTTGGGATTGACATTATCAATTGCACTGCACTATATATTTTATGTATGTGTGTGTATGCCTCAAGTTCGCCTTTTGGCCGCCTGCCTCTCGCCTTACCTTTCGCCTTAAAAAAGGTCCTTTCGCCTTTCAAAACTATGGCATTATGTTAACCTCTTAGGAAAAAGTGTGATGCTTGTGAGATGCGCATCTTGGTTATGATAACTAGACCATTAAGCCTCTAGATTATATGTGATGTCTGATTATCACTTGAACTGAGAGTTGTTGTGTCCCTTTTGTACCACAGCTTCTGCTCCTCAAAAAAGATTGAAATTTAAAACAACTACTGATGCATCTGAAGCTCAAGTTATAGAAGCTATGGAGAAGATATCATCACATATAAAGAACCCCTCAAAGTTCAGCAAGGCATCAAAACTTGCAATTCAATTAATTCAGGCCGGTAGTGTTAAATCATCGACTAGTGAACAATTTTTTGCTATTCTTGAAGCTGCAATGTCATCACCCACCTCCTGCAACGAGCCATCAGTACGTGCCGACTATCATGCACTGTTCTCTGCATCTCTAGATGGAGTTGAGGTGAGGCATTAGTGTGAATATGGTGTTTGAAGTGGTAGGTGGTAGAATAACTCATTATGAAAATGCATTCGTTCATGCAGTGCCTCTCGAAGAAGCAGAAAAGTTGGTTAACCGTATGGACAATCCGGGCAGTCGTGGCCAATGAGCTCTTCACAGATGACAGCTTTGTGGTATGCATTTCTTTTATTTTGTTTTTTGAATAGTATTAGCGCCTCCCTAAAAAATTGTTTCAATGAGGTACAATTGGTTTGTTTTTACTTTTAAGTGAGTTTTTTTTTTAAAAATTAATATGTTGGTTTAACACTTAAACTGAATCTAACCTCAACTTGTTTGGTACCATCTTTTAAATAACACACTTGCACTACATGCGGAGTGCAATGAAAAATAGATTCTTTTATTCAAACAGAACTCTTTTTTAGGGACAAAGATAAGTTCTTAAATCTGACTTTTTTTTGCAAGGGAGGGAGGGAGTACTTATGAATTTGCTTGTTTGCCTTTTCTCCAAACGTAGATTGTCTTGAAGAATATCTGACAGTTTTTCAATATTTATTTCTCATACATATCAATGTGTCTGTGTATTGATGCAAGTTCTCAAAAGCTACTGGGAAAATAAAAGAAGGCATTTCAAACCTTCCACTTGCAACAAAAGATGAAGACATAGAGGAAGCTGCTTCCTTAGAGGATGAGATACGGGCAGAAAATGCCAATGTGCAGAAAAATGATGGGCAAACTCCTTATCCTTCATCTGAGATAATAAATAATAATAATAACAACAATAATAGCAGTAGTAATAATAATAATAATGACGATCAGGACCCTTTTGGCCTCGATGCTTTGATTCCAAGCACATCAAAGAAAGATGACAAGCCCAAGGCAGCAAAAGAAAAGAAAGAAGTGGAAGATGCCAAGAAGCTACTCAAGTCAAAACGAGAGGCATGGGTTTCGTGTTTAGAGATTGCAGCGAAACGCTACAAAACCCCATGGTCAAGTTCTTCCCAAATTAATGCTCTGTTTGTTTACAGGAAACTATCTTAGTTTCTTTTCTGATTTCTGTGTTTGGCACTGGAAAACAATTAAACTATGTTTGGCTCAAGGAATTTGAAAGGGGAAAAAACAAAGAAAATGAGATGGAAAATGGTTTTTTTAGTTTCGTTAGAGAGCAAATGAAAAGTGGAAGGAAAAGAAAATGAGAAGGCAAAATGTACTAAGAGAAAGGAAAACCAAATTCCTCCCATTTCGGTGAGGAAAATGATAGAAAACCCTTTTCTTTTCTTTTCCTTCCAAATTCTTTGAACCAAACATGGTGTTAAACGTTCTTTGGGAATGGTTTTCCATGTCTGGCAATAGGAAATATGAGAAAATATTTTCCTTGATTGAGTTGATTCTCTAGGTTACTTTTCAATGTTGGGTTTTGGAGGGAGAAGCTTTGGAGGGCTCAGTCACTATTCTATAATATACTCAGTTGAGGTTTTTTTAGCAATTGAAGATTGAATAATATTTGACCTATCTTGTAACATCTCAATCCTATTTTATTTTTTGAGAAATATTTTACGAACGGTCTAGACCAAGCTCTTCCAAGCATTCCTTTCCAAAACCCTCCATCCAAACAGACACTTGGATACTGCTGATATAATGTGGTTCACATATATTGCTGATGAAATGTGGTTTGTCTTGCCAGGTGCCAAACAGCAATAGACATCCTGGTGAAGCATGCCTTCGACAACATTTCGAGGTTCACCTCCAAACAAAGGGAAGCCATTGACAAACTGTGGGCGTCCGTGAGAGAGCAGCAAGTGAGGAGGAAGCAAGGCAAATCCGTGACCGGAAAACTGGACGTGAATGGGTTTGAATGGCTGCAGCAACAATACAAGAGCGAGAAGATCAGTATCCGCCACTCCGTGGGGTCCAGCGGCGATAGGAAATGTACCCAGTGGCTTGGTTGATCCCTCTAATGCTTTATAGTGTCTCTGTAATATTTGTTTCTTCTTCCTGATCATATGTATCTCAACTTGCAAGAATTACTGGGCTTGCCCTATTGAAGCTGTAATGTCAATTCTTGAGTGCAACAATTAACTGTGAGAACTCAGAACTCCCTTTTTTTAAAGAATCGATTCTAAAAGATGATTGCAGTCATGAATTTGATTTTGGATTGGATTATCTTTTACTACCTTGATCCTTATTTTCACCCTTGTTATTTTATCTTTTACCCTTCATTATTTTATACCATGCCTCAATTTTGTGCTTTATTTAGTTTTTCACTTCCCTAAATTTGATGAGTTTTGTGTATTTTCAAACTAAAGTATGATCTGATTCTATTTTTAACGATTCACATGACCTCAAATGTTTCATGATCTGATTCTACACACACACTGATTGTTTTTGTATGCTGAGTATTGTGAGTAAGAAATAGAATTATGTTTTTTGCTGGGGAAAACACGGAAATATGAGTAACAAGTGGACTGCCCTCTCAATTACTAAAAAAATGCTTAAACCCTAGACTCCCATTTTCTATCTCTATATATAACCAGCATTTGCCACAAAACCCTTAACTCCATCCAACGCTGTTCTTCCCCCTGTTCTTCCGCGTCTAAGGTTCGATCTTTTATCATAGTTATTTGGTCTGCAGCTAATTGCATGTTTATTAAACTGTCATAAATTCAAAATTGAAAACATAAGCACGTATCGAAGGCTTGATGGGCGCTTATTGGAACCCCGTGGAGCTCATAAATTGTGCGACAACAAAAAAGATTCATTCTTTTTGGTTTCTTGGTATCCTCTTGCTGAGAAATTCTTGATCTTCAAGAGGATTACTCATCATAAAATCAACATTTTTCATGCCTTCTCTGTTTTTTTTTTGTGAGAATTTGTGCAAGATAGATTGGTGGTGGTGGGTAATTATGGGTCAGATTAGCTCAACCATGGTGTTTAACATTTTTAATTGAAAATTTTCATAATACTTGTTTTCAAAAATGTACTTTTCAAAGACGAAAAAAGCGATATGTAAAAGTGTATGATTTTGATAATATTTTGTAATTATATATCTAGCAAAATTATACATTTTTAATGCAAGCTTTTTTCCGTCTATGAAAAAATTTGTGGAGCGAGTTGGATGGCTGAAAAAAACTCAAGAATCAATGGGAGGGAGGAAGTGTATTGGAGATGTGTGTGGAGTGAAAGACCCATTTCCCCCTTTTGATAGCCATTGCCGGTGTGAAGCTTTGTTTGGCATTAGTTTATCGTTTCGTTTCAATATTTTGAAAATGTTATCCAACACTGGCTTTATCATCCGCATTTTCAAAGTTAATCTACCTCATTGAAACTCATTCAAAATGCTTAATCACAAACCTTTCTTAGTTCCCAAATGAAGACCTAAGTTGCTAGACCAGTAGAATTGATTTGGGGACACTGTTTATTGTTGACAAATAGGTAGACTTTTCTGTCTGATTTTTGGTTATGAAAACCTTCCTCATTTTCATAATTCTCTGTCAGGTTAAGAAACATGGCAAAGAACCCAAAAGTATTCTTTGACATAGCTGTAAAGAAGACCAAGGCCGGGCGCATAGTAATGGAACTCTTTGCAGACACCACACCAAAAACAGCTGAAAACTTTCGCGCCCTATGCACGGGCGAGAAAGGGATTGGGGCCTCAGGGAAGGCCCTACACTACAAGGGCTCCATCTTCCACCGCATAATCCCAGGCTTCATGTGCCAAGGTGGGGACTTCACAAGGGGCAATGGGACCGGCGGGGAGTCCATTTACGGGCCCAAATTTGGGGATGAGAACTTCAAGACGAAGCACACCGGGCCGGGCCTTCTGTCCATGGCGAACGCGGGCCCCAACACAAACGGGTCCCAGTTCTTCATCACCACTGCCAAGACCCCGTGGCTCGACGGGAAACATGTTGTGTTTGGGAAGGTGGTTGATGGGTACGATGTTGTCACCGCGATGGAGAAGGTCGGCTTGCCTGATGGGAGGACTTCTGTGGAGGTTGCCATTGAAGATTGTGGGGAGATTGTGGAGAAGTAGTAGTAGGCTTCTTTGTTGTCATCAAAGAGGATGTCTCTAGTAGTACTAGTATTACTACAATCTCTCCATTCTTGTCCAAGGCTTGTCATGAAACATTTCTTTTAATGGGATTAAGGGAGTACTTTTTTTTTTTATTGTGGCCAATGTGTTCATTTTTAAAAAAATTTTGACTTTATATGTGTTAAGTATAAAGTTGAATAAGTATGGAATATTAGATAAATAGCAAGTTGATTTGGAAGTCGTATGAAATGTAAGATATACACGAAGTCACGAATGTAAGATATACACTAGGAAGTCAATTGGAACGCCACATATGCACTAACTGGTTGGATTTTCAAAATTCCGGCAAAAGGTATCCCTTTGTTATATTTTTAAAGATGGATTATCATTATGTTACAAGTTAAAAATGATGTATCTTATTGTTACAACCATTAATTTTTTAATAGCATGAGTTTTACATGAATAAGCATAAAATTTTTATTTTATACTCCAGTAATGTTTAAAGAATTAAAGAACTTTGTTTCATAATTAATGAAAGTACACAAATAAATTAAATTTATCAAAAGATGAGTCCCAAAAAAAATCGGAGCACAATTTAATTTGGCAATTAGAGAGTATATCACGTTTTAATCCATGGTATATCCAATAGACAAGGTGACAAGGACGAGTCAGTTTTTAACATGAGAAAAAACTGGAGGGTCAAAATGAAAATATATAAACTTACGATCTCGAAATGTAAAAAGTGAGAAAGCGGAACTCGAACATGCAAATAGCGGAAAGAGAAAAACCAGCGATCTTCTCCTCCTCCCTCGTCACTTTATCGCCGCCGGCCCTTCTCTCTGCTTCCGTCTCTCTCCTTCAGTCCTCCCGGAACAAATTTGTTACCGATAATATTTCACGGCGAAGTAACCGGCGACGGCCTCTTCCAGATATATCTCCGATATCACGTCATCTATCTCTATCCATCTCGTCTGTAATGGTGAGTAACCCAAAATTTATTCCTTTTCGCATTTACATAATTCAAATTAAATCAGCCTCGTGTAATACAGTAAATGATGAAACTTGATCTTGATAGATATTGAAATCCGAGCAATTTTGGTATTGCACCAAAACATAATTTGACCTACATAGGGACAGATCTGAATGAATATTCAGTTTTTTTGACATATTGAAGAAAAGTACAGGTTGTGGATGCTTTATTAGCGTGAAATCAAGTGTGAATGAGAAATGACTATGTTTACTTTAATGAGTGTTTATCACTTTTTGATAAGCAATGTTGAGACTATAATTATTGTTAGCCAGGAGTGCATGTTGGGCATAATTCTGGTATACTTAACACTTAAATGTCTTTTTAAATTTATTTGTATGAATTGATAGTGAAGGTTTCGGATACCGAGCGAGAAAACTGTCTTCTGATTGAACTGGTTTTTTTGAAGTTTTTTTCTCCAAAGGAATTCTTGAAGTATTATTAGTTATGATTGGGTTTGAACTATAATACTTGTACAATGACTTAACAAGTTTAATGGTTGAGGAGATGAGGTATTATTGTTCTGTGTGCTTTTGAGTATTTTTGCTTCCTGCTTTCGAATTACAGTATGATGTTGTCTGGTGTTACTGGTTAATTTCTCCTAAATCAGTAGGTTTATTTTTCCATCTATTTTAGTTGATGATGTTGGCCTATTATGTATTAGCTACACTTCCAGTGTGATATTATGATGTTGTCTGGTGTTACAGGTTAAATCCCCCTAAACCAATTGGTTATATTTTCCAACCTATTGCAAACGTAACTATGCAACAAACTGGGGCAAGAGATCCTCAACTCCGTGAGAGCAACAGCCAGAAGGTCCACCCACAGCCCATGGAAGAAGCTACAAATAATAAAAAACTAGAACCAGTCGAAGCATTGATTTCCAAGATTTTCACAAATGTCTCATCACTCAAATCAGCTTACATCCAACTTCAGTCGGCCCACACTCCCTATGACCCTGACAAGATCCAAGTTGCTGATAAACTTGTGATCTCAGAGCTGAAGACTCTATCTGAACTCAAACACTTCTACAGGGAGCACAACCCTAAGCCAGCATGTGTTTCTCCGCAGGACTCCCGTTTGGCTGCAGAGATTCAGGAACAGCAGAACTTGTTAAAAACATACGAGGTCATGGTCAAGAAATTTCAGTCTGAGATACAGAACAAAGATTCCGAGATTCTTCAGTTGCAGCAGCAGATTCAAGAAGCGAATCAGAAGCGAGTTAAACTGGAGAAAAACCTAAAGCTCAGGGGTTTATCCTCTAAAGAAGGTTCTGCAAATGGATTCATCTCTGTGGATCTAACACCTGAGCTTTTCAAATCCACAGTGGAATGTGCCTATCAAGCTGTTCATGATTTTTCCAAACCAGTAATCAACATGATGAAAGCGGCTGGATGGGATCTTGATGCTGCAGCACATTCCATCGAGTCAGATGTTGTATATGCAAAGCGGGCTCACAAGAAATATGCATTCGAATCAAATATTTCCCACAAAATGTTCAGTGGGTTTCAGGACGAATGCTTCTCCCTGAAACACGAAGATCCAGAAGCCATGAAGGAGAGTTTCTATCACCAATATCTTGCATTAAGGGAAATGGATCCACTGGATGCCGTGGCCCAAAGCCCAGATTCCATATTCGGGAAATTCTGCAGGACCAAGTACCTTGCCGTTCTTCATCCTAAGATGGAGGCCTCATTTTTTGGCAACTTGGATCAACGGAACTATATAATCGGAGGTGGACACCCAAGAACAGCTTTCTATCAGGCTTTTCTAAAGCTGGCAAAGTCAATCTGGCTCTTGCACAGGCTGGCATATTCATTTGATCCTGCTGTCAAGGTTTTTCAGGTCAAGAAGGGAAGTGAGTTCTCAGAAGTTTATATGGATAGCGTTGTGAAAGATTTCGTCGTTGAAGACACAGAGATGAAACCTAAGGTCGGGCTGATGGTTATGCCCGGTTTCTACATCATGGAAAGCATCATCCGGTGCCAAGTCTATTTGACAGGTGTGAAACTGGCTGGTTGATTTTAGTTTTTCATTGATTGTTGATTGTGTATTGTAATTTACATATGTATCTTGTGTGTTTGTGCATTTTCTTCTTGGCATCTAGAAACTGTCATAGTTGTGATCATTGTATTTGCAGTTGTGGTACTTTGTGCCTAATCATCTAATGAGTTGAAATAACACCCCCTTGCTCATCTTTCTTTTTTTAACACCCTTTTTGTTGGCAGAAAAAGAAATTTTAAGTTTTGAGGAGTTGATAACAAAAAAGTCCATTGAGATTTCACTTTTATCTATAGTTGGAAGTAGAGAGAGTATTTTCAAGAAACCACAAAATGAGTTGATAATGATTCACATATGGCCATATGGAGTACTCCATATATTTTTAATGAGAACAAATTTAGCTTGAAATTTCATGTGAAACATGTTGTACATGTTTTTAATTCAAGAGTTTCTAAATTATGAAAAAGGAAAAAGAGAATTTTAATTCCTTTTTTGGAAAATGCATAGATTTTGCAATTCTAAATTGCAAATACAAATCAAATTTGGCAAACCTCGAGATTGATTATTTTGGATTTTATAAAATAAATTGGGACTTTGAGTAAAAATTTAGATTATGTTACTCCAAAAATTAGTTCCTCTAAGTTTTTACTAGAACAAAGTTGATTTTAGTAAGCTTACACCTATATAGGTTCCTTTGCCAATAATTTCAGAATTAGTTTTTATCACTTTGAAAAAATAACCTAATGACATCTTTTATTTTTAACATTTTAAAACGTAATCCGTTCAGTTAAAAAACTATCCAGAATGTCAACGCCAAATGAAGAAGTTATTCCCAAGACCATAACTTTATTATTGATTATCAAACGTTATTATGATGAAAAAAGAGTGCATTTGATAGTACATTTGTACACAATTTTTGCATGGTAACACAATTTTTTTGAAATAAAATAAGCCAATTCTTGCACAGAAACAGCAATAAAAAAGAATGACTACAAAAAATGTATACAAATATTACATGTGAGTGGCTGAATAATATCTCAATCATTCACCTCAAAGAACACAATGAACACACAACAAGCCCATTCTCATTACACTCCCCACATCTCACCCTCCTCCAATCTCCACCACCATCACCGCCGCCGCCGCCGCCACCACCCTCCTCCTCGAGAATTTTTGTGCTCCCATTGCATTTGGAACACAAAACAAACCTAATCCCACCACAAGAATCACAATGCCCTTGAGACTCATCAAGTGGGATTCCATGAAGAAGGGGCTTAAACTTGCCCTGTTCATGCAACCCCACAACCTCTTCAGCTCCCCCAATGTACCTACCCTTAATGAACAGCCTTGGGGGCACCACCTTCCCCTCCAAGGCCCTCCACAGCTCCTCCCTGTACTCCCTGTGCATCGAAATGTCCCTCTCGAAAAACGAAACCTTAAAGTTTTCGAGGAGGAACCGAATCCTCTGGCAGTCCTCGAATGTCTTTCGGATCCCACGGAGGCCTGTTGTGTAGAGGATCACTGCCTGTGACCCTCCCGGAGGGCACCTCTCCTCGAATTTGGAAAGGGCTTCTTGGGTTTCTTCTTCTTTGATTATCTGGTCGATTGTTTCGTCGATCATCGCCATTCTCTCGGCTTCCATTGCTCTTAATGAAATGAGGGCCTGTTCAAAAGCTGCTAGGAGGTTGGGGTCGAAGAGGCTGCCGGAATTCATGTCCGGTCGCCGGAAACTGGACACGTCTATCTCCGGCAAAGTTTCAATCTTTGACTTTGAAGAGCTCGATTTTGGACGGAGATTCTCTTTATCATCTAATGAACTGCCAAGATTCGGATTTTCTTCGGAAACATGAACTAATCCTGAGTCGAACAGGCTGCCGGAATTCATGTCCAGTCGCCGGGAACTGGGCGCGTCGATCTCCGGCAATGATTTTCCTCCTAAAGGTTCGATCTTCTGCTTTAAAGAGCTCGATTTTCGCCGAGGGTTTTCTTTATCATCAAATGCATTGCCAAGATCCGCCATTTTTTTGGAGATATCATCGATTTCTGGGTCGTCTTCCACTGTGGGTTCAAGATTTTTCTTTGTTTCTTTTTCTTGCAGGATGATAATCTCCGGCTTTAAATACCCAATTTTCTTTACTGTCTTCAATTTCTTCAGTAGCTTCCCCTTCACAGAATACATTCTAACTCGAGAAGAATATTAATAGTGCGATCTGCAAGATCTGCAGGAAAAGATGAAGGAGTTGTGAATGATGCCAACTCGAGATTTAATTTGGAGGAGAAAAATGGTAAAGATCAAGAAAAGGGAAACAGAGAAGTCGGATCTTTGGGAGAGTAGGAGAGAGACAGAGAGAGAGACTATAACGGCTAGAAGTTTTTTAGCTGAGGTAAATTTCACAAAAGTACCTGAACTTTAGCTGGAATTTCGAAGTGGTACCTGAACTTTAAATCCTTTCACAAAAATCCCTGAACTTACACAATCCTTTCACTAATGAGCCATTAGCCCGTTTCTAGGTTAACTTCCGGTCATTAGGGCCAAATTCGAATTTTATATATTTTAAAATTTTCAATTTGACCCCATTTCTTCTTTTCTTTTCTTCCACGCCCCCCCGCCGCCGCCGCCCGCCGGTCAAAGTCGCCGGAAAATGAACTTTTTCCGATTCCGGCGGGACCAATGTCATTCTCTTCGTCTTGAGACGAGGATCAATAATATCCAAACCATTTTGTCTAATTTGGCCTGTAACTTCTCGAATCTGAATTTTTCTACTC